TAACAGTCCAGGCACTTCACCACTTCGACCCCGAATTGCCTACGAAGCTGGAGACCGATTCCTCAGACGGAGTCGTCGCCGGCGTGCTATCACAGGAGCACCCGGACAAGCTCTGGTACCCAGTAAGCTTCTATAGCCACGTACTAACCGGCCACGAGATCAACTGGGAGATCCACGACAAAGAACTGTTCGCAATCGTGAAAGCGTTCGCGAAATGGAGACCCGAGTTGGCTTCGGTGACACACCGGGTGGACGTCTATACGGACCACCGATCGCTGGAATACTTCATGACCACGAAGGTTCTCACCGCGAAGCAGGTACGGTGGATGGAGCTACTCTCCGACTTCAACTTCCACATTACGTATACGGCAGGTAAGAATAACCAGAAGGCGGATATTCTAAGCCGAAGAGGCCAAGACCTCGTAATGCAGCAAAAAGTCAAGTTAGACAGTCGTGCGAGGGTGTTACTTGGCCCAGCCCGCCTACACCCCCATATCAGTGCCGAGTTGGCCGACAGTTATGTAGCATCGATTAATGCCATCGACCCCCTGAAAACGCAGATGCCCTTCGATCTGATTGAGGCACTATGCGTAGGCAACCGGAAGTCGTTCGCCGAGACACGCGCGAAACAACCCCTACCGGATGGGTACGCCCTAGCCGACCAACTCCTCCTGTACAAAGACCGCCTATGTGTGAACCGTCACACAGAGCTTTGTACGAAACTCATCCGGGAGGCACACGACCAAGTGTCGACCGCACACCCAAGTGGCAGGAAGACCTACCAGTTGCTCGCCCCAAAGTATCATTGGGTCGGTATGGAAGCGGACTGCTCATGGTACGTACGCAATTGCATGACATGCCGCCTATCGCACACCAATGTCACGAAGCAACAGGGTTTCCTTCACCCCCTACCGGTCCCCGACTACCCTATGCAACACCTTACGATGGACTTTAAGGAGTTCCCCAGGGACAAGCACGGATACGACAGCATCCTAGTGTTCATGGACCGCCTCGGGAAGAGTTCGGTAACCATACAGTGCCACAAGACTACGGATGCACGGCAAATGGCGCAGCTATTCATCGAATGGATTTATCGATTCGGACATACCCCGGTGTCGATCATTAGTGATCGCGGACCCCAATTCGTGTCGTCCTTCTGGCACGAGTTCTGCCGGATCATCGGCGTCAAGATCAAGCTGTCGACGGCTTATCATAAGCAGACCGACGGACAGACGGAAATCATGAACCGATATATCGATCAGAGACTGCGCCCATTCGTATCCTATTACCAGGATAATTGGAGCGAGCTCATCCCTATCATGGATCGGGTCCAGATGACGCTCCCTCACGCATCGATCGGGATGACCCCGTATCGACTCAAGTACGGAACGGATCCCCGTACCAGTTGGGATTGGAACACACCAAAGGGAACCACCCCCGAGAAACTCTGAACCAAGACGAAGCTAAGGAGGTGGCTACTCGTATGCACACCGCCTGGGAATACGCCAAAAGAAATATGGCGAAAGCGCAAGAAGAGATGTCAAGGCATGCTAATCGACGCCGAAGAGCTGTCGATTGGAGCGTAGGAGACAAGGTCTACCTCTCGACGAAGAATCTCAAAAATACCCGTCCTAGCCGTAAGCTAGGGCAACAATGGGTCGGACCGTATACGGTATTGGAACAGGTCGGTCACACATTCCGATTACGACTACCCACTGGGTCTCAAATACACGATGTATTCTCGCCGGACGTACTCATTAAAGCTCCGAGTAACCCCTTACCTGGGCAAGCACCACCAGAGCCTAGCAGCGAAGTCATTAACGGCCTAGAAGAATGGCAAGTGGAAAAGATCCTCGCCGTGAGACTTCGCCGCCGGCAGCTACAATACCAGGTGAGCTGGGTAGGATTTGACCCCGACCCGGAGTGGTACCCGGCAGCCAATTTCGAGAACTCTCCGCTCAAGCTTCGAGAGTTCCACACGGAATACCCCAACCTACCAGGACCGCCGAAGGACTTACCCGGATGGATCACGGCATGGGAGACGGGCGGGCCAAGCTACGGTCACGGAAGGCACGGCAAAGCAGAAAAAACAGACTCGTTGCTACCCACGAATCTAAACTAAATACCCTCTGAGCCAGGGCACACTCGTCCCGGGCTCTTGCGGGAGCCACCCTTCCCAAACGTCCCACCGGCGTCGCAACAAGCGGCTACCACCATGTGAGACGAAGGGTCGAAGCGACCCCACGCGAAGAGCCCAGCCCGAGTTCCCTCCGACACAGAGTCTCATCCAATGGGCGCGGAGAACGTCCCCTCCGCCGCCTCATCCCCATCTTCCTCCCCCCTCTTTCTCTTCTGGCCGCGGGGCCCCGCCGCCACGGCCACGGACACCTTGTCCACCGCCGCCACCACCGACTTCCCCACCCCCTTCAGGGAGGACTCCAGGCCCTCCAGCAAGGAGCCCTGCCCCTCGAGGAGCGCGGCCGTATCCCTCCCCACCGCCGTCACCGCCTGGCGGACACGCTTCACAGCGTCAGTTCCAAAACAAGACATAACACAAGGGGTAGACTTACGCGCAGGCCGTCCTCGACGGCGTTGCGGAGAGCCATGCTCTCCATGTAGGCCGAAGCCTCGGCCGGAGAGCGAAACTTCGGCATATTGGCGGCCGTGAGGTTGGCCACCCGAACTGCCTCCGCGGCAGCAGCCTTCGCGGCGGCGGGATCAGGGTTGGTTGACGTTTCGGCGTCGACAATCGCCTGGTATTCGTCGGCTAGGAACCAGGCCATCTATCCCCACAAGGTCAGCCACAGAAACCAAAACACGAGGCCGTAGGCCACCCGACAACTCACCGGAACACAATTGGCCTTTTGGCCCACACAGTGGTTGCATTTGGAGCTCGAGGCGCTCCAAACACAGTCGTGGGCGGGCTCGCCCGCTCCCACCTTCGCCTTGCGGCGGACGCAGCGCATGCACAAAGTGCGGAAGGCTGCAGTAAGGGCCCCGGGAGGAGGGGGCACCGGCATCGTCGCGGAATGGGTTCCTACGGAACCGTCAGCCAAGCCACAGGAGTTATCACCCGCGCGTCGACGCGCAACCATCACCTACGCGATCGTCTGGGTATTGGTTTTGTTTCTATGAAACAATCAGTTAGTATACAATATTCGAACAGACGGGGCCACTTACTGTTCTCGGGAGGGGGGTTCGTGAGCGTTGTTGTGGTAAAAGAAGCTTCGAAATGTGGGCGGAACCGGTTGCTTCATAACATCCGCTTACAACAATGAATCTCTGAGACGGATTAGCGCGCGCACAGTAACTGAGAAATTCGCGACGCTTACTGCTACCCTCGGACACCTCACGGGGTGTATTCGGACCTGCCTAAATACCCTTTATTACGATTAAAGCACCACTCCCAATTTACGCATTCAGCCATACGTTTCCCATAACAAAGACTACGGTTAGGGCCTACACTCGGACACTCCTCGGTCGCGATACTATGCCACGTGCATTGAGGACAAAGCACTTCCTTAAGGCGGGGGGTAATGTAAGGATGCCTCCTTACATGGGGTGCATTCGGACCCCTAAGGGGACGCGCAGTAGATAACATAGTAGTACAGCAACATAGGGGTTGGAGTCGGGGTCGATTCGGATTACCGACTAAGTAGTACCGAGGGTACGCTAAGCTTGATTAGAGTCGGACCCGAGACGGATATTTAAGGGGTAGGAAGCTGTAAGCTCCCCCTTTATCTTTTTTGTATCCTTCGTAGTAGACCTATAGGATAGAATACAGCATCACCTCCGACTCGCACTCCCATATGCACCTACGGAGAGCCGTATTCCCTGTGTCCTTACAGCTTCCTCTAAATGTGACTAGTTGATATCAACCTCTTAATCAAGGTATTATAGCCTCTTTAAAAAGCTATTTGTAACGCTGACTTCTAAACGATAGAAGACACAGAGGTTCTCTTGCGTAAAGGTTTACTTATCAGAGGAGGCAGGGGATCAGACACAAAGGCTTCAAGTAACACGTTACTAGTATATAACAAATACTGTATTGAGTTGAGCACGAAGCTCCTATCTAAGGAAATACTATCTACTTATATAGTGGCGTCGTGCCTAGTGGACTCTTGGGAACTCACTCGAGTCCTCAGAGTCCTGGACTCTTAGGACTCTTCTCATCATCCTGCGAGTCCATCACGTGCCTAGTGGACTCCTGGGAACTCACTCGAGTCCTCGGAGTCCTGGACTCTTAGGACTCTTCTCATCATCCTGCGAGTCCGTCACGTGATACTTTCGGAACTACTATTCCCCGCTGCCCCTCCAGGTACCAGGGCCGGTCTCATGCGACCTCCCTCCTTCCTGTCCTGTAGTTGGCCAGCCTTCTTGTTCCGTCGTAACACTATTATCATCAGCAATGGCTCGAGTTCATACTCGAATCTTTTAGCAACAAGCTAGATCCAATCAAAACAATGACAATAAACTTTGCAATTCTCTAGCTTATTCGATCATGGCATCACGACATTACAAATACGACTATCTACAATTGCTTTCGAAAAACTCTTTTATGCCTAATACAGCTTCCTATACCCTCCAAGTTCTGATTGAGTTCTCAGAATCTGAGAATCAGTGTGTTAAATAGTATGAACCCATATACTGCCAAGCACTTCTCCTGATATCATAGAGTCTGAGCGGGTCCCAAATAGGAAAATTTGGGATAAATAAACATTGTGTTACTGAGGTTATTATCATGTTGGTAGAGCAACTATCATGCACGTGCTTTATGCTGCATGTGCATTCCTTGGCAGTATACGGGTTCATACTATTTAACACACTGCTGAGGATAGTGGCATCACGGATCCAGCATCATTTTTGCGCTCTTTAGAGCGCGTGGAGAGGCAATTAGTGGCCAAACAGGCCAATGACTTGGTTTAAGGCACGTTGGATGGATGGATGGTAGCTAAGGGGCTACTTCGGGTCTACTTCGGATCACTTTCTAACTCGATATTACTATAACTCGATATATTTATGCATGACCAATTACATCGACTTAACGAGATAATACTGTAATACTCTGCCCGCCTCCGCGCCTCCCGAGGTGATCTGGTAGGACTGGAAACCCATCACCCCGGTAGCGCACGTGTTGTCATATACGTTTCTAGACTGTGTTGCACCTGTGCAGCCTGGCCCGCTGTAGAGTTGTAGCACGGCTCCCTCTACTATCATGGTGTTCGCGATTAGCGCTGCGATGAAAGACTTGATGTTCATCTTCGTAAAGTATGTTATAATGTTCCTTTCGTCTGGTTGCGAAGTGAGTATGGTTGGTGAATTGCGGTTGGATATTCGTCCGCCAGCGCAAGGCCACAAGGGATACCTGCTACTACCTGCAGTAATTTAGGCGGCTTGAGAGAAGACCGGTATACGTGGCTGCAAATGATGGTCCAGAGCATCGTCGGACGGGAAAGATGGGATTGAGGTCCAGGGGAAATTCTGCTTCGCCTCGCTCGCTTGGAGCTTAGTGAGAGAATCTTGTAAGAATTGGAAGGAGGCATAGATTGCACCGATATTAATAAATTCAGCGTCTTTGAGCCGGAGCGTTCAGTCACCAAAGAAGATAGCTGATTGGTGGCAGTTCCTGTGGCATGTATCCAACATCGCGGGCCCTACACACCCGCCCCTGGCAGCCACATCCGCCTTCCCGCATCCCGACCCGCTGGTTTTCGTGTGATTTTAGTGGCGCCGCGAAAGAGCAGCGATGTAGGGACAAAGTGTTAAGCCCGTAGCAAAAACTCATTTCTTGCTTCTGACTGGCCTGCACTTTCTACTGACAACCTCAAGGTCAAGAGTCTCTGGAATGTGACTTATGACTTAAATCACCCAGTCGAGTGTAGCCTTTCCTATTTTCCCAAAGGCCTTTTGCGCTTCGCACGACGCCAATAGCCGTGACTGCTATTGAGGCCACAAATCCAATGATCACAAGAGAAGTAATGACCAAGTTATCTCCAATCCATTTGAATAGCAGATTATCCCAATTATCCCAGGTACCTCCTCGAGTTTGGGTGAAAAATACCCAAGGGGATGCTCCTGGTCGGCCGTCCATGATAATCCGAGCAAGAACCGGCTTATCCTTTGGTAGTTGGCGATGATATTTCTCCCAGATTTCCGTCTCGAACCATTGGCCTGTTGCGTAGCTAATAGTAAGGTATGGTAGAGGGTAGTTCCAGGCGTAGGAGATGATAGATTCAGTCATTAGTACCCAATAAGGGTGATTCGCTTCGCCGCCGAGGATGTTGTTACTTAGAGCTCCACATCCACCGTCAGTAACCCAGGCCGGATAATAGCGCAATGGCTCTAAACTCGCCGTACATCCCTGAGAAGAATTATTAAAACTTGACGCATTACCCAAGTTTAGCGAAGGCAAGCTTACATTGTCGAGGTCGATATAAATGCCTCCGAAATGGCGTATAGCAAAGTATCGAAGGGCGTCGATCTTCTGAACTGGGTACTTGAACTTGTCGTAGGTTGGCAGAAACCAAGGGTATTCTTCAGCAAGGAACTCGCGCGATGTCTTCTCTGTCCAGAGCTGAAATTCGAGTCAGCAGGTATTACTTCTCGACAGCGTCACTCCGCACTTGCTGAAGACAGTACTTGCCCGATTTTCCCAATTCTCGTTGAAATCAAGACAAGTTTGCCGAGTCTCTTTCCAGTCAGAAGGGAGAGCTTCGTTGTTAGGATCTGTCCAATTGTGAAATATTTGATGAATTATGCGAGGGATCGTAGGCCGCCTCTTCACGTCATCCGTGACGGCGTGGTGAGCTTGAGCGACTTCCTCTTGAGTTAGTGCAATGCCGGCATGGTCAGAGAACAAATGAACAAAGAAAGCGATGCGAAAAGCCAGGCAGATAAATAGGAAGAAAGCAAGAGCACGAAGACCAAATCGGAAAAGATTCGGCATTGTTATTGAGCATGCTCTGAGTAAACATCCGAAGTGCTTATATGTGCTCACTTCGAGCCCCACTTAAAGGGGCGTGATTGATTGATTGGTTTATTCATAATTTACACGGTTCAAAGCCGCCCATCGGCGGAGGGCAGCTACCTTACCAGCGCACAGGCTATTTCCAGTACGGTATGGCCGCAGTAGGGTCGCCGTCGCCAAGGAAATTGTGGTCGCACTACGACCAACCACGCCAGCCACAGTCGCGCGACGGTCGCGCGGCCAAAACGGTAGCAAGTTTGTTGACCGTTCATGTTTATGACCGTAGTTAGTATGTAGTGTAGTATAACAGCGTTTTTGGACTTATTGTGATGAAGCCGGCGACGGTTTGGCCGCCATGTATTCCCCCCCAAAACGGTGATCTCGGCGAAGCCATCATAGCTGCCAGCGACAGAACCATGCCTGATGACTGTCGTGCTATGGTCGGCGAGCCCGCCGACAGTAACAAAACGGTAGCAATACTGCCTAGGGCTCGGCACGGATGACCAATTTATCCGTCAAATCCGTGCATCCGTGAATATGAATACAAATTGTTAGATTCCAAAAAGTATGAGTATGAATATGAATACAAATTATGATTTTTACTAACGGATACGGATGCCAATCCATTCAATCCGCGGATTGAACGAATTAGATAGACTGTAGTTAGAAACTGAATTCATTGAGGTCATAGAATGCAGCCCTAGCCTCTAACGCCCCCCTTTACTCAAATCCCTCTCCCACATCGCACGAAGTAGTGTTAGAGTCCTCATAGTTTCACTACTTAGACTATGCCGACGTAAACCTAATAAGTCTGTATTTTGGTTGAAAAGGCGCTCACAACTAACCTCTGTAATGGGAATTGCAAGGAAATCGCGTGCAATACGTGCCATTAGCGGATATTCTCCCTTATGAGAATCCCACCGCTTTAGGAGCCAATCAGTTGACTTTGCATCACTAACAGCCACTGGTGGTGAATCAAGATATATATCAATATCAGACACCTTCACTGTGGTCTTCTTTTTGCCAAAGCGCTCAAGCATACGCTTATATGGATATAGCTCGGGTTGAGATGTCATTGTCTTCGGATTGAGTAATGGTGGGAGTACCAGCTCATCGCTCAGAGGAGGAGTTGAATAACGATCATGAAGGTAGGTCCGTATTTGCTCCTTGACAACATTTGTCGCATCTTCGTCTTCAAATTCCTCTTTCAGCATCTCAAATTTGAGTTGTGGATCAAGCATCATCGCAATGTAATGAATATTTGACCCATGTGTCATACTGACATTCGTTGCACTCAGTTTGCTATCAAACTCAAGAGCAAACTTAGAAATCTCCTCCTCAAACCTACAAGTCACTATACATATTTTGGCTTGTCACACCAACAACAAGAGCAATACTACTCAACGATTGCTACAACCCTCTATGATTCATTACACGTCATTGCTCCTTAGTTACTGGGCCGATATGACCACATAGCATATCTCTACAACCCTCTATGATTCATTACATGACATCACTCCTTAGTTACTGGGCTAATACTACACATGACATATCTCTATCAACTAGAGGCCTAGGAACATGAACGATAGCTCCAAAAGCTTCTACAACCCTCTATGATTCATTACACGTCATCGCTCCTTAGTTACCCACAATATTGGTTAAGTTATGACATAATTTGTCTATAGGGGTACTCTGACCTTGGACCTCCTTTCACTTCCTATAGGCTAGGAACCTAGGAGATGGTTCTATGGGATTCTCTTACGTCGACTACAGTTACCAAGCCTGGTTAGTCATGGAAAGTCTTGGAAAATGAGAGAACTACACTCCTTTAGCATAAATAGGATTGCCCTTTCCTTAAGAAAGGGCAAGCAGACAATACAGTAAATCGACTATCACATACTTCCACGTCTTTTCCAAGCTTCCAAGCATTCATCTTGTTTGTTACTCCTTGTTTCTGAAAAGTCAGTGAGGTGTTAACCTCTTGACTTACCCCTGAGTTCCCAGACTCAACATTTGTTGCAACTTGTCTGAACCACTTCACTACATCACACACCTGATTGCTGCGTTGTGGAATAGTCTAAGCTACAACCCTTTGGCTCTGTTTCCTAAGACAGTGTGTTGTCTTAGTAAATTCATCCCTTCCTTGGGTGGCTAGATTTGATGCTGGATCCATGATGCCACTATTCTCAGATTCTGAGAACTCAATCAAACTTGGAGGGCTTGTACAGTGTTCTGTGTGGTGAGCACAGGATGCTGGGGCTCCTCATCATCATCATCTTAAGCATCGGAAACCTGTATATATGGAGCCATCGCCTCCTGTAGAATTGTGTCCTCATCTAAGCCTCCCTCCACCTCTTGTATTCCCTCCTCTGCTGGATTCAAAAAGTTCGAAAGGTCCATAGCATCTGATATATGACCAGCTTGTTGTACTCGAGTATATAAGTCGTTTAGAACAGGGAGTGGGTGTATAGGAAGCTGTATTGGGCGTAAAAGAATCGTGCTTTTTCGAAAGCAATTCGAATTGCTAACCTGGCAGGAGTTTGAGGAGGTGCAATAGTGCAACAAGGCGAGGGATTGTCGGCGAAAGTATAAACGAGTAATGCTTGAGACTTCAAACTTTGTTGACTTGACTTATGTGAGAATGCGTATCTTAAACATCCTCGAGGGGAAATGCCGCAGCTTTATAGAAAGGAGTTGTCCAAAGTGGACGCTGGATCACATACAGAGAGAAAACATTGCCGACTGTTGCAGTCCTTGGATGTCGACGACTCCTTACATGCTTCACCTTAACGCAATTGCCACATCTAGTATATAGTACAGCAACAACAGGGTTTGATCTAGGGTCAACGCATGCCACGTCAGTGCACCAACTTCAATGCTAGCCATCTTTGATAGCCTGCATATGTCTGCCTAGTTTCTGATAGATGTGACTGACGGTGCCTGCTTGGTCGTCCTGGAGGCATAGGCACTTGTAGATTGTGGCGCGCTCTATCCATTTGCCATCTCGTACTGTCAACAATTGGCTTTCCTTTGTGACTGGTTCACATTTTCACGTGGAGATCAGAGATTCAAACCAGAGAAACCTTTTTTCCAAATTACAGATGCTGAAACACTGCACAGTCTCTTAGCGCCCGGCCTTCAGTTCATTCACAATTTTGACACTAATGATAGTTTATATTCTCATAAAGTTTAAAAGATGCTTACAGTTTGCGCAGTGTCTCGAGATAGGGTTCCACAGAATAATCGTGCGTGGGAGAGTATCTTATATAATGCGTATGCGGTTGTGAATAACATAATCACACCAACGACCGGCGGCCCCACTTTATCTACTGTATTCGAGATACTGGATTCTCTGGTGTGTCTCTGGCGATGTGACTCTTCGTCGTAAATGATTTCTTGCGGGCGCTGTTGTTATACCGTTATCTTGGAAGTTGGAAGGGTCGATTTATGCGTTTGTGGTTGTTTTGGCTGCACAGGCTGGAAATGTGGAATGGAGCTGTCGAAGAGAGAGAGGCTTTATAAAGTCTACCCTGACGCTAATTTATTTAAACTTTTAGGTTGTATGGCTCCGTCCGTTCGAGAATACACTAATTTGGGCGACATACGATCGTGGGGGTCATTTGAGTCTAAATGTCATACTCCGCCATATCATGATAAAGCTCGCAATATAGTACAAAAATAGCACGTATGATTAAAAAAGCTTGCAAAATATATATTAAAATTCTATTGTATGTGATATAGCAAGTTAACAATGCCCTCTCCATGAGCAAATAGGCCTCTGAAAAGCATATGCACGGTGCCGTCATAAAATACTGCACCGAATGAGCAATCAGCTTTGTATAATTTTGAAATCCCCCTACGGATGTCGTTGTAGTTTCGCTCTCACTATCATCGCTGTGTATCCATCGCTAACAAAGCAAACCAACTTAGTCCAGTGCGCCAATGGGTAATCATCGCTCAAAAAACAGACCAAAAAACAGACCAAAAATCGTATCGTCTCGCATCTCATCCTCGGCAGCATGAACCAAAGCACATATCTAAAAGAGATTATGTCAGCATATATCGACGATAATAGGAAGGACAAGTCACCTGGGTTTCCTCCAGTGCGGACGGCCCTTGGCTTCTTCACTGCCACAACCTTCTCAGCTGGAATGAGGTTCAAGACGGAATCGGTATCTCCGCGGTCAGCGTTGAACAGGGAAACACGGACCTTCTGCCAGATGGCCTGAGGAAAGTGTCCCGAGGTGTTCTTGTTGTATTGAGAGGTATAACGCGCCATTTTTGATATGGTGGGGTTGAAATAGCTCTGTGTGTGGTATGTGGGGTTGAGGTTGTCAGCGTTTGAGGTGGCAATGGGTCTCTCCGTGGATGTGGGAGGTAGGTAGCTTTATACTGTGAACGTTAGCCATGTGAACCGCAAGCAAGTGCCTCACGGGTATGCGAGTGAAAGAAAATGCAGTGTTTGTCCAAAACGGATATGCTATGGGAACAAAGCACTTGGCATGAGAGATGAGTCTTACTGTCCAAAACGGATATGCTCTGGGAACAAAGCACTTGGCATGAGGGATGAGTCTTACAGGATTCGGCGGGATAGTCTCACGGGGGAGATTTGTACATTTGTTTGGTTGGCGATCTGCCGCTGGAGCTTGGACGGCCTCGTGCAGAAGGGTTACACTGTTTGCTAAAAGGCACCACTCGACGGGTAAGTGTGTGTACCACCGGTTGTGATGTGGGGACGACTAGCTTTTCAAGTGAAAAAGGTCTGGTCGTGGGAATACAGAGTGATTAGTTTTCTTTGTTGGTTGTTTGTATTTGGATAGTAATCGGTTGAGGTTATAATGGTTTTCAGTAATCACATATTGGCAGGAACTATCGAAGCATTTATACTTGATTTCGCTTTTTGTATGATTCGTAAATGCCAAGGGCATATGATTGATAACTTATTGATAACTACGAAAATCCAACTGCCAAGACCGAACATTGCTTGTTGTTTACACACATGCTATAAATCCACTGTTGTTATAGGTTCAAGCAATTATTGCCGAGCCTAGCCACCGTCATGCGAAAGCCGTGGGCCTCGGCAGGATAGAGCGGCATTGTCAGCCGAGTAGCCTCAGAGAAAATCCGAGAATAAATTCTTTCTTTGGGTAGGTGAATTATAACTGGTATTGGCAAGATAATGTAATCAAAAGCGGAATCCCAAATAGCAAGTCAAATTGTCAAATCCGTCGTGATATTCGGGTTGCACCGCCGCTAATATCTTTATATAAGGTACGACGTCACTTTTCTATTCTAAGCAGGGTGGGGCGCCACCAGAATTCCTTGCTGATAGGCTCCTTGGCAAACCTTCACTCCCACCTCTAACGGAAGCCGTTGGGATAAGGCAAAACGACAACATCAATTCCTCATAACGACCGATTTCATAGCACAACTCAGCTATGATTCTCCGCGCAGTCTTTGCTACGAGCGTGCTGCTCATATCGTCGTCGAATGCAGCAATTAACCTCGCATTGGTTGGGACATGGTCATCCAAGTCCGCCAAGGTGATGACAGGGCCGGTATGGTCGCACCAACTGTAAATTATCCGATGAGCAAGGCTTATATTTCATCTACAGGGCTTCTATAATCCCGTAAATGACAGCTTCATCGAGCCATCCCACGCGGGCATTTCATACTCCTTCACTGCGGATGGCTTCTACGAATCAGCGTACTACCGCGCAGTCTCCAATCGTATGTTCCCCTCCCCCCAGCCACATCGCAAACTAACCCCTCTCCAGCAACCAGCCCTAACTGCCCCAAAGCGCTCCTCCAGTTCCAACATGGCACTTTCACCGAGAACGCCAACGGCTCTCTGAGCCTAAACCCCATCGCCGTCGACGGGCGGCAGCAGCTCTCCGACCCCTGCAAGAACTCAAAGAACTCGGAGTACTCGCGCTACCACCAGCCGGAGCTGATGATGAAGTACGAGGCGAAAATAGACGACTACAAGAAGACCAATCGCCTTGACCTGTACCAGTTTGACGGCACGCCCATCCAGCCGCTGTATCAGGCGTATAGCCCGCCTATGATGCTACCGACGGTGACGATGAACCCAACCGACAAAGCTGACGCTGCGAAGGAGACGGGTGCCAAGGTGAAGAGGGGTGAGGGATTGGCGGAGAGCTTACTCGAGCCACTGAACAAGGACGCCAAGCACATTAAACGACATGTGTCCGGGGCGATGGATGTGAATTCGCCGTCCGGTATGGCGAATTCGGTGTGGTGGGCCGGTGTTGGGATGACGCTTCTTGGAGGTGCGGCGTATCTGTTATGATTATGAGGGGTTGGATGGGTTGGGTGACATTTAGACTGGGCGAACAGACGGCGTATATATAGACTTGGAGAGACTTGCACAAGAGGAGGATGCTGGATGGAAGATATTATTTGTAACGATAGAAGTATAAATTAAGCATTGAACAAACTCATGCTGCTACGCTATTCAAAACATTGATCCCAATGTCCATCGTGTTGTGGGAATGTCAAACTATCAACGAATGCGCCTAATTTGCAGCGTCCAAGGCTATCGACGCCGCAATTTTGAAGGGGTATCACACGGTCATTAATCAGGACTCTCACGAGCTCCTCGTCTTGCCCTCCACAGCGCATCTTCTCAAAATACGCACGGGCTCCAAACGGCACCATCCGGCTCGTCGAATAACCATTAGTCTCGTCTATGGTCTGCAAGTTCTCCTTATCCAACGCCTTCGTGCCATTGAGAAGTCCAAGCGCTGCGTAGATGGCCATCATGTCGTTGTCATGGCTGAAATCCGCAAACATTGTTGTATTCTTGTCGATGGGGAATGTTTTATGTGAGCCGTCCAGGGTGGAATTCGTGCTGGTGTGGTCAACAACAGGGCTGTTCGTCAGCCGTGCAACGAGCTCGTTCGCAAATCCGACACCTTGCGTAGGCCCCATGGGGTTCCCTTGTGCGAATCCATAGAATTTGCCTAGTGATTGATAGTACTCGTAAGAGCGCCACTCGGACGTGGTGAAGATATGGCAGAAGGGCGACAGAGGCGCCTCATACTGGCTAGGCACATCATCAGGATCAACAGTGCCAAAAGGACACACATCCATCAGGTATATGATCTCTCTCGAAGTCAAGTTGACACCCTTCAGATCCTCGTTGATGCGGGCCTGAATTGGCGGGACAAAGGTCGCCGCGAACACGGATTGGGCATCTAAGCCACCGTGGGAGAATGGTCCTGACTCGAAGGAGGTGCAGAGGTCATGGCTCAGAGTGTTGTTGAAGTCAGGACGCTCGGGAATTAGGAGGGCAGGGTAACCCTCGTCGTAGTCTGGCCCAATATGCTCAGGGTCCTCCTGTCGTGCTATTTCAAAGCCTTCCATCCACCAAAGAGCAGAGGCCATCATACGATCTTGGTCGGTACTTCGTATGAAGGGGATTGTATCTTTGGCCAGAGACTGATAGCGCTGATAATGTTTGTATCCCATGTTAGTCAGCTGCTGTATGCCCACAATAGTTAACTTGTCGGCGGCGCTTCTCCATTTATAGGATCTAAGAAACTCGTATTTCCCCTCAAGCTTCCCCTCAATGTTCCCGACAGTTGTGAGGACATGACCAACAAGTTTCTTGTACAGGATCGCCTTTGTGAACGTAGGATATCTGGCACCGTGACGAGCCAGCATTTGAACGAATGTTATTTCGCAAGATGCTGGGGTGTCTGCCGATATTTCAGAAGGCACTGTGAAATAAGGGGAGTATTGGCCCCAATGGTGTGAGATCTCAGGGTGGCATTGATAGCCATTGTTAATTTCACCCGCCACCGTACGCTGGCAGGGAAGTGTATGATCCCCGGGGCGAGATCGCGCCCAGCTGTTCTTCTGTTAGTATGCCACTGAAGACAATCCGCTCCAATATCAAGAAAGGGCTCGTCGATGTTGTTCTGAACATGTATGCACCACTTGACAGCAATAAGACAAGACGCCCAAAGAGATTCAGACTTACGCAACAGCTGCTGCAATGATCAGTAAAAAGGTTAAGCAGATTATAACAATTGTCAATATTATTGTCGCGGCCCTCTTCCTTGCGGTGCCAGGGGCTTCCTCTTCCTCCTCAGCGACTGGTTGTTGCGTTGGTTCAGCATCGCCATCTTCGGTCAATACAGGCTCATAGCCCGGCCTCGCCGCTGCATCTCGGAAAAAGGACGTCATCTCGAGACTGTATTAATTAACAAAGGTTTTTAAGATACTGCCTGCCAGGCTTGGTGTTTTCGATGGAGGTGGAGTCGACCTGGTCGTCTGATATCGTGCCGACGCCGTAACACCAAGTGTAACCGCAGGCGGCTGAGCAGCAGGTGATTATTCAGAGGGACGATAACATATAATGTACTGAATAGAAATATATGCCGATACCGTCGCAATGATTTCTATTTAGTAGAGGTTAACTTGAACAACGTCGCCGCATGGATCGAAACGGGGGTTCCAAATGGCAGGGTTTCGCAAAGCGTTCGCTGTATCGACAAGTCACGCATCTTTGTTATCATCCAACCAAAAGGCCACACGCGCTTGGCGCCAACTTTTCGATCTGAGTCGCCACAGCAAAAATACTACAGTCTGCCATTTGATCGTATGATCATTATGTATATGGGCAACACAGCTATTCTGAACTTAGTAGAAGCAATGGAGTATATTCAAGACTTCTTTAATGTAATATACAGTCTAGCCCTCGTTGTTCCCATAGCGTAGAGAACCTGCCCTCTAATTCATACCTATGTTATATCTATAAGCGGCTGATAATGGCACCAGCGTACTCGTGGGTCTTGGCCGTTCCGTGAAGATCTCCGGTCAAGGTCTTGCCCTCTGCAAGAGTCTCAAAAATGGCCTTCTCGATGCGCACGGCTTGCTCCTCAAGACCCATGTGTCTCAACATCATGATGGAGCTGAGAAGAAGTGCGGTTGGGTTGGCAAGACCCTTGCCCGCGATATCCGGGGCGGATCCGTGAACAGCCTCGAAGATGGAGCACTCATCACCAATGTTGGCAGATGGAGTAAGACCAAGACCACCGATAAGTCCAGCGCAGGTATCGGAGAGAATGTCTCCGTAAAGGTTGGGCATGACCAACACCTTATCGTTGTATGGGGTTGGGTCGGTAACAATCTTCAGGCAGGTGTTGTCGATAAGCTCGGCATCAAATTCGACGGCTGGGAAGTCCTTGGCGACTCTCTGGGCAGTGGAAAGGAAAAGACCATCGCTCATCTTCATGATGGTGGCCTTGTGGACGGCGCGGACCTTTAGCTTGCCTATTTCCTCAGCGTACTGGAAAGCGTATTTGCAGACACGCTCAGACGCCTCTCTTGTGATGAGCTTGATGCTCTGCACAACACCGTCAATAACGACGTGCTCAATGCCGGAGTATTCTCCCTCGGTGTTCTCTCTGATGAGAACGGTATCCACACCATCGTATGGGGTCTTAAATCCCGCAATAGAGCGGCAGGGACGCACGTTGGCGAAGAGGTTGAATGTACGGCGGAGGGTGAGGTTCAGGGAGACGTGGCCCTTGCCAATGGGTGTCTGAATATGTTTAGCAACTTGTATGTAATAATTGGTCGGTATCCTTACGGCAAGCGGTCCCTTGAGGGCAACCTTGTTCCTCTCAATGCTCTCAATAGTCTCGTCGGGAATAACAGTCTTGCCATCCTTCAGTCGAGGAGTAACATCGACGGGCTCCCATTTAATTGGTGTCTACAATCATGTCAGTCTCATTCCGTGGTGGAAGAAATGGCGCAAATCGTACATTAGCAGCCTTGAAGATGTCCTTCACTGACTGGGCAATCTCTGGGCCGATACCGTCACCCTCAATCAAACTGACAGTGTAAAGTCCCTGTCAAATCGTTAGTCAAATATCTTATTACCATCCTATGTCGATTCCAATCGGTCGGCTTGATGGCATGTCGCAATGTATTCAAGAAGTGACGCGAAATTGACGCAATTCGGGGTAGCATACATCAGATCCCTTCTTTCCGTGGAACTTTGCGACTTTGTCATGAGTGCTGGCGCCCGCAGCATATGTTCGTGTCTGGTAATTCAGCTGGTTAGTAGGTGGGACTCCAATTTGCTTATCAATTGGGGTAATTTGGAGTTCAAACCTGAAGAGAGGATAGCATAGCAACACCATTTGCACGAAGGCATTGGCGGCGCGCTGGCGCGGCAATGGACCGGATAGCAAGCATCTTGAAATATCACAGAGAGAATGCCGCTCTCGCGCGAATGCAAGATTGTTGGAGAGAGATAGGTTTGGTGAGGGCGAACTGGAGTTTCTTGCAACATGCGCCAAGATTTCAGGCGAAAGCCTTGCACTACCGCGCCAAGAAATATTGCCGCTTCCATCCGTCCATCCGTCCACCAACTGTAGCGTGGCCTACCTATCGCGCGCTTATCTGGGCCTGGTCTCGCATCCATTGACAGCTCCCAACATTATCTTCGATGGCAGGTGCCGATGTTTATTGTTTAGGAGAATTGCCAAATCTTGCAAATCCAAAAGCGGCATGAGCTTGTTAAAATATGGCCGACTATGAACGTACTGTGCTCGCGCACTATAATCTCCCGACGGCATTCCCAACTGAGTGGCCCGCCGAGAAGGACGAGAGCGATGCCTCAGATGATGAAGGATTAGTCAAGAAGAAGAAAACGAGTAGCACCGGCCGAGCTTCAAAGTCAAGATATTCAGCACTTGAGCGTGCCACAAGCGATCGTAAAACTTATGTCCCAGGCTCACAAAAGACGGGAGAAGGGCTGGAGAACTTGGTTCAAAAAGATGAGCCCGACCCTCTTGGGACAGGTGAAAGTGTCGTGAGAATATTGAGAGGACACGGTCTGCCTGTGCAAGATAACATCCACCTACGTAGGTTTTATGATCCCCGAACAAACCCCTTTTGAGACTAACATGCGACACAAAGGAAACAGATATTTATTGTCGTCAACTACATTTTCGCCGTCTTTATTCCTGTCGCAGGTGCATCATTCGGCTTCAACTCAGCAACTACTCAATGGCCTCGAGGTCTTGTCGCGCTCAATTGATCAGAAATCCGCATCCCTAAGGGTCTTGGTCGAATCCAACTTCGAGCGGTTTGTCCGCGCAAAAGCTACGATTGATAATGTGTATACCGAGATGAAAACTCGTGGAACGGAATCTGTTTCTATGATCCCCCCACGACACTCTCGACACTCGAGCAGGATTAGCTTCAGAGCTGGTAGTCTCGCAGAGGCAGCCCCTGGCACCACGACCATACCCGCGAATAATAAGAAGAAGAACGCGTTGAGCAAAGAGAGCGAATACGGCGTCCTGGGGATCAAGGCACCACTGGTGGATGTGGCAGCCAAGGCCGAGGAGGTTTGGGGACCAGCGTTAGGTGGGCGCGAGAAGGAAGATGATCTCAAGGTCGTCGCTGGCGCTCTGGAGAGACACCGCGACATTTATGAGGCACCTGGTTTGATTGCCGACAGCATCAAGCGCAAAGATCATGAAGCACTGGTGGAAGAATACGCAAAAGCGACTCGCATTGCTGACGAGGCACGAAAGCTCGGCGAAGTCCTAGTCGCGTCACAAAAGCCGCCGACAGATCTCCAGTTACAGCATATCATAGTTGCGGCACGAATGTGGTACGATGTACAGGAGCAATTGGATAATTTTAAGCGCGAAGTTTGGCGACGACTGGCAGCGGTTCAATATGGTGCTGGACAACCGGGCGGCTCTACGAGAGATCAACATATGGATCTGATAAGCATCCTTCTCGAGCTGGGAGTTGAAGACAACCCTATATGGGTTTGGCTGTTGAGCCGTTATGACCATTTGAAGAATAAAATCACGGCAATGTCCAAACGATCAAAGGTTGAAATCGAGGTTCTTCGACGAAGATTAGCAAATGGACCCAAGCCAACGCCACAGGTCCTTGCGAGCCACCTTCAGTCTCTCAGTCGACAAGGTCTAGAGATCAAATCTGCCACACAGGATTCTATGGAGATTATTGAACTGTGGGAGAAAATGCTTACGTTCCTTGACAGCATGCTCTCCTCTGGAGGGGTTCTCGGGGAAGTCCTTGAATTCTCGCAGACTGTCCAAGGATTTATCGATGGCAAAACCCAGCGAACACTCCCGATGGGCCTTAATGGCGAAAGCCGAAAACATCACAGGCTGTCAAATCAAGGGATTGTAGATCTGCGTAAAGGGACAATTGAGCTTATCGACTTGATCCGCGAAGGCGTCAATTCATTCTTTGTCGACCCTCCAATTGAGGACATTTTTCTCCTCTACTCGACCATCCCACCTACACCCATGACTCCCAAGTCTGGTGGACTGGTTCCCCCGGCTCTTCGGGATCCGAGATTTGCTTTCGATGCAACTAGTGCACCTCCTCCATCTCCCAAACTTGGTGAAGCGTGGGAGAAGTTTGCCTTCTGGCCTCCGTGGGCAAACTCGCTGAGTGGCGTCCATTATCTCGCTAAATTGCTTGTCCTCGTTGGATCTGGAGCAAGTGATATGGCGTCTGTTTCGGTCATTGACAAAGGTGATGGTGCAGCTCTAGAGCGTCTGCGTGCACTTGTTGGCAGCGCCCGCGAGCGATGCGTCACTGCAGTTTGCGCGGCTTGGAATAAGGATGCTGAGAATATAAAAGTACTCGAGGATTGGAAACGATCGGCAGAGAAGAAAGAGCTCACGAGGATGCCGGCAAATTTCAGCGCATTTGAAAGTGCAGTCCTTTCGGGCATGCAGAAGATCCTATATATTCCAGAAGCCATCACCAAGCCCAACTCGGAAGAAGTTGTCCTCCCTCCTCCGGCGAAGATCCTTCAGATGGTGCGAAGCCAGTTTGTGACAACGCTATATAAAGCTCTGAGCGGCATGGTTGAGAATGCTGAGCGATCAATTAAGAAGCCCGAAGATGACTGGGCAATTGATGGAGGAGGCATTACGACTCCTTTGAGCATAGGCCCAGAAATGAGCACTGGTATTGAAACTATAGCCGCGTCTGATAGAGTGAGTCCCCTATAACTTGTATTACCGCCAAAGCTAATTTTTATTTCAGAACATCCGCATGCTTCTCACTTTGAGCAATCTTCAGGCGCTACGGGCTGATGTTGTCCCCAGCTTGACAATGCAATTCGAAAACGCGTTTTCAGTCAAACTTACGGAAGAGGCAAAGACCATCCGCGATGTCTTGGCTCAGATAGACGCACGCCTATTTCAGTCGTATACCAGACCGCAGATTGACGAGCTCCGTGGCATCATCAAGGCCGGCATATTGGCTCCTGAATGGGAGCCTTCACCTACTGAGAAGCCAAAGGACGTCAAGCCATACGTCTATGAGGCTCTGCTCAGCTTGGTATTGGTCCATACTCAGGTCGCTACTACGGCCTCTCCTCTGACGCCTCAGATCCTTTCTTATCTACTGGAGCAGGTCTCCCGCGACCTTCTCGGTGCATTCAAGCAACGATCCCAGTACACCCTCGCATCGCTTATGCAAGCGACTCTAGACGTCGAATTCGTGGCACAGACGTTGAGCCAGTATACGACTGACCGTGCAGGGCAATTACAGAGTGACATTTATCAGGAACTGGACAAGGGGACGGACAGTGATGCGCGTGTGAAGCTGCAGGGTGAACTACCGGAGATGAGGGCCGTGTTGAAACGGTTGAGGGAGGGAAGCAGGAGCGAATTTGCTTGCTTCAAAAAGGTTCGAAAGCCTACTGAGCGGGTAAAGTCGTAGAGGCATATTACGTGGTCAATCGGGTTGGATTATAGATGGGTCTAGAAACCAATTAAATCTTTGTCTACAATAATAGCAAACTCTGATATATAAGTTAGTTTAGTTAGCACATATTGCTAAGAGATACTATTGCATACTGCCTGCGATGAATCAATGGCGAAGGGCAACGTGACGCTAATTCTTGTCTAATGAGGCAAGATAGCGGAGTAGCTGCAGCATGTGGCGGCCCAACTCCATTAAAGGCAAATGAGGCTGAGCACAGGCCAGTACCTTCCAGCCTGCGACTTCTTCCTTAAAGTATCTTCGAGTTTCATTTAATCCATTAGTTGATCTATGTAGGCATGCTCAATGGATCCATTCTCACTCACAGTAGGAATCGGAAGCCTCGCGGCCTTGGTTGCACAAACCGCACAGTCGCCCGGAGTTACTTGTGCGGGGTGAGGAACGCCAGGGAATCGATCACCACATTGGTCACTGAGCTAGAAGCCTTGCAATCCAACCTTTCCAGTCTTCAAGAGTTCCTTCGTAGCGATTCCGTGAAAGGACTGGCTTTTGAACGAAATTCAGTTCTTCGCTCCTGTGCATCGGCTTGCGAGAGTAAACTGAAGGCATTATGCAAGAAATTGGGTCAAGTGGGCGACAATAGAACAAGTCGATATCTATGGCCGCTTAATGAGAAGGAGCATCTAAAAACCGTGCAGGAGCTTCGAGCTTTCGGCCAGTGGATCCAATTCGCTCTGTCCGTCGATAGTTGTTCGCTCTAGAACAGCAAGTTGAAGGTTTCAGAGCATTGCAGGCCCTTAAAGATCCTAGACACCATCAGAGACCAGACCCAACTGTTCCAAGATGACCGTATTGCGAAAAGGCGAGATACTATACTCAATTGGATCTCGAGGTTAGAGCATGACCAGAAACATCAAACTGTTCGTTCACCTCGCGTTGAGGGAACAGGCGGCTGGCTATTAGAACGAATGGAGTATGCCCGGTGGCGGGATGATGTTTCTTCTTCTAATGTTCTTTGGTGCCATGGGATTCAAGGCTCCGGAAAGACGGTTTTGACGTAAGTACGATGCATCTCGTCGTTGAGCAAGAGCTTATGATAAACAGATCAATGGTCATTGACGATCTCAAAAATTCATTTTCTAGTTATGGATTTCCAGTTGCTTTCCTATACTTTGACTATCAAGATCAAGATCGGCAGACGCTAAGTAACATGCTGTCAAGCATGCTAAGACAGATTGTGGCAACTTGCTTGGTAGGTTGACCACCGTACAGAAATAAAGCTGTTTCCTGTGTGCCGTCAAGTACGTATGACTTGTCAACACGCACAGCAACGCCAGCAACTTGGCCGTCGAGCTCAAGAAGTAACTTGCCTCCGTTAGTCGTCCTTGTCATGATGCCCCTATCCTGGAGATGGGACACTGAGATGAGGTTTCCGGCGAGGCGTGGGACATGAAGCACATCGTGCATCAATATTCTGCGTTTCTCACCCTTCACAAGGGTGTTGAAAGCAATGGTCCCTTCGCCGATGGCCTCGATCGACGCACCGTTGCGATATTAACCGGTATTGACATGCTCAGCAGCTTATAGCTGACGAAAGCATCCCGGTCGTATGTCATATGGCGAGAGCACGATCCATGAGTGCCCCTGAGAGCCGCCACCCTCAAGCCAATTGCTTTTTTCTTTGGCGGCGATGGCGATCCAAGCTGTGGTCGATGCCGCCGCCATTCTTGCTGCTGCAGGGGGTGGTGATAAACCTCTCCCACCACCAGGAGCGGGGAGTGGTCCGGTTGATGGGTTCCTTTTAGGTTCACCGTTTCTTCTTGACCGGCAGTCACTTCGATAGTGACCCTTCTTTCCGCAATGGTAACAGGTGATGTCCTCAAGCGGTGGTGCTTGGCCACCTCCTCCTTGATGTCCTCCTCGTCCGCGGCCATGGCTTGCACCACGGCCGCCTCTCCCACTGCCTCTTGTGGTGTTAGAGATTCCAAAATCGGTAGCTGATGCATACGAAAAGTTCCAAAGTTCCGGGTCCTATATACTAATACACGAACTCGAAAAGATGATACTTGAGACCGTTGAGATCATCCCTCGAGCCTATATCGTAATTGATGCTCTGGATGAGTGCGAAGAATCGAGGTGCCGAAGACCGTTCGTCCAGTTTATCTCTCGCCTTTCGCAGGCTCATGCTGTCCGTCTGTTCGTGACCAGCCGTCAGTGTTACTACGACATTAGCACATTTTTCTCTACCTACCCACAGATCGAAATCCAGGCCCACGACCACGATCTCAGGCGATATATGTATCAAGAGCTTGATCATGCCGCTATAGACGATATCGTCGATAAAGATTTCGCCTCGAAGATAGTTGAGACGTTGCTCAATAAGGCACAAGGAATGTGAGTGCTTAAGTATCCTTTACAGCAGACAGTCAAATATATCCCTGCCACAAAAACTGACAAATTAAGGTTTCTGCTTCCGATCCTGCAACTAAGAACCATTCTGAACGAGCCAACCGCAGGCGACATGGAGGATTCATTGACTTCCCTATCTCACAACCTCTCAGGAGCATTCGAAGAAACTATTACCCGCATCCAAAGTCTTCCAGAGAGACGAAAGTTACTAGGAATGAGGACTCTCATGTGGATATGCCACGCAAAGTGTCCAATAAAGGTCACTGATCTAAGCGACGCAGCATCCGTGAAACTCAACCAAACGACAGTGAGCACGAAGCACTGTCCTTCTGCGAAGATGATTATCGAATGCTGCCAGGGACTTGTGACCATTGATCCAGAGAGCACCATCATTCGTTTTGCCCATTACGCGGTCCAGGTTTGATCGAACACACAAACACATTGTTCTCTCGCGCAGAGGCAAGTCTCGCGGAGACCTGTCTCACTTATCTGCTTTTCGATACCTTCAAGCAAGGTCCATGCCTAGACGAAGAGCGCTTAAATTTCGTATTGAATCTAGCACATTCTTGACGTATGCCGCGAGGTCCTGGGGTGTACAGGTTAAGGGTTCAGAAATCGATCAAGTTGTACAGCGCCTCACTTTCACGTTCCTTGATTGTCATCCTGCTACAGCAAGCGCAAATCAAATCATGCAGTACAACAAAGGCTATCGGAAAGAGTACTGGGACCCAGAGGAGTGCTATAGCACCACAGCCCTACATGCTGCAAGTCATTTCGGTCTTGAGAACACCCTTAGAAAATTGCTCGATGGGGACATTCTCCCTATTGATGCAAAAACAAAGATGGGCTCTACACCACTCATCAAGGCCGCATCACGTGGACACGTCTCGCTCGTTCGAATATTGCTGCAGAAAGGTGCCAATACGTACTTGAGAACTTGTACGGAACTGCTCTGCATTGCGCTGCCGAAGCTGGCTATTCTAACACTATAAATGAGCTTGTTTACCACGGCATGAGCGTGAATGTCTGCGAACAATACGATCGCATTCCTATCAGTTGACAACGACCATGCTGCTGCATTTGAATCATTCGTCGATCTAGGAGCTGACATCAACGTTTGTGATAAATCTGGCTTAACAGTCTCCCATAAGTGGCTAAAGATGGCTGCATCAATATTATGGACTTGATCTTACAACGACGCTGGGCAAATTTAGAGAGCGAGTCTAAGAATGGTCTTAGAGCAATACACTATGCTGTGATTAGAGGTAATACAGCCGTCTTGGCAAACCTTTTGGAAGCAGGAGCAGAAGTCAATGCCTCAAACTGCTTTGGCAATACACCTCTGCACTATGCAAACATGTATAGCAATATAGAGAAAATGACATTGCTAATAGAGTATGGCGCCAAAGACTTTTCTAAAATGAATGGCTTAGGGGCTTGGTGCTACGACGCGGGAGGATCACGCGCCGGGAGGGTCATGTGATCTACGGGTATAAGAATCGAGGCGAGTTGAGGTAATCAAGCTTAATTACCTTGGACTTTAATTCCCTTAGTATTTACTATCATGTTCGGCGACCATTGCTTCATAGGAATCCACGGGTGTCATAATACAAGGGATGCCTTTGTTAGAGGATCACTGACAAGCAGCAGAGGGGTTGGATAGCCATGGGAACTATCTATTGTAGCAGTGTATCGACTACATGAATGTGTATGGAGGTATTCGGCGTTTGTTTGTATGGGTTCTAGTGTGGTATACATCATCCCTGGCCCCGAATCGTATTGTATGACTAAATTGGGCAATCTGAGAGTTGAAGAATATGTCACACCTACATAATTCACACATGGGCATATCGTATTGGGAGAAGGCTACTAGCATTTCAGCATGTATTCAGAAGACGTAGTCAGTTGATGGATAGCTCAGATATATACGGTAGCATGGCAACGGTTATCTATTGTATGTCTCCTTCAGTCCAACTGCCATCAGATGGTGCCACTGACCCTTTGAAGTTGTAGAATCGTACCTTCCGTCAGGGCCTCCACCAAAATAGCCAAGCCCCTCTTCAGCACGTCCTACTCCGCCGGGGCATTCACTACTTTCACATAACCGCGCGTTGCCGTAGCTATACTCTTGCATTGTTCCCAAATCGGAAGCATACTTTGTGGCATGGCAAGCAGCACTGGTGCTGTAGCTAGCGAGTATTTCGCAAGTGGTGCACATTTACTCTGCCAACTGATGCTCGACGATGTTGTCGCATGTTGAGGCCGTATGGGGGTCCCATAAAGCCGACGAGTCCGGTAGTCGCACGAATGGGCGATGCGTATGAATATGTATTGTTAACCTTGAATCTGCAAGGCCACAGGGTAACTTCTACGTCCTAATCCCCAGACACGGGAGTATTAGCAGTGTTTTCTGGTGAGTACGACAGGGCCACATCCGACTTCGGATTGGGCGCTGCTCTCTTGCCGGGATGCAATTGTGGTGAACGCCTGGCCTGGGTAGAAAGGGGTGGTTTTTGGGTAGTAGTGCGAGATTTCCTGTCATACCAGTCCACGTCGCTGAGTTGTAGCTTGCGTGATCGCTGCCCGCTGCGGTTGCTCCCAGACTTGTCGGTCTTGGAATGCGAAACGCCAGCAAGCTTTTCAATGCCTGGAGTATGTCTGTAAATATTCATGTTCGGTTGGATAGGTTTCAGTGAGGAATCACCATCTTGTTCTTCTCCTTCACGAAGGTCATAGTTCAACACTAGACTCTTGATTCTCTGTTGCTCCTCTCGCTCGGCCTGCTGTTGCGTCTTCATGGCAATTGCGAAGTTGGAGTCAGAAGGTAATTCGACCGTTCGAGTCTGTTGACGATTTCCTCGTTTGGTCAATAGTGAGAATGCCATAGTATTGGGGGGAGCGGGGGCGACAACAGGTGCCGCATGTTCATCACTTCCTGACTCGACAGTGGATGTGGTTTCCCTGTTGCTACGACGCATGGGTAAAGGCACATCGAACATTGGCTTTCTGTCGAATTTTCGAGATTCCAAGCTCTCAGCCATCATCTTCGCATACTCGCGTTCGAAGTCAGCATCGTCCTCGGGATCGTATTGCTCGTCCTGTCGAGTCACAACAATTGCTTCTTCCTCTTCGGACTCAGATCCATGGCGAGACACTTCATCGTCACCATTAGCTTGGGCCTCGTCATCTTCTGATGAGGACTCATCGCCATCACCGGCTGGAAGGCCATCTCCGTCGTCTGACGACTCATCGATTTCAGGCTCTTCGACTTCGACAGCCTTCTCGACGCCAGAGGTTTTCTGGTCTTGGGCAACAGCAAGCTGGAATGCACGGCTAGCTTCTTCAATGTTTGAAGCAAGCTTCCATTGGGGTCTGGTCAAAGAAAAGGTATCCTGGACAATGAATTCAATATCCATCGGTAGGGTGTCTTTCGTGTAGATGTAATACTGGAAAAACGATAGGAAGTAGTCAAGCTTCTTTCCGGCAGCCCCACGATTAAAGAATATGCCACAAGTCTCGAGAAGTGTAGCCACCAATCGAATTCGAAAGAAATCGTCGGGCATATCAAAGGGATTAACTCGCGCCGGGTTCGGTACTCCACCATGGCCAAATGTCATGATCTTATACATAGTATCGAAGATGGCCGGATGGTCTACCATTCGATAGTTGTAAAGCTCGGCGAGGTACTTGACTTCAGCCAGTCTCCGTTGGTTGTATTTGAAGTCGTTCTGCTCCAAGCCGAGCATGATGTACTCAAGAACATCATCGATTACGGTGGTGACGAAATCTTGGTGGTACCGATGCAACGCGCTAACCAGAATGGCGAGAAGATGGATATTCCCATACTTGACCTTTCCTGGTTTCGAAAAGACCTTTTCAAGGATTTTGGTAACCTCTGGCTCTTCCCAGTGAAGCTTCCTAACCTGTCTAAGGACCTTCGTGTAGCTCTTTTTGTTCATATCTAGATAGATGAGTTTTCGTATAAACAGATCTATCGGAGTGCGCTCATTTTGGAGTATAGCCGCCCGTACAGGGGGGTCGACGTAGTAAACGGCGTTCTCAATCAGCATACGCTCTTGCTGACCGATATGTTGAGCAGATTTCTTGCGCTGTAAGGTTTCCAAGAAGGATGTCATGCGCGGCGAGGTTTCGGGGTTCCGGAAAAGGTATCTGCCGCAGTTTTCGAGCAGGTTGCATATGATCTCAATGTTCATCCTTGAGAAATCATCCAGGCTGACCTTTAAGCAATGGAAGATGACATGCTCAGGTACAACCCCGAATTTGGTAAGCTCGGCAAGGTACCGAATATTACTGAGGCGGACTTGCCCCAGGAAATCTTTCTCTTTGCGTCGCTGGAGGCTGCGAAATTCCATATCGAGGTGGTCCACCAGTCCTTTCGTGGTATCTGGCATGTATTTACCCAATATTGATATGAGGCGCGACCAGTACGGCAACAGGTCGCTACGGCCCTTGGGGACTTCCTGGACAGCCTTTATGAGGCGATTTCTAGATGCCTTCGAGTTCAAGAAGCAGAAATCAATAGCTGCTTGGTCGACGAGGTCTTTATTGGTGAGATCAGGCAATCGTGCAATTAAAGCATCAACTTGGGCGCCGACGGTTTTATTGACAATAGCTGTGGACTGGTCGTCGGCTGCTGCTGGCTTGACTTCAACTTTGGCTGCTTCTGTGCCGGAATCAGCTGCATCGCCCCTTTTCCCCACTTGCTCGTCCGTATCAGTCTTCTTCTTCTTGGTATCCTCCAAAAGCATGCCAGGCACTTTCCCCTTTAAGTCGACCAAATTCTCGTAGAATCTGCGCTCTTCTTCATCCTCCCAGATACCAGCGCCATCGCCTTGGCCGCGGAGGTATTCGCCAGTTTTAACCAAACCTATCCCACCATCGAATGCGGCAACAGAGTCTTCGGTATCTTTCAGGTCTGGCATTTCTGCGCCAATAGCGTCCGCGAGAACCTGGGCGTTGTCGACAAGTCGATCTTGAACCTTAACTTGCTTCTCGTAGTTCGCCTGGCGATCTTCAAAGACCTGTCCGGATTTGACATATGCCTCTGCGTCGCGACGTGCTTGGGACGCCAATGTCTTCTGGTCTCGAACGATATGAGCTTTGAGGTCCTCGAAATAGCGCCTGAGAATATTCCTGAAACGTTCTTGCAGTTCTGGTGATGCCAACGGCACATCTTCTGCGTTGCTTGTGGCGGATGTTGTCTCTTCGTCAGAGTCGTCATTATCCATCGTATCCCCATGGGCATCCGTCGCTCCATCCTCCTGAACAGTTTTACGGCCTTCGGCGCCTGCTTTCTTCACGCCAAGCATATCCCAGCCAAATGCCTTGACGAAAATAACGAGTAGTGGGAGGTTTGCATGGTCTCGGTCGTGACCCAACAGATCCTTCAAAACTTCCAAAGGAAATGGCTCGCTACCGCCACCTTTCATGCTGCTGGCCGCCTTTACTTTCGCCTCGCTAACTTTGGCCGTCCCCGAAAGTGATTCCTTCCCGCGAGACGCATCATCTGGGCGGCTGGCGTCATCGAGCGTCCGGAGAACACCAACAAGCCATAACTCTGTTACGACTCTGAGAAGAACCCGCTGACGAGTCAGGCGCTCCTTCTCCTCCTTCTCTCTCAAGTCCGCTGCCAAATTCTTGAGCAGTGCTTTCTCTGGTGTCGCCAACCCCTTGCCAACTAGCCAACCAAGGTATTCCGTAAATTCCGCGGGTCCGAATCGCTGGTGTAGTGCGCTGACAATTTCTACTCCTGCTTCAATCTCCCCTGGAGATTTCAGTCGACAAAGTCCTTCGTAGCAAGCGGATATAATTTCGGAGAGGTATTTGCTCAAGGAGAGGGTCCGGATCTCCTGGAGGAACGTATTGAGGGTGGCGGCAGTAACAGCAGTGCGGAGACGTTTGATGAAAGCCGTATTCTTCTTGAGTGACGAGTCCAACGATTTACTGACAGGGAATACACCTATATAACGTTATCAGCAGCGCTTCCAAATATCCAAGCGGGGGGGCGCAAACCTTTCTCTCCTTCCCATGCCTTAGCGTTCAAAACGCGCAGTTCACCTGTACAGGTCAGCAAGAGCCCAATCAGCCGGTCCTTGGTTCTTATCCTCTCACGTTTTCTTTTGCGATCCATGCTTGGAGCTGGATCGGTAATTCAGAGTATACAGGTATGGCCTTTAACCACCACATTCGTAAAATCTACGGGTTTCGCATGAGGAACCAGTGGAAGTATGTCGTTGGCCAAGCAATATGATGCATCTGTGGTGTTTGTCCTGGGCCAGGAAGGTGCAATCAGCGTGTTGCAGACGTCGTTATGAAGCTGGCGTTCGTGGCCCTAGAGTCGCGACAGGGAAGTGGGCTGCGACTTGGATAGCCAGAGAAATCGACAGTAGTAGAAATTGACCTGGTACGTGATGGCCCGACCCTCTGATTCTACCCTTAGCTAGCTAAACAGCTCACAATTATTACCCCATAATCACGTGATGTAAAATCATAACAAATGCTAACGGTTCAATTTGGTTTTATTTTGGGTTTCTCGAGTGAATTTACTTTACGAAGATGACTTCGTGATCTCAAGAGTTCGAAGACCTAAAGCTCACTGTTCATTTTTTCCTTCTCTAGTTTCATCTTTAGTTTGAATACATGCTTTCCCACTTGAAATTCGCGTACTCGCTTACAGTTGGTATGTCGAGTTTACTGAGCGGCTTCTCATCATCCGGATGATGCTCAGCATTTCTACCGAACACTGTCACGATCATCGTTTTGCCGTCATATTTATTTTTATCTTCATAGCTATTTCCACATTGGCAAGTTTATGGAATTCAAATCATCCCCGGCCTAGTTTCGCCCAGTGCCGATCCCAGTGGCCCAGTGCCGATCCCAGTGTCACGTCCCTCGCCTTGGTAGAGCCTCAAACGTCGTCCATCCATGCCAAACACCACAGTGTTCCAGAACTACCCCACTGCCCACCATAGCCACCTCCCCCAAAGCGCCCATCACATCCAGATGGAAGCTATGATGGACAGATCCGAAACTAACACAGAGCTATAGACGTTCTAGATTCGCGCCGGGGCGGCTCGCTCAGAAACTACACATGAAACTCACATCCCAATCCACCATGTTTGATACTCCCAATGCCACGTTTGACTGCTCTCTCCACCTGGCGCCATTTCCCCTTACCCCCAATTCCAAGAGCTGCCAGGTCTACACCCCACGCTATCATATCTTGGCCCATATAAGGTATGCTCCCTTCGTCTCTAATCCATCATCATCATCAGCTCTTTCATTCTTCCTATCTTCTTTATATTTCCAACACACGCTAGCCGTTGCAGAACCAAACACAAACCACCAAAATGCATTTCTCAACCACCACCCTCGTTACCATTGCGCTGGCCGCTCTCGCTTCCTCTTCCGCCATCCCCGATCGCCGCTCCCCCAAGGGCGGCCGTGAAAAGGGCAATAATGGCAACGGCAAGGCTGCGGCTGGCGCCGCTGCTGGTGGTGTTGCTGGCGGAGCTCCCTGTGTAGCCATTGGCGCTGGCAACAACAGCACCGCAGCCGCCGCACGCAACGCCACTGCTGTCGCTGCTGCCGGCGCTGCAGGCGCTTTACCACCGGCAGTCATGGTCACGGTGACCGGTGCGAATGTGGCGGCCGCGACTGGCAATGCTGGTAATGCTGCTGCGGCTGCTGCCATCCAGGACGGAAAGGCCATGAAGAAGGCTGCACAGGCTGTTGCCGGTCAGGACGGAAAGGCCATGAAGAAGGCCGCAAAGGCTGCTGCTGGTCAGGGCGGAAAGGCCGGGAAGAAAGGGAAGAAGGCCGCGAAGAAGGCCGCGAAGAAGGCCGCGAAGAAGGCCGCGAAGAAGGCCGCGGCCGCGAAGAAGGCCGCGGCCGCGAAGAAGGCCGCGGCCGCGAAGAAGGCTGCGGCCGCGAAGAAGGCTGCTGCCGGTCAGGGCGGAAAGGCCGCAAAGGCTGCTCGTGGAGCGGCGGCAGCAGACCCGGCAGCAGGTGCTGCGGCAGTGAATGCGAATGCGAACCAAGCTGCAAACGCCAATGTCAACGCCAACGGAAACAACCAAAATGGAAACAATGATAACCAGAATGGAAACAACCAAGTAGGAAACCAAGATGGAAATGATGCCGCAGATGCCGCAGATGCCGCAGACGCCGCAGATGCCGCAGACGCCGCAGATGCTGAAGACGCCGCAGATGCTGAAGACGCCGCAGATGCCGCAGACGCCTCAGATGCCGCAGACGCCGCAGACGCCGCAGACGCCGCAGACGCCGCAAACGCCGTAGCGAACGGAAACGCAAATGCAAATGCCGCTGCTGGTGCAGGCGGTGGTGTCGGCGACCTCGGTGTTGGAGGTGGTGCGGGCGGAGCTGCTGGCGGCGCTGGCGATGCTCTCACCGGACTTGGAGCCAGCGCTGGTGATGCGCTTGCGGGTGGTGCTGCGAACTAAGCCGAGCGTGTTGAGTGATGAGAGAAAGATCGCGTTTTAGGGGATATTCTGCCAATCCGTCTTTGATAGATTGGATAGAATTAGGTTTTTGGCAAATAGTCCCTCGTCTTTGATAGACGTGATTGGGGTATATGACAAAAATTGAAGCCTTAAAAATATACCCGTCGTACTTCCTACATCGTGTCTTCCTATGACAAAAATTGAAGCCTTAAAAATACACCCGTCGTACTTCCTACATCGTGTCTGCCTTTGGACAAAAATTGAAGCCTTAAAAATACACCCGTCGTACTTCCTACATCGTGGCTTCCTTTGGGAGTGCGTGATCCCCAGTGTCTATATTTGTAGACGATGTGCCCTCTTCATTTCTCGCGCTGTGTCCCGTATCAACAACAGCCTCGGCTTCGCGCTCAATTGGGTCTTAGTTTGTGGCTTCTCTCTCGTCGCCCTGTCTGTCTCTTGCTGGAGTGTAATACCTATTTTGTTCATTCCTGTCATCCCCCTGACGATCCTGCAATTACATCAGTTGACCGTGCTGTTTAAAATAGAGGACATGAGCGCAAGCGCTTACCTCTTGTGATTGTTTCGCCGTGTAGCGATTGATAGACTCAATGAGCCGGTTGAGAATCCATTCTGACTCAGGCATATCCGACAACATGGGCGAGTCTTCCCCTATCCAGTCCCAATTTATGAAACCCTCCTGCTGCTCTTCCTCCTTCAGCTGTTCCCGCGACTCGGCGGTGAACCGGATCAACCTCGTGAACTCGGCCCATTCCTCGTACGAATACCGCTTTGGCGGGGAAACCTGCATATCCTGCGCCGCTTTCTTGATAGCAATAGCTAGCCTCCTGAGAATTTCATGACTTGACATGCCCTCATGGATGAACTTCTCGATTGTAGGGTTTTCCACGTCGTCAGCAGCAGCTTCTCCTGCCTCTTCGTCCTGGACCACAAACCCGCGCTCAACTCGCTCTTCCTCCTTTTTTTTCTGCTGCCGTTCCTTAATCCACCTCTTCAGCCGAGGATGGGAGTCGACGAATTCTCGGCCCACACCAGCGCGGGGCATGATGGTCCAGTCGGCCAGCGTATTGGTCCATTGATTAATACCCGATATGACGGTGTCGCTCATATCGGATATTAGGGTTGTTACGATAGGAACAGCCACCAGAGACCAGAAGACGAAAAATGCCTTGCCAGCATTGCTTTTAGGACTGAAGTCGCCGTATCCAATGGTGAGCAGTGAGACGTAGCAGAAGTACAATGCCTCAAAATAAGACATTCCCTGCTCCCTCTCCTCAGCTACCCAGAATACAACCGCGCCGACGAACCATAATATGGCGAATGCAAGGATCGACATCGATAGCTTGTAGTATTGCTTGAATCTCTTGGTGTTTCTTTGGACATATCGCATTGCTTCAAATCTATCTTTCTCGTCCTTCAGGTAAATTAACCGTTGACGTTTCTCTACTAATGTTTCAGGGCCGTTCTTCAAAACTTCTCCTGGTCCATTCATTTTCGGAGTGACAGGTTTGAAAGTAAGTTTTCGATGGCCATGGGATGTGCTCGATGTTGGCCCCCCGTTCGGCGTGAACGTCACAACCTTCCCGGATATATCTAGTTCGCCGTATTGTGCGATGGACTCTGTCGACACCGATCGCAGCGAGTGCGGCGTACGGTTCCCATCACGGTGCTTCGGGGGAGGTAATCCCAATCGATCTCGTAGCTGCCCATCGCTTGTCACGCTCCTGGAAACAGTATGGGCTCGTACGCGCTCTTCGTGGGCTTTGACGACTTTGTTCTTTGATATGCCTTTTGCAAACTTGTGAATGCTGTTAATCACCAGACCCAGGAAAACAATACCAGGGACTGCATATGGTATGGTAATGCCTCGGCCAGCATTGTTCGTCGGTACAATGTCGCCATATCCAACGGTCAGGATGGTAACGTCGCAGTAATACAACGCATTGCTGAAACTGAAGCCGCAGACTCGACTGAAAACCCCGGCCCCACCACCAAGCCACAAGAAAAACATCATGGTCTGCAGGATTAGAGTTCTCTGATAACCAGTGAGGTAGAAATTTTGGGGATATTTTCCCAACAGGTATCCAACCATGTTAATGAGGAGCATGCCAAATCCCAGGTTGTATAAGACACAAGCTATTACGGCGTGCCAAAATCCCTGGGACCATGTTTGCCCAGGCCGTATTGGGGGGTTCAAAATACCCATGGCGACGATAATGCTGATCAGCTAATGGTAGACGTTAGTAAATGAGAACACAGGATGGCTAGAGAATATATCATACAATGGCAGATGACAAAAACCACATGAGAACTGTAGCGGGTAAGGCAACAATATATCGTACACGTCTTGTGAAATTACACAAGAGGAAAAAATTACCAATGAATCCAAAGGCCAGCGAGAGGCCATTGAGGATAAGTTCCCTGTCCAGTCAGCAAGGCTTCGAAAATACTACTGTACAGCACAAATACCATTTTGGATCTGGAATCATGATTCCATTGTCATCCGCCCCTTCCGGCAGCTGCCCATTATTAGGAAGTTGAACCCTCCACTTGGAGACAAGGCCAGCAATAGAAAGTAAATTCGCCAGCGGCCCTATCGTAGCAGCAAGCAGAGGGATCGCCGTTGATGCAAACCACCACGACCTATCTGTGTATTAGAAAATATAAAAAGGGTAGCTTTTGGCAAGTTTAGACATACTGTGGCAAATCATCATCTTGACCTCGCAACTTCAACTTGCCCCATCTCTTCAAGTAGCCGCCCATTTTCAAATGGGAAGCCTTTCAAGGCGCAAGTTTTACCAGTTCATGTGATTTATCTCTCCGTCTCCTATCTCAACCCATATTCCATGATAGCCGTGGAGACTGCCGTGACGTCAAAAGCGACAGGGATGCTATCCTTGCAACAAGGCACTTGGGTATCTGCAGTGCCGGCGGGGTTGATGGTATGAAAGCCAGAACGCAACGCTTGAGAGGTTTATATAAAGAAATACTGATGTGAGATTAACTTTGATATAGATGGAGGCAATCCAAATTTGTAGAGCATATCCCTGATCCAATCAGGAGACGAATGTACCGAAAACCAAGTCGAAATGCGAAGAGCCCCACCACGTTTCGCCAACCAGGAGCCAGGCACGAGAACGGGATCGAGTTGCCGAGGGGAGTGTCTACTGCAGACATTTATAGAAGATGGGGAAGAAAAACAGATGAAACGACCAAGGCAAGTTAAGATACCATCCCTAGTGATTAGTTCTGTTACCATTGAAGAAGTTGAATATAATGGTTACGCAATATTTCAATATTGAACTTCTATAATACAATTCTAGGTCACTGTGGTCGAAGTTTTATTGCCAAAAGGTTGTGCACGCCTTTGGTTATATACTGAAGATGGCACGGAGCTATCTCGTCGCCGTCTCGTTCTGGGCCTGCAAAGTAATACACTTCGAGATTTGGGACGCGGGTTTGGAAAATGAGCTCAGAAGATATCATTGAGCACTCCTGGACAACAGACTACGAGCGACAGCATCTCTCCCATGGTCACGAATCACAGCAATTCACAGAAACCCAGCAACGCACGTCAAGAGCTAAGTTCGTAATGTGAATATCCTTTTCATGGGCTATAGCTTTTGGGTTTTGTTTTACAAACATTAGCAAGGCGGTTGCCCGTATACTCCGCACTCCATCCCATTCGTCCCGTCATCCATTCCGCCATGTCGAAAGAAACATCTATTCCCTCCCCCGCCATGATCCAGCGCCGCCCAAGTAAGACGCTGACAGGCTGTAAAACTCTATTAAGTTGAGTAACGCATTAAAAAAAACGGAAAGAGGACCCTGCTGTCCGATCCGTTATAAGACGCCAGCGCTGATTCCTGTTGTAAAGAACAGGAGGCTAAGAGTTTGGTGGTGGTACAAGAAAGTTCAAAAAGTAAAAAGGCGATAAAAAGAGGCCATCGAGCGTCAAAGTGGTGTGTTAAAAGGCCGTTACGTGGTATCATCGACAAAGCAATAGGAATGTTGGGGTGGTTTCATGTGGCGGACGTGGGCGTAGAGACCTCGCTGTCCTCCACCGCATCATCCAGGCGTATCTTCTTGTGGCGCGACTCATTGCCTTCGTTCATCTCGGCTACTTCGCGCTCGAGGTCATCAAGGCGTCGCTTGAGTTGGTTCTCGCGTCTCTGCGACTCCTCGAGGTGCTGGCGCAGAGTGCGCTCGGAGTCCCGCTTCATCTCCTCGCCTCGTCGCGCATTGGCTTCGTCTTGTTCTAACTGTGTGACGCGCCCCCGGAAGAGTTCGTTGATCAAGTCAAGCTCGCTGACGCGAGTTTTGAGAGACGCATTCGCGGCGAGAAGCTGTTCGTATGTTTGGGGTACGTCCAGGTGGCGGTCGCCGTTTACGGATGACTCGGATCGACCAGGCGATGAGGCGCGCAGGTGCATCTGTGGTAACGAAGGCGAATGAAGTTGGTGATCGGTAAGTTCGGATCCATTGAATGGCGCCATGCGATTACCATACATAGATGGAGTCCCGGTGCGCGATATTGGTGAGTGCGACCCTTCGGAATGGCCATTTTGCGATTTGTGGGATGTGCGACGATGGCCGCCGAGTCCAGTTGGGGGAGGAGTGTTGGCTTGCGATCGCGCGTCGCCAAGTCCGTTCGATGCGTCAAAGACGCTCTGATAAGATGGGTTAGGACGTCTGGGCATCACTGGGGATTTCATCGATGTTTCCAATAAACAGACCTTCTTCTTTTGACCTTGGGCAGCACCGGAGGTCTTGATGCGGTTTCGGCTTTTGATAACATCTGTTTTGAGGCTTATCGGACGAGGGCGACCGTGGAGCTTGAGGAAAAGGCCACAGGCGTTGCAGAGTACCGAGCCGATTTCATCCCTCCTCCATAGAGGAGTTGTTGATGTTGTGCAGTTCTGGCATATGGGCTGTGCCATGTCGCGATCGTTGTTAGACATTGTTGCCATACTTGCGATACGGTGGAGAGTACGATAAGAGATTGAAAGATTTGAATCTTGGGTTGGGATGGGCAAGTCGCTGCCTCGCTTGAGACGTAGGAGGGAAGGAATGGCAGGGCTCTGAGGCGTAAGCGAGATAATGGGATAATGGGCTGGGACGGTAGACGGCTACTTGGGCGCGAAGTCCGACTGCCAGTTGTTGTGGTACTTCCTTCCGTCCCTAGTCGCACGCACTTCAATCTGTACACTATACAAAGTGTGACATACTTTTTGGTACAGAACACAAGAATATAATGGAGCAGAGAATAGTAAATAAATGAAAGATGGGGAATATAAACTTACAGGAGAATTCCCAAGTCCTGCTCCCCCAACACTTGTGGCCGAGGGCGACGACGTGGCAAAGTTCAATCCATTGCTTGCTGTTCCAGCGGTAAACTGCCTGATTATTGGTGATAAAGTCAGCCCCCGTTCTGTACATGTACCGCCGTCCCATAGATTAGAGTAGAATCGCCGATAACGATAAAGAAACTAACTGCAGGGGTGACAAATATCTCCTGAACTCCCGAACGCGCCGTTCAGGGATGGAGAAACTTGGAGACGTCATGCTGCACACCTCTGTGTTTGGATGTGTTTTGTTTGGATGTGTGTGGAAGGTGTAATGGTAATGGGCTTGTAGTTACTGACCTCAGTGGGTATGAGTCTGCGCCGGCAGCAATTGATGCCAGCGATGAGAGCGCGGGTAGCTGGGGCATCGACGCGCTGTGGTGTAGTGTCGAAGTCACAGCCGATGCTGCTGAGGTCGATCGACGTTTGGCATCTCCAGCAGTAGTCAACTGGGGATTGGGATCCATCGTGCTGGTTGGAGCGAATGCGCGATCTTGTGGTCGTCCCGCCAGTGGGAGATGCTCGAGAGGCCGGTATGATGTCAGTGTCGAAGCCATATTGAACCACGGTGTATAGCTAGGCGTTCAGGTCGGAGGCTGCAAATATTATCGTCTTTTGAATTGTTGAAAGGCGTCGTGTGTGAATAGAAGGGATATCGATTGTGGGAATCTGTTCGTCGCTTCCAGATGACTGGGAATTCGTGAAAAAGAGAGCGTGATCGGGGAGCTTGAAACTGCTCGCTGCTACTGCTAAACCAAAATATGATTATATTATAAAGAAGGTGTAGTCGACCGCCGAAAACTCAGGAAAGGGATTCTGGTTGGAGTTGTAGATATTGAGTTGGGTTTGATATGTGAGCCCTCTGAGTTGCTGTACGCTGCCCCCTTATCCATCTTGCCAAGAGTCGCGATACCCAAATTACAATCTATAAAAAGCTCAACTGAGCAGACGACATCCGGGCAATCTGGCCCAAATTATTTGTGGGGAAGCAGCGTCACGTATTCTTCATAATCAGTACTGTTCGGACTATGATATTAATTTGCTGACATCTGACAGTCCAAACGGGAACTATTACCGGTTTAACGGACGAGGTGCGTAGGTACTGTAAGACAAAAAAAACAGGCTGGACCATCATGACATCTCCATTGAAGAACCTTGATCGGCAAAATAGCTATTGGTCTTGTTTCAACTCAGCTCTATCGCAGCGTATATTTTCCATAATAGTACATAGTCGTGATCAAACTAGGTGGATACTCTAGACCACCTGTAGTTCTCCTTTTTATCTCCCATATCCCAATCTGACCACGTGATATAGAAGGTACAGAGAGTACAAACCCAAACCGTGACGCAGACCACGAACGTCTCTATTCACATTTCACGCGGTACAGTATGTGTTATGTGTTTATTTCATGTGACAAGCAATATTGAAGCTGACGGGCAGTAGCAGTACTTCATTCCTTTAGTCTCCCACTCGATTCTGTTATCATGGGCGTTTGATCAAGATGCCCAGGACAAGGCCACCCACGACGGGGTATGCTCGTCTCGCCCAAGCCGAGGACTCCATGGATGACGAGGACGACAACTACCAACAATCTCTACAACCCGCCGAATCTCGTCGATATGCTTCTATTAAAGCTCCCCAGCCGAATGCCGGCATGTACGCTGAAGGAAGCAACGCCCAGCAACGATCCAGTCGAACCCGACACCGGGGCCTGAGCAATTCATCCGGCGTCGACATTAAAGCTATCAACGCGCGCCTAGAACGATGGGCGGACGAGATTGCGTCGAAATTCAAGATCGGGAAGGTCAAGGGAAAGAGCGACGAAGAGGAGCGCTTGGAGATACACCATTCGGTTTTCCAGGCACCGGACTGGATACGACCAGCAACGTCAGAGCAACTGGCAGCAGTCGGACAAGGCCAGATGACCGCCGAACAATTCGGGGCTACTGTGGAGAGCGTCAGGGTGGCTATTGAACAAGGTGTTCACCCGAAGATGATATCACAAGGTAGCTCAGGAAGCTACTTCGCCCGCGATTGCGAAGGAAAGGTGGTCGGGGTTTTCAAGCCAAAAGACGAAGAGCCATACGCCGCTGGCAACCCCAAGTGGAACAAGTGGATCCATCGCAACCTTTTCCCATGTTTCTTTGGGCGGGCTTGCCTCATTCCGAATCTGAGCTACGTTTCCGAGGCGGCGGCTTATACACTCGATTGCAGACTGGAAACAAATCTAGTCCCATATACCGACATCGTTCACCTCTCCTCCAAATCCTTCCACTACGACTTTTGGGCACGGCGCAACTTCTACAGGAAGAAGAAGCCTTTCCCGATGAAGCCGGGGAGTTTCCAGGTTTTCCTCCAGGGCTTCTCTGACGCGACTATATTTCTGCGGAAACACCCCTGGCCAGACCAGTTGAATGGAGGGTTTAGGGTTAACGATGCTCCTGCACGGAAAAAGAGACCGTGGAATGATCCATGCCGCCCGAGTGGCGCTGCGTTAGATGACGAAGATGAGGGAATACCAAACGCTTCGACAGCGGAAGAAGCGGAGCAGAGGAAATTCTTTTGGACAGAGAAATTACAGACAGCTTTCCGAGAAGAGCTTGAGAAGTTGGTGATATTGGATTACATTATGCGCAATACGGATAGAGGTTTGGACAACTGGATGATCAAGGTGGACTGGGAGAATGAGTCCGTTTCTATTGTATCAGACCCACCAAGCATGCCTTCTGGAGAAGGCACGCCAACTGCTCAAGCTCGCCCATACCGGCAACAGGAGCCTATGTATCCGGGAAGATCTGGAAAGGGAAGCCCTAGCAAGGAATCAGAGCCATGTATGAGTATCGGTGCAATCGATAATAGCTTGTCATGGCCCTGGAAACATCCAGATGCATGGCGAAGCTTTCCGTACGGGTGGCTCTTCCTGCCTGTATCACTTATTGGGCAACCCTTTTCACAAAAAACCCGCGGGCACTTTCTACCTCTACTTACGTCGAAGCTATGGTGGACCGAGACTCAACTTGCTCTACGAAAAGTTTTCAGCCAAGACGTTGATTTTCAAGAGCGAATGTTTGCGAGGCAGATTTCAGTTATGAAAGGTCAGGCGTGGAATGTGGTGGAGACGCTCAAGACTAGCGATCATGGACCGTTGGAGCTTACGCGCAGGGCACGAGTCTGTGTTTGGGACGACCTTGTTGATATTCCAGTTGCTGTCCCAATGAGAGCTCCATCGCTGGACATGCGTCGGCGTCAACGCGAGGCGGAATTAAGTCACGAAGCTGGAGAAGAGATGGATATAAGCGTAGCCAACGCATCTGCGCCTGCGGACCTCATACGCTTTGGCAGCCCGCCTGCGGAACTGCCAAATCCTAACAGGTTCGAGCTCTCACCTCGGCCTAGCGAGGACAACCCGAAGCTCTTCTCCCCAATGTCGTCTATGTCGGATGTAGCTTCTCCAGAGGGAGCCGCATCCCGTCCCAGCGGTGACCAAGGAGGACCTAGTCGGCCGGTAATGGGCCACTCGTCAACTCAGTTTAGCAGGCATGTTCCCCAGCATCCACTATCACAGGCACATCGCAAGGGGCATAGGAAATCATCCTTCTCGAGTTGGGGCGATAATCACGGACAATTAATGAACGACAATGATGATTTGGAAGGAGATCTTGGGTATGCTGTGGCTGAAGACATGGAACACAATCAGCGTAAGGTGATTGTGGAACGATTGGAAACTGTCAAGAGCAAGAACCCGGTCTTTACGTGGTGTTAGATACGAAGTATTGTATTAATAAGTGGGAGTAAGATATACCAGCTAGGGCATGTAGGCATTCAGCGGGGGGTGGTTCTGAGGATTGGTCACCCCGGCTCAGGATTTGTAATTTGGGCCAAAAATGGCGTTGTATTTGTACCACTATACGAGCGGAATTCCGAGAATAATATGAGAAACGTCAGACCCTATTGACAGTGTAATGCTCATAATACGAAATATGTGTATTATGATTAAAGTTTCAATGCTTTGTATGTTGGAAGTTCTCAGAATGTACTTTTTTGCGTCACATAACTCCTTCGAAGTGGCGGCGGTTGCTTACTTATCATGTACATTGCGATTTTATGGGGAAACCGATAACCCCGAAGGCGCCCGCCGCGTCCAGCGATAGCCGCCAGCCATCAAAACCTTGCTCCAGTAGGCAACTTCACATTGACGCCTCCGAAAGACCGTAGTAATCAACTCCGCCGCTCCCGCCTTATTTGAAGTCGCACATTGTCCCTATAATTAACGCGGGGCGCTGCCTTACATTCATGAATCGCCAAGGCTCCCGCGACTATACATATTAACCTGCGGCCACCAAGAGGCTGCAGCTACCAACGCAAAATATCAAACGTGCGAAGGGTGGAAAAATACAACGGCATTGCTGCATGTTTCCGTAGCGTAGCAAAGGGTTTGGGGCTGAGAGATTGAGGATGGCATCCTATGGCCAGGCAAACGGTATGTGAATCTTTGCGTAGTCAAATGATATATCTAGAGCTGTCACTGACTTGGTCATGATACAGGACATTTGCGATCCGAAGACGCCGCCTACGTCTCCACTGTACCAACAAATATACACCCAAAATGGGATGCGGCTGCGCTACTAGACCGCAGGGCATCTCATAAATCTCACCAACTGACCACTCGAAATGAAGAAACTACGACCAACCCGCCGAGGACGCCGAGTCTGATGTTCGAGTTCGATAGCCCGCAAAGCCAGCCTGCATTTGCTCAATATAGTAACTCAGTGTCGAATGGGGATGCATTTGGTGCGAACAGCCACGCGCATATCACCGGGCATATGCTCGAGCGCATCCACAACGTCTCGGACCGCGCATTCCTACCTCAAAAGCGGCGCAAGTTAGGCATGGATAATAACAGCTATGAATCCACGCCGACTACGTTTTCGGGCGGGGGGCAAGAGGGCGTTGTTGGGGAATACCTGAAGGAAGAGAACGACACCAGAAAGGAGCCCGCTAGAAAGGCGACAGCTCCCGCGGTTGACCTCACGGAAGATGACGAGGAACTGACGATCCTTGTAACTTCTGACGACAAAGAAGTTTGCTATGGGCGTATTGAGGGAGCAGACATCAATGCTTTCAAGGTGCCGATAGCCAGAGAGGGGACAAGAGCACTGTCTCGAGATTTTTGGCCTCATGTGAAAGTTAATCTGAGGCGGAAACAAGGCGACAAAACCGCCATAGTGCACATGGTGGATAGCACTCGGTCGGTCTTTGGATGCTTGGATGTCAATACGGCAATCGGCTTAGTGCCACTTATTGATTCAAACCTGGGTATTCGAACTTCAGCAAGGATCATTGCCAGGCAAAAGAAACCAGGCGACTTACCCCCTGGCGCAGATTGCTCTTGCAGATTCAACCTCGATCTGACGCTCTACGGCGCTAAGAAGCATGCCACTCAGATTGGGAGACATCTATCACAAAAGCAGCTGTGGTTACGAACCCCACTATCTGTTGAAGCTGGAATCGATCTCTGCAATCCCCACGCATCACTGAAGCAGAACCTGGTTCCTCGCCCTGGGGGCCGCTGCGTCGGCTACGCTCCAGCCTCTGCTGCATCTATGCGGACAGTCGAAGAGATCCGCAGTGATGTTCTTGGAATGTTCGACTCTTTACAACAATCCGAAAACCTTCCAGAAATGACACAGAACTCCCTGGTTACAACAGAGCTTCTTCCTCACCAAAAGCAAGGTCTCCGTTTCATGACAAACAAGGAAAAGGAGTTTGTCTATGGCAGTATTGAAGAGGCAAACAGCACGCTTTGGCAGCAGGTACAAGGAAGCAGTGGCCAGAGGATATACCGCAATGTCATAACTTGCCAAGAGCAGCGCGAAGTTCCTCAGCAAGTTCAAGGGGGGATATTAGCTGATATGATGGGTTTGGGGAAAACACTGAGCATCCTTTCACTGTTAACCTCGTCCCTGGATCAAGCAGAGGCATGGGCGCAAAAGACGCCACCAGCGCCCGGAGAAGATGAGGTGAGGCTTAAGAGGAATACTAAGGCTACTTTACTCGTTTCCCCCTTGAGTACGATAGCCAACTGGGAAGAACAGATCGGACAACACATTAAGGAAGGTGGCCTGAAGTACCACATCTACCATGGTGGAACTCGGTGCAGAGAAATTGAGCGACTAGCGAACTACGACCTTATCATCACAACATACGGGTCGGTTGCGAGCGAATGCAACAGACGTATCAAAGGAAAGCCAGGTCCTTACCCGCTTGAAGAGCTTAACTGGTTTCGCATCGTGTTGGACGAAGCTCACATGATCCGCGAGCAGGCGACTCTACAATCAAAGGCTATATGCCGTCTGCAAGCTCAGTGCCGATGGGCGGTTACTGGAACTCCAGTTCAGAACCGGCTGGATGATCTCGGGGCCCTCCTCAAGTTTCTTCGCCTCAAGCCTTTTGATGAGAAGCGTGCGTTCGCTCAATACATCTTGGCCCCTTGCAAGAATGCAGATCCGGAGATCCTCCCAAAACTCCGATTGCTCGTCGACAGCATCACTCTTCGGCGTCTGAAAGATCGAATCAATCTGCCTCCTCGACACGATCGCATTATCCGACTTGCTTTCAACCGAGAGGAGCAAGAGCTATACGATATCTTCTCCAAAAATGCTAGCGACAGGGTTAAGGTTCTTACAAGCCAGCAAGAAAAGAGTCTCGGAGGCAAGGCATATGTTCATATCCTTCAGTCAATCTTACGTCTGCGTCTTATTTGTGCGCACGGAAGAGAACTACTTGGCGATGAGGACCTCAAGATCACCGCGGGAATCACCAAAGACTCAGCTATCGAACTAGACGATGACAACGACGCCGACAAGCCAGCCTTGAGCCACAGGCAAGCTTATGAGATGTATAATCTCATGAGAGAGACCAATGCGGACGCATGTTCGATGTGCAATGCCAAGATTGGACGAGCCACGTCTTCGGAGACTGAGGTCGAAGGGAAGGATGACATGATTGGGCATATGACTCCTTGCTACCATCTTATTTGCAATGGATGTGTGAAGGAATACAAGAAAGCGCTTGAATCAACCTCAACGGATAAACGCCATTCGAACTGCTATATTTGCAAACAATATATCCGCATGGATTACTTCGCTTTAAAGGCAGGGCAGGTGGAAGAGGATGAGACTGCGCGAGCGGAGATCAAAGAGGGGCCGAAGCACACGAAGGCTCTCGGAAGATACAATGGGCCACACACAAAAACCATTGCTTTACTACAAGATCTTTTAGCCTCTAAAGCCGAGAGTGACCTTATGGTTGACCAACCTCCGATTAAAAGCGTTGTGTTTTCCGGCTGGACATCTCATCTCGATCTCATTCAAATGGCCCTCGAGAACAATGACATCAAATATACTCGCCTGGACGGGAAAATGTCGCGGACGGCTCGTGGGGCTGCACTCGAAACTTTCCGCTTGGACCCTTCGATCACAGTCATACTTGTTTCCATCAATGCGGGAGGTTTGGGCCTAAACTTGACGACAGCCAATAAAGTCTACGTCATGGAGCCTCAATACAACCCGGCTGCAGAAGCCCAAGCTGTCGATCGCGTCCATCGTCTTGGCCAGAAGCGCGAGGTTGAAACGGTTAGATATATAATGAAGAACAGTTTCGAGGAGAAGATGCTAGAGTTACAGGAGAAGAAGAAGAAGCTGGCGAGTCTCAGCATGGATCGGGATCATATGAAGAACTCGACCAACAAGGCTGAGGCCACCAAGAAGAGATTAGAGGACCTCAGGAGTCTATTCAAATGATGGCGGTTAATGATTGGGAATGGTTTATGCAAAGGCGTTTGGCATTTATAGGAGGGGGAAAACGGGCGGATAAAACATAGATACTGGAGCGGGCGGATACATGATAGCATGGCGTATTAACGGGGTATCTTAAGAGGAGGCAGTCTGCATATGATATCCAACGTTTATAGCAACCATATTTTTTTGCTCTTGATCGAGGTGTAGTGGTTCTATTGCTCTGCCCAAATAGCAGGTCACGAGTTGGGCATTAGTCCGAAGAAATAAAAATATTCCCCTCGATTGTTTTAGTTTGACTATGGTAAATGATTTTGCACTGTTAGACTATACTGTTAGACTATATTGTTAGACTATATTTATCTAAAAGGCTCTTTTGGGATGTATTCTGTCTTCGCCAGTTCGTACGAGCCCAACGGTTCGGCCCACAGAGTTTAGCGCGCTAACCACCGATTCTTCAGCCTGGACCACAATCGCCCATTTCCAAACCCCATCACAAGTTAAGCCTCACCCTGCCCATGTTGTTCTTCATTCTAAAGTCGTAATGACTCTCTTCGCCCTGCCGCTCTCATGGCAGAATGGCCGCATATCTACCTCCGCCTCTTCATTTCCCCAAACTGCTGGGCAATCAACAAACAGAAAACGCAAGCGCAGCTTCCCATTGAACTCGCCACCCCCTCCATCCACATTATCTACTCTGCCAAATTCTGTATTTGAATTTCCTTCCTCACCTGCGCCAAGTGCCAACCTCGATTATGTGACCAGTAACCCTTTGTCACTAAACGCCGACGAAACCAGGCAGTACAGAGCTGCTGGACTGGAACTTGATAAAGAGTTGCCCAGCAAAACTTACACAGGGTTCCCACATATGAATTTACCATGGGAAGCCGGGCTTACTACTGACGATGAGGAGCGGCAAGAATCGAAAGCGGAATTAAGCGCCATCGAAAGAGGCAGCAAACCTTCTCACCTGAAAGTCCGGCACCTAGGTGTTTTGACGGCTATTCTGCAGCGATGTCTGGCGGAAGGCGACATACCGCGAGCATCTAAGGCATGGGCATTACTTCTACGAGCTCAAGTAGGAGGTAAAGGTGTTGATCTTCGATCCACAGGGTATTGGAGTTTGGGTGCGGAGCTCCTCATACGAAGAGGGGAGCAGCTTGCAGCCAACGGCAGAAGCCATGAGGATGATATTGAAGAAACTTATCCTCTAGACCCCCAGGACTCTGGAGTTGTATCCTGGGGCACAGCTGAAGGGCTAGAAAGGGCAAAAGATTACTACGCCCGGCTTATCCTTCAACATCCCTACAAACGGCAATATTCTACTGCCACTTCAGCACTCGATTTCTGGCCTGCAATGCTTAGCTGCGAGATCTACGGCATTCAAAGCAAACAGCAGCAATCACTGCATCAGCTAGCCATGCGTCAAAGTGACAGCAATAACGGTTCTGCCTCTGACCATGAAGACTCTTTATCTGATGGAGATTCTGATCATAGCGGCGATGAAAGTCTCGGCGCCACGCAGGAGGAAGTATACTTTGCAAGGCGCACAAAGCGTGAATCGCGCGCAGCGCAACGGCATCAATTGAGGAGTTGGAAGAAGAAGGAAGAGGTGCGCATGCACGCTAGAAGTGCGGCGGAGAAAGTTGCAACGCGCATAGATGAGATAATGACGACGCCGCCATTTGTGGATAGCCATGTACTACACCGCTTGCGGGGGTATTTAGCCTTGTATATCGGAGATTTGTGCATCCTTTCGTCTTGGGAGCAAAAGGCTGACAGTGAATCGGAGAGGGCGTCGGCGTGGGTGAGGAGGTCGGAGGCGGAGAGGGGTGAGCTACTTAAGAAGGAGATGATAGAGGTGGCGAGAGCGCACTTTGATGTGGCCAGGCGAAGAGGAGGACATATCCCGGACTGGGAGACAGAGGAAACTACGGTTGGGTATGAGGACGAATCTGCTTAGGCCGTGGCTCTCTGGATTGACGTCGCGAGCCTTCACTATTCTACCGGGGAGGGGATGTTGAATTTGGACTCCACTCACAAATCATAACCATATTTCAGGTATATAGTGTAGCTGTGGAACACCCAGTATAAACATACTGAAAATGGAGTCATAGACTATCTTTGAGCAAATTGGGGTTTTATAAGCAGTTATCGGTCGATCTTCCAGCAAATTAACAAAGTCAACCTCGGTAGATGTGAAAGTGTTGACACCATAGCCTTGTCCAAAATGTCCCAGTGGTATTCTATTCGTGTCTTACTACAGACTATGTAATTCTAGTAATCTATTTAAAGTTTGCTCTGTCTCCATAATATTTTGAAGGCGATTTAGTGATTTGATTGTTTTCGCCAAGACTAGTCACTTCTCTCACAAAGGCGCGTTTACAACTACGGTGTCAACACCCTCTCCTCTTTGAGAGCTCCCTAATATTCACCGTATTCGCCTACACCCCAACTTCGTACATTCCCACCTCCCAGTGTTCCCACTTCTAGCTACTCTTCCAGCTCATTGCAATCCTGAATTAAACGCTTTGATGGTTGCCCCGCCCGCAGATAGGGCGAGAGATAAGGCGACATGGGACCTGCCCCAATGGCGAGTGATGATTGAGCTGGTAAGGGCATATCATCAAAACCTATATTACAGCTTTCGAATACTAATGGTGGCGACGGCATAGGTTGACTGCCCAGGTGAGTTTATTATGAAGTGGGCGGTAAGGTTTGGAGCTCATTCATAACAGAAGTTTACGACGTCAAGTTTTATCCATATGGGAAGCCGACAGATGACCCTATCTTCGCAGCAGTCGGAGGAAAGAAGGTCAGTTTCAACCCCACATCTTTGCGGTGGGCCTCCACTAATTCTATCGTAGCTAATAGTATGCCGTCCTACTCATGCGAAGGACAAAAGAATAGAAACTATCCAAGCTGTGAATGACGAGGAGGTATGCTTGAAGAACTGAATGATACAGATGATGTTTAGTTGCCAACTTATAACTAGCCCAATGCAAACAACTGCAGCATAGCTTGGGCACAAGCAGAGGACGGCCGCCCATTGCTGTGCTATGCAGGATCGACGGCTCTCATCAAGATCATCGACGTCGTGACTGGCGAGCTGGTCCAAGTAAGTGGCTTCAAGAAACTGAGAGGTTTGCTGGTATTTACTTTTCATAGGTGCTCTCAGGTCATGGAGGGGTAAGAATAACTGTAGATCAATGACAGTATGGATTATACTAACTGGCAAAGGGAATATTTGATTTGGCGGTCCCAAGGACAAACCCTCACATCGTGGCATCATGTTCAGAGGATACGACTGTCAGGTTGTGGAGCCTTCGAAAGGCCCACAAGGAGTCGCCTTGTATTGCTCTCTTTGCTGGAGAAGGGCATTTAGATTCCGTGCTATCCGTCGTAGGTTCACCGCATTGATTATTTGACAAAATCTAACTTGATAGGACTTTCACGCAAATGGGCGCTATATTCTCTCTGCGGGTCATGATCATGTTGTTAATCTGGTATGTATTTTCTCTTCGCCACCTAGCAGCAGGGAACTAAACTGGGGACAGTGGACGGTACCAAAGTTTCCGGACGAGCGTACAATAAGTGAAAAGGTTGAAACAATACACTACCCTCATTTTTCAACCTCAGAAGTACACTCAAATGGCGTTGACTGGTACATATTCTTCCATCCAAAGATCTGCTCTTGCTAATGTTGGAACAGCGTTAAATTCTACAAAGATTTGGTCCTGTCGAGAGGACATGAAGAAGGATGTATCGTCCTGTGGCAAATTACGAGATTCTCGTCCTCAGGAGAGGTCCCTTCTGCTTCAGCAGCGCCGACTACATACGACGAAAGCGCCAAAACTCGATCCGCATTCTTCAAAGCTCCCGAAGACGATAAGACTGCACCACGACAATACCAAAGACTTCTCCAGTTTGCCATACCACAGTGCAATCAGTGGTATATGAGGTTTGGTCTATTCACCCCATACTCCTCTTCTCAGCACCCTGTCCTTGCAATGTGCAATTCGGCATCCAAAGTGCATTTCTGGGATCTCTCCCGTCTCGTCGACTACCAAAAGTTCATCACATCTCCAGAGACAGTTCCTAAGCCAAATTGGCTCAACTTGGTGTCTCGGACTAAGAAATCCGGAAAATCAGATGCGCAACGTTTGTTCAGTCAAACGCCTGTTGATGAAAGTGTTGCGACCAGCAGCGTTTCCTCCTTCAGCACGGAAACATTGGCGGCCGCCATTGATATTGAGGCGAACCGTAGCGCTTGGGATGAAAAATATGCGACAGGAAATCCCTGGAAGAGCCTAAAAGCGCACAAGATTGAGAGCATCCCAAGAGTGACAAGTGTTGGCAGAGCGGTTGCATGGAGTGAGAAAGGGGATTTCTGCGTCGTAGTTGGCTCCTCAGGTATCATTTCTGTGTTGGAGCGTTAGTTAGGAACAGGCCTGATATCAAGGCCGAGAAAAGTATGGTAAATCCAGACAATGCGAGTTGTTTCATCTTCTGGGATAGAGATTAAGGTGTGTTTTATGAATTATTATGAAGCTAGACGTAGCTTAAGCATAGCTCGTTGTCAGTGGGAAACCTCCTTTAACAACGCTATGGGCAGCATCTACAGATATGAGAGCTTATGAAGATGTCGATAGCAACATCAGCATCAGAGAAGATATGCCATATTCCGGCAGCGACCTCTTGATTCCTCGTCGTGACTTTGCTATCCCATGCACACATGTTGAGGAAAGTGGTACCTTGCGCTGGGTTGATCCGCTAACTCGCACTTGACTAGCGCGGAAGCTGTATGTGACAGGGGTCGTTGCGTTACGTGGAGGTTGGTATATAATCTGAATCTGGGTTAAACCTCCATCAGGAAAGATACTAAGGGTATCTCAAGCTGTCTGAAGAAAATCTCCCATAGAAGGGGCACAAATCACAGGTATCCAACAGTCATTGCGCATCACCAAGCGCAACCAGCCACCAAACCATGGCGTCCTCCGCGAACCCCTACCAGAACTATAGCCATCCTCAGGCTAGCGACCACGATGACGACCTCATCGATCCCGATACTGGTGAGCACTTTGCCTTTGGACTTTGGGCAATCAAAGACCAAATGGGGTCGACCTTGACCGTGCGATGTGCATGTAGCTAATGTATCCCAGCCTCATTAGATGACCTCGACGACCCGCTAGACGATGCTCCCAACTATTCCGCACACGCACCCCTCACAGGGAACATCGGCTCTAGCTCCTCTTCTCGCCCCTTGAATGAGTCGTATCTCACCTCCGCGATGCCCGGCGACGACAGGCGCGCGCCCACAAATACAATCGACGAATCGGTCTGGGACACGCTGTCGCGCGACCTATTGGCCGTTTGGTCAAAAATGCGCGAAGTGCTTTATCCCAAGTATCTATTTGGCGGCTCCATGATCGATAATACCACAACTCTTCGCGGGGCCTATGAAGGATTCCGTGCTGGCGGTATTGCAGGCGCGAGGGAAGAGGTTAGGAATATTGCGGGCCGAGTGATGGATACGGAGAACTTGCTCAGCCAAGGAAACATGAGCCAGGGGCTACGGGACTGGGATCTATGGGGTCCGTTGGTGTTCTGTCTGGCGCTGAGCTTATTGCTTAGCTTCAATGCGAGGCCAGAGCAAAAGAGTGTGGTATTCAGCGGGGTGTTCGCCATGATTTGGATTGGAGAGGCAGTGGTGACTGCGCAGATCAAACTGCTAGGCGGCAATATGTGAGTCTACCACCCGCTACCCGCCGAGTTTCGATGAGAAATGTGCTAATGGATTTAGATCCTTCGCTCAGTCTGTCTGCATAATCGGATATACGCTTTTCCCCCTCGTCATCGCCGCCCTTCTCTCAGCACTTCACCTCCCAACTATACCTCGGATCCCAGTTTACATTGTCCTAATCGCCTGGTCTCTTGCGGCCGGTGTTAGTATCATGGGCGGCAGTGGCGTGGTTAAGAACCGTGTTGGCATCGCAGTCTACCCGCTTTTTGTCTTCTATGTTGGATTGGGTTGCTTGTGCTTTATTAGTTAAGCGCTCTACAGGGAGAAGTATAGGGATATGGGAACGTGAAGTATTGTACGAGGAGTTCAAGGAGTTGGGTTGCAGCAAGATATGTATGCTTAGACCACTCTTTGCTTTTCAAGTTGTGGCAAGAGAACGGTGCAGCAACTTCCAGCATTCACGAGATGAGGGCAGCCTGCAAGATTTGTTCATGTATTTTACCAAAGTATCACTGTATCAGTTCGGTCCTACAGAAATGTTTGAGAAAGCTTCCACCGTGATGTTAACTACATCACTCAAAACAAATAAATCGTATGAGTCGCAACAAAACTACAAACCCATATTTCAGTGTCTCTGATATCAGCATGCACTTTTCTCAAACCGTGATTGAGAGAAGTGCAAAGTTAAGTTCGGCCTTTGATTTCAAAGTTGAGTCTCTATAGAAACCAACCAACACCCCACAATCGACGGATAAGCGCATAAACTTTTTTCCGACGTTGATTCAAGGTCAGGTAGTGTTGACAACGGCAGAGTTGACAACGGCAGAATACGGTTGGCGGATCGCACCAACACGTTCGTTGCCTCGCTCCACGAATGTTTCGATATCACATTCCGAACTCGCTAGTACAGACAGCATAAAACATAATATTACACGGAATTATTGAAAGGAAAGCCACGATGGAGGGCTCGAAAACTCCTGAGCAAGCCATTGCTCACAAGCGCAGTTTCGACGAGCAGCAAGACGAGGACTCGGCCACTATGAAGGCCAGCGAAGATCTCAAGCACACCCGCATATCTGATAAAGAGCCGACTGAAGGAGAAGCTTCCAAAGATGAGGCTGGAATCGCGAAACCTTTGTCAGACAAGGGCGGCCATACGTCAGGTTTTACAAAGGAAACCACACCAGAGCGATCAACGCGTTCGGGCGGGGAGGATGATGGAATGATGGAGCAGATATCCTCGCCGAAGAAAAAGAGAGTCAGAGAACAAGATGACGAAACGAAAGACTCCGACGGAATCTATAAAATCAGTAAAGAGCGAGTTCCTTCGAACGGAAGTGCGACAAGTGCAGATCGATCAGATAGATTGGAGCCAGAGAAGAAACGCCATCGCGATACTTTGGAGGGCGGGGCAGAAGCTGCGGCCGCTGCATCACAACAGGTGGGTCATTCAAATACTCCAACAACAATTATATGGCAGCTAACTAGTTATACCCAGGGCAAACAAGCTACCAACGGCGATGAAGAATCTAAAACGGCCGATAAGCCCAAAGGTGACGAAACTGATTCCGATAAGCGATTACAGAAAGGAGAAGGAGATACATCTACCGATATGCCTCAAACATCGTCCTCAGCATTCGCAAGCTCCGGTTTTGGGGCCCTGGCAGCATCTGGCACATCTGGGTTCGGGGCGTTGGCAGGAAAGCCCAGCATATTCGGTGGTGCGTCTGCTACTACAGCATCACCTTTCGGGGGGAATCTCAAAGAAGAACCTGCCGCCAGTAAGAGCACAAATGAGCCAAAAGCGGGAGAAGCTGGTAGCACATTCGGTGGCGCATTCGGAGGTGGCTCTACCTCTGGCTTTGGTGGCCAGACCTCTGGCGGGTTTGGAGGCGGCTTCGGCGGTACCTTAGGTGGTGGTGGCTTCGGCGGTGGCTTTGGCGGCGGCTTTGCTGCTAACCAGTCAAAGACATTGTCCACATTCGGTTCAGCGAACCCAGATACGGCTACAGCAGGAAAGCCGGCCAAAGCCTTTGGTGCCCCCGAGAGCGACGAAGAGGAGGAATCAGGAGATGATGGCGATGCTGAGGGGGATGTTGGGTCTGATGGAGAGGATGAAAGTAGCACCTTCGAGGATAAGAAAAAGCCAAAGCTGACCAAGGGTATGTCAGAAATGGATCAATACCCAACAACCTGTCTAGTTCACCAGAGACTAACTATTCTGCAGTACCCATACATGATGGCGAGGAAGACGAAGTAACACTGAGCCAATTCAGAGCGAAACTCTTCGCTATGGAGTCGAAAGAGGAAGGCTGGAAGGAAAGGGGAGTTGGAAACCTGAAAGTAAATGTTCACAAGACTTGCGTTGAGTTTGACGAATATACTGGAGCTGTGGTTCCGGGGAGCTTTGACGTCTCTCTCCGTGATGACGATGATGACGCCCCGCCAGTCATTGCCGCACGACTGGTTATGCGCCAAGAAAACACCCACCGAGTCATTTTGAATACGATCATTAATAGAGCGCTGAAGCTCGAAGAGAAGCCCTCAAACGCAGCCGGCAAAGGCTACATGTTTACAGCCTTCGATGGAACTAGGCCAGTAAACATGCTCCTGAAGGTAAGCTCACCTCTTGTATGCGGTGATCGAGTGCTAATTGCGACTAGATGAATGAGAGCAATGCGAAATTGTTTATATCGGAGGTCTCATCCGTCCAAAGTGGGCTTTTATGAGTTTGAGCTTGATGAAACGACGTATACTATGCGGATAGCCCGGCCAGGGGCGTCGCTTTGTCTCTCCCATTCCAAAATGCGGAGGCCTTTACAACAATGGGGGGCGCCATATCATGCATTCGATGAAACGATTGCTAGTCTTCTAAACAGCAGAGCACAAAAGGAGGACTTACGAGAACCTTTGTAACATTTACATCACGAACAATACCCGAGGAATGGATCTACGGTCATCAATATGAATGTTTGAGGTTGCCCATAGCCTCTCCCATAGAATTCCAATCGAAACATGATTCCAAGATAAGCTATGCACACTGTTATATTTATGTACCATTCGTAGACTGTACGAGAACAAAGGAGGCTTCATAAATAAATACCCCTAAAACCCTGCCAAAAACCACACTATAGGCGATCCAGACAACTTCTACCAACGTATTTTAATCCCCTTCCGAGTACTCTTAAATTCTCAACACTTCTCACGATAATCGAGGGGTCTCCACAGCCTTGGCAAAATTGAGTTCCGACGCGAGAGCACGTGATTTGGCGTTATATTCTTTGTCCGCTTAAGGACGCGATAAATATCAGTAACGAATGATGCGTCGAGCCTTGTAAAGCGTTTGCATTGGCCAAGTGCAGTTATGGACACCATAGGGGAAGCCCGGGCGCCTAATAAGGCTGTCCTCAAGCGCAAGAGAGCTGAGACTGGAGGAGGTAAAGTTGGAAGGGCTGAGGATCCAGCTGCGGAAAAGCCAGTGGCAACGGTTGATCCTACTAAAGTTAAAAAGGCAACCTCAAAACCATGGAGGACTACCAAAGTCCATGCTGCACCGGCAATTTACCGTCCGGCATCAGCTTCTTCAAGTTCTACGACCAGCAATACTATATGGCCTGCCTCATTTACCGCGCTCGAGAAGACGCATCGGGCGCTCAATCTTGTCTTTACATTCTGCTGCGCACGCCAACATTTGGCTACTACATTTGAGACGATAAAAACTACTGTTGAAGGCCAAATAAAACGAGAATTAAAGGTGGAAGATGTGGCCAAGATTGTTGCTCTACGGCCAACTGGTATTAACTTCTCGTTTGTCGACGAGGCTTCCCTCGATGTCGACGTGAGAGAATATGAGAAAGATGATTCTTTCAGAGGTAGTGCAATGAAGAGTTCTCGGCTTTCCGAGAAAATGGAAGGGAACGAAAGCACGGCCCAGAGAGCTGGAAAGGAAATTCTGCTGTTCGAGTTCTTGGATGGAGATTTGAAGCGAGGCAGCCAGCAAAAATCCGAAAAGGGGGGCAAGGCCAGCAGAAAGTCGAAAAGAGACGAGTTAATATTACCAAAATTCAGCCAGAAACAGATGACAGATTTAATCGAGAAGCGAAATACGAAGTTCCACAATGCAATAAATGCGTTTCTAAACCGTTGTGTGTCGTCGAATGACAATCCCGAGGAAATTTTAGAGAAAGAAGCCCAAGCATATATCCCGGAGCCATCAAACTCCACGGCCGATGCGTTGGAGTCGAAGATCAGCACCCTTCCAAAGTCAATCCCCAAAGAACGGGAGTCTATTTCTCAGATTATAAAGGAAGTTAAAGACTGCGTGTGGTATACAGGCCAGATTGTGCCTGACGGCCACCGTGTTTTCGACCGTCAAGAAGCTATATATGGTGACCTGAACTTCGTTCTCAGCCAAAATTTGGTAAACGCATTGTATAATACAAAAGGAATTACCCAGTTTTATTCACACCAGGCAGAAGCAATCAACAGTTTGAACGATGGCCACCATGTTATTGTTGCCACATCTACCAGTTCGGGCAAGAGTCTAATTTACCAACTCCCCGTACTACACGAATTGGAGCGAGACTCGAGTACGAGAGCAATGTACATCTTTCCAACTAAGGCCCTGGCACAGGACCAGAGAAGAAGCCTTAAAGAGATGATGAAGTTCATGACCGGTCTCGAGAACACTTTGGTGGAAACCTTCGATGGAGACACAGCTATGGCTGATCGGAATATCATACGTGAAGAAGGACGAATCATTTTTACCAATCCAGATATGCTTCATATCACCATCCTCCCACAGGAAGACAAATGGCGCACATTTCTTAAGAATTTGAAATTTGTGGTCGTTGATGAAATCCACGTCTACAGCGGTCTTTTTGGTTCCCATGTTGCTTTCGTCATGCGCAGGCTTCGGAGAATATGCGCGGCTTTGGGGAATCGACATATCAGATTCATATCATGCTCTGCCACTGTGGCCAATCCGACAGAGCACTTCAAGACCATCTTCGGAATTGAAGATGTTCGTTTGATAGATTTTGACGGTTCCCCGTCAGGGAGAAAGGAGTTTTTGTGCTGGAATACCCCTTTCAAAGACCCAGCCGACCCTTCAAGTGGCCGAGGAGACGCAGTGGCTGAATCTGCCCGACTTTTCTGCCAACTTATCCTTCGAGGGGTCCGAGTCATCGCCTTTTGCAAGGTTCGCCACAAGTGTGAATCTCTTGTAGCTGCGGTCAAATTTGAGTTGACAGAACTTGGACGCTCAGACTGCATGGCAAGGGTTATGGGATACCGCGGAGGCTATACACCACAAGATAGACGTCGGATTGAGACTGAAATGTTTGAGGGGAAGTTGGTGGGTGTCATTGCCACGTCGGCTCTTGAACTTGGCGTCGATATTGGATCTCTTGACGCCGTTATCACCGTTGGATTTCCATATACCATTGCAAACTTGAGGCAGCAAAGTGGCCGTGCAGGACGACGAAATAAGGACTCCCTTTCTGTGTTAGTCGGCGACTGCTTTCCAACAGATCAGTACTATATGCAGAACCCGGACGAGATCTTCACAAAACCAAACTGCGAGCTCCAAGTCGACTTGCAGAATATGCTAGTGGTTGAGGGTCACGTCCAATGTGCAGCATATGAGTTGCCAATCCGACCAAAAGAGGATGCTCTTTATTTTGGAAAATCTCTTCCCGCAATAGCAGAAGAACGGCTTGAGAAGGATGGTCTAGGTTTTTATCATTGCAACGAACGATACCGGCCCATGCCATCCAAGTTTGTAGCTATACGTGATACTGAAGAGGATCACTTCGCAATCATCGATATAACGCACGGAAAGAATATCGTCTTGGAAGAACTGGAAGCCTCTCGAGCCTTCTTTACACTGTATGATGGTGGGATTTTCATGCACCAAGGAAACACATACCTTGTGAAAGAGTTTAATCCGGACCGTAAAATTGTTCGTGTGGAGCTTGTCAAGGTCGATTGGACGACACAGCAAAGAGACTTCACAGACATCGATCCGATTGAAACAGAGGCAATGCGACGTATTACTGGGTCTCCATCTCGAGCCTTCTATGGCACTATCAAGATCCAGCAAACTGTTTTTGGGTTTTTCAAAGTCGACCGGAGAGGGCGCAAGATGGATGCAGTTGAAGTTGATAACCCCCCGATAATACGCTTCAGCAAAGGAATGTGGCTCGATGTCCCCAAGCATGCTCTGGATATTCTTGTTGAGAAGAGGCTTAATGTCGCAGGGGCCATCCATGCGGCTGAACATGCCATACTGAGCCTAATGCCGAACTTTGTTGTCAGCATGCCTGGAGATGTCAGAACGGAATGTAAGGTGGCCGTCAAGGAATTTGCAAGGAAAGAGACAGCAAGAAAACGTCCTGCGCGGCTCACCTTCTATGACGCCAAAGGGGGAGCTGGTGGCTCTGGGATCAGCACCAAAGCCTTCGAGTTTGTGGATATGCTTCTCCGCCAAGCGATTCAACGAGTGGAGGCTTGCCATTGCCATGATGGGTGCGTCGAATGCGTCAACTCCGAGTTCTGCAAACATGCCAATGAGGTGATGAGCAAAGCTGGCAGCCAGGTGGTTCTGAAGAGTTTGCTGAATATGGAAATCGACGTTGACTCGTTGCCCATGGGGCCCGAACAATTCAGTCCTTCCGGGATCGAGACCGTAGTTCTTGCAGAGCAAGTTCTTCCCCTGGCAGAGGAATAATAGAGGAGAACTCGAGTGTAGTGAGTGGGGTGGAATCGTCAGTCCCTGGCAAGTAGAGCGGAGAGGATGTGGACTTACATACTGTTGTAAAAGCTAGGCCGTAGGATTACCAGACGCTTGTAGAGTATTATGAATTACGAATTTATGAGAAACGTTCTGAAAATTAAATATTCATAAATATACTTTAAACTACAGAATGTCATGGCGTCGTGTCGGGTTTGATAAATATATCAAAGAAAGTTCTTGCTAATAATATATCACTCGATATCATGGAAGCATTATGTAGATTAAAGATGGCTTGCATATAGAACGAGAAGCTGCGAGCATCAAACTGATTGTCTCGAACTTCCCGGCCGAATCTATGAGACGCTATTCAAAAAGAGACAAAGATGTTGTAAAGAAAGCCAATGGCGGCGTCTATATACACCCTTATAATTCCTTGCACAGTGGATTCCGTCCGACAGATATCTTAAAAAACAAGAGATCAGTAATAGTACTACTGGTATTCTCGTTTTGAAGGAGCGAATCGGCCCAGCTGAAAGATTGAGACCCGGTCGATTCCTATAAGACGGGTGGCCCAATATAGAAGATTCGTACAAAGATATTATACCGTATATGAAAGATATGTTTGCTTGTCCGCCTAAACGCGTCCTTTCATTGTTCTCTATTCGAGGGCCGTTGCCACAGCACTGAAGCACCGAGAATATCTCCGCTGTTCGCGCTGATACTGGAATTCGACTCTAACTTGGACATAAGATTAGTCGCTACCCTTTGACGTGTAGGCGTTTACTCGGCAACACGTCCTCGCCCTTATTTAATAACCTTGAAGCACGTCTTTCTTCCTTCCGACTTACATCTTCAACCCCAACACAACCACCACAACAGAACATCCCCCTTCTTCCTTCGTTGCTTCTTCATGCTTTAAACCTCGGGGGTTATCAGAAGCCCCCTCGGACCTTTGATCAAGCTCTTCCCGTTCAAAACATCATCTCTCGCCATAACAACACTGCGTGAGAATCATGGCTCCCTCACCCCACAACACACGAGCTGTTATCATGAACCGAAGCAGTTCTCCTAAACTGCTCAGTGCATATAACACACGATCTGCCATCATGAATCAGCAGAGTGCCTCCAACCACCTCGGTGCCTATGGCACACGATCTGTCGCCATCAACCGGCACAGTGCCTCTGACAAGATCGGTGTTTCTGACAAGCTCGGTGCTTCTGTCAACCTTGATGCTTCTGTCAACCTTGATGCTTCTGCCAACCTTGATGCTTCTATCAACCTTGATGCTTCTGCCAACCTTGGTGTTTGTGTCAACCTTGGTGCCCCTGGCTACCTTGGTGCTTCTGACTACCTTGGTGCCTCTGACTACCTCGGTGCTTCTGATTACCTTGGTGCTTCTGACAAGCCCAGAGCCTCCAGCAAGCTCAGTGCCTATAGCACAGGCTATTCCACCACGGATCTGAAGAGTGCCTCTGACAAACTCAATGCCTATGACATGTCATCCATCACGAGGAACCAGTACAATGTCTCCAACAAGATCAGCACTTATGACATTTCATCCGTCACAAGAAGCCAATTCACTGATATCTTGCGCGTGGGACGGGAAGAGACCTCCCTGGACAAGCAGTGCCTGGACCCAGATTGCAACGACTTCTGCCAAGGTGCCAAAGGTAAGGCGACAAAAGAGATCCACCACATATCTTCAGTCGCTGACATGCAACTGTGTAGATAAGTCTTCCAAGGCGGAGGATGACTTCTCCCTCAACATGGACGGCGTCCTGAATGCCTTCAGCCCATTCGGCCGCACCAGCTTGCCTCCTATCCCAGAGCACACCACGCCGACCAAAACTTCCCAAGCTTCTGGTCCAAACCTCCGTGATCTTGGGCTCACCACCAGCAACCCATCCATTAGTGACCCCGATCTGCTGGTCTACCCAGGCCTTCGCAAACGTGTCGGGAGGTATTTTGAAACCCGCAAGCCAATCCCAGAGGGCTGGACATGGTCCGTCGACAGCACGCTCACTGCCGCTGCTTCCTTGTACGCGCCCACCCAAAGCACCATCAGTGTCGCATTGACCGATTCATCGACCATCGCTTCTGGCAGCGTAACGGAGCTCAGCCAAGCTGGCCCCTCTCGCCCGTCGACGCCTCAAATGGGACCCTATCAAATGGGACCCTATCAAATGGGTCCCTATCAAATGAGCCCCGGCCCGCCGACGCCTCAAACGGGTCCCTATCAAATGGCCCTCTATAAAATGAGCCCCCCTCCAGAGGCCCCCCTTCAAATGGCCCTCGTTCAATCGCGCCCCTCTCAAATGGGGCCCCTCACAGCTGGGCCTGGCAACCCTCTCGATCCGATCGCCGTAATCGGCAAGATGCGAGAGATCCAGACTGAGGGCATGCAGCCATTCGGGCCATCTCGTTTCCTTAGTCATCCCCATGGAAACCCCACCGGCAACCCCAACGGCAACTACCTGGGTACCATGAGTGCCGCCTCGAACCAGATGACCAACCTGCCTGACCATCTGAACACATGCATCTGGGTCGAAGGTGCGCCTGCCGACTTGACCTACTACGAGATGCTGAGGAGCATCCGCCACTGCGGAAAGGTGTACTCCGTGCACATCAACCCTCCCAGGGAGAAGCACTTCACTGCCGCCGCCAAGATCGCTTTCTGCACACGCCTCGGGGCTGAGAACTTCTTTCACCAGGCCCACTCGGGGTATGGCATCGTCATCCGTGGCCGCCGCCTCTGTGTCCGCTGGAACAGGAATAAGTACCGTGAGAACTTCAACCGCGCCGAGTCTCGCGTTCTGAGAATCTCCGGACCCTCCGCGTATATCAACTACCCGGTTCTAGGAGAGTACTTCAGTCGTCTCTTCTACTTCAATCTCATCTGGGTTCAGGAGCTGTCGCCTGGAGTCATGATCTGGGAGTTTTCGAGCATCCTCGCTCAGGCTCATTCGGCCAAGCAGGCTATTGAGCGTGAACCTGCCATGATGAACCTCGTCCGTATCAAGTATGAGCGCGACCCTTGCGAGTGAAGTGGGCCGGGACATTTGACTGCTTATCTGGCGTCAATATTTGATTTCTTGATTTTGTGTCGAAAAGTATGGCGGAGGTCGAATATCCTCGTAATTCCGTTTTCACCTGAGGGTAGTGGAATGAGTTGGAATGTTGGCTCGTGTTGATGCTGCCAATGGAAGAAATTGGGTATCTGGAAGCTCATACATGCGTTCTCATCGTTAGGTGAGCGTCATCTTGTGTAGATGGAGGGAATGAATTCTACTGGATAACAATGTAATCATGCATTGAAGATGAGGAACGCCGACGCTGGATACTGATAGGACGGCACTCCCTCCAGACATGGTTGAGAATGGATAGTAGCCTGATGAATATGAATATTTACAATTGTGTCACTACACATTCGCATATTTGGTGACACAGTGACCACCATGCCTTCATATAATTCGGAAAATCTTATTCTCCGCCAGCAACTAACCGGCATAAGGAGGCCCTTGCCGCCGTTCAAGCTTGATGTGCACAGCAAGCACAGCACAAGCAATGGGGCGTGTTAAATTCTGTTTGATTCCTATGTGTGTAACCCCGAAAGGCTTTTACCATGTTCGCCATCCCCTTAAAAACAAATATAAACACGCTTGACCTGCAATCCAATTTCAAGTTATAATAAACATCGCTATGCACAAGCAGAGGTGGAATACAAACACGATACTATGTCATGACACTAATGTGCATCACTTATCAATGGCCTTCCGCCGGAGCTGCAGCTCCTCCCTCAGCTGCTCCTCCGTGGTGTGCGGGATTCGGGTAATAGAAAGCCGCCACGGCAATGATGATATATACAATCACCAGTAGAGCACCTTCCAGATAGTTGCTCTTGAGGTCCTTGAGGAAATTACCCACGACAATAATGGACAGGATGACGACAACAATTGTGAAGAGGTCAAAGTTTAGGTCCAGGTCGCGATGAAGACCCCAACTAACGATGACGGCCAGAGGTGCATTAAACAGTGCAGTCTGGATAGTTGCTCCCAAAATGTGGGCCAAGGCAAAGTTCATGGAATTGTCCCAGGCTTCGTCGATGGCAGTTATGTGTTCTGCGGCTTTCTCCACGAGTGGGACGAGAATTAAGCCCATAAATAGATCTGAGACTCCCTTATTCTCGACTATGTGTGGGATCTCCATCACCAGGGAGATGGCCATTAAAGTCACCAGCGCGACGGCGATGGCCAAGGCAAGAACAGACTCTGTTAGAGTCAGCCTGGGCTTTATGATGTCCTGTTCGCGATCCGCATCCCCATGCTCGTCTTTCAAGAAAATGGCATCGTAAATGCTGTGGTGAGATCGCATATTAAAGAATATGTAGAAGCCGTATGATATAATAAGCAGAATTGCCGTGATTCGGGAAATTTGCAGAACTGCCGTTTTCAGATTCTCAGGTGTAATATCGCTGCTAGTCTGAAGTGCGTTGTAGAAAGCTGTCGGAACGACAAGACCAAGGCCACTAAAACTCAGATTTAGCTTTGCACACAGTTTTGACAGAAGTCGGCACCTACGCAATAAGTAACAGGCCATTTCCCACTTCACTAATAGCCTCATCGAATGTCTGCTCGTTGCGGCGAAGGCCACCGACGAAGAAGCAGAGCCCGAGACAAAGCAACATCGTCGCCAAGACAGAGCCCAGTATAGCAGCTTGGATGACAAGATATTCGCCCTGGGTGAGAAGCACCATAAACAACACAATCTCAATAATAGATCCAAAGGTCGTCTCCATCAAGACTCCCAAAACTCTCGGCAGCTTCCGGCTGAACTCCTGGCCAACGAAGCCAACAAGGTTGGCACTCGGGACCATGGCGATGTAGCTGAGGATGAAGATAATCAGGTTGAGGTCGGGTCGGGCGTATCGAACTGCCAGAGCAGCGGGCACAAAGGGCCACAATATGTTGACGCACATCGATGCATGGCATGATGAGATAAAGCAGATTCGGAGGAAGTGCCATGGGTGAATCCAGGATCTGCCACTCTCCCCGTCGGGGGCAATTCCTTTTGTAACTCTCAGACCAGCTTCGTTGACGACATGTTGTCCAGCTAAACGGCGCTTTTCAGCTACAGCGGTGGGTGCAGAAGAGGGAGAGTTCATTTCCACATCAGCGTCAGCGGGAGCTGTGCCCTTTTCCTCCCCGTCTGGCGCTTTACCGCCTCGGTGGAAAATTCCCATGATGAGAGGTGATTGAGCTATTGAAGCTGCTGGGTCAAGTTTTACTAAGTGCTACTCGTCTGTCAGCAGGAGCGTGTCACTAGGTCGTCATCCTTGGGCGTGGGTGATTTATGGGAGCTACAGCCTTTGTTGATGGGAAGTAAACAAAGCACAACAATACGGTGGGAATAAGGGAAGGGAAATTAACAAGAAAAGACCATCATCAATGAGAGCAACATGAACTTATTCTGTCTGGTTGGTACTTGCAAAACACGAGCTAAAGACGTCTAGACCTTGGCATTTGAAGGCGCAGCAAGCAAGTGCGGGATATGCGCTGGGAAATGCGCTGGGAAATGCGCTGGCATCAAGGTTGTGGGACTTGTGGCGAGTGGTGGAGTGGTGAACTGGTTGGCATCGAATAAGGATCAACATTTTGGAAACGAGGGAGTCGGAGAAACAAGCAACGGGACAGCGGAGTCAGAGAAACAAGCAACGGGACAGCTCATCTTGGAACTCCTGAAATCACGGGAGCAATAGATCTGACGGGTTAGTAGGGAGCTTGGCGCCTAGGTTCCTGCTTCCTCCACAGCAATTTAACAGGCGCTAACCCAGCTAATCCCGTGATTTGCAGCCCTCCCACCTATTTTAGGGGTACTATTCGCGAGACATCAGCTGAATCCAATTGTGATTGCCATCGAATTGAGGAAAAGATCTCCAAGCCAATACATATTGGGGAGTGTCCCGTACATGTCGACGAATAATATTCACAGCTGAACTCACCCGAGAGACCAATTACATGGCTTGTCTGTGGATTACTGGTTATGCGCCTACCACCGGGGTGCCGAACGTCGTTCATGGAGTTGTGATACAGGGCAAGTAGCAGCTCAGGCAGTTTGATCAACATCCCCAGACAATCCCAGAAGCAGACCGAGAACACTGCAAACGATATGTTATGCCCTATTATATAAACAAGCTCCAAGCTCCAAGCTCCAAGCTCCATGCCTCTTCCCTATTAGTTCTACAGCTCTAACCGGATCAGAATCCCCAGAGTATTATTCTACATTACAATTATCCTTAAGTCTTTGGTCTCGTCTTTGCATCAAGTGAAATGGGTATCATCAATCAATCGCTCTACAACGTCACCGTTGCGTCTCCCTCCCCACTCTCAGCTGGCGTTTCTTCATCCAGGTTCAAAGTGTGCACTGGTGGCTCCTTTTCACTGTCTTTGGCTGCTTCAGGCGTTTCTGCCTCCTCTTTCACCTTGGATTCCTCCACCTTCTTCTCATCGGCGGATTCTGGCTCTGAAGAGGCATTTTCTGATGGTTTGCTGTTGTCCTTTTCAATCTTGTCTTCGCCCTCATGCTCCTTGGCATCCTCTGGGGCACTCTCTGGCTCCTCCGACGCCTTCTCCGGAGCCTCATCAACGATGATTGTCATCTCTGCAAGCTCCTCGGCAGGCTCCTGATTAGAGCTCTCGCTGTCCCTAATCTTCTGATCTTCCTCCTGCTTCGCTTCTTTCTCTTCTTTGATTTTCAGCGTCTTTAAGCGTTGTGCCATGTCAGACTCTTCCTCTTCAGCCTCAATAACTGTAGTTACCGCAGCTCCTGTCGATGGCGAAGACCGTATATGTCTCCTGGTATTGGTACGGCTGGCAGCCATTAAATGCATGTCCTCCTCTCCAGTAGTTGATGAATTGCTCAAGGCAGGTGGATCAGGCTTCAGTATGGTATGTATGACTTTCGGTTCCGCAACTGGCTCAAGCCCCTCCGCCTCTGGGGGCAACTTGTAGTTCTCGGCGGGTAGAAGCTCGTAATTGTCGCAAACGGTCTTAAATAGGACATATAACCCTGTTTGTCCCTCCACTTGCCAGAACACGCCCATGTGTTGAAACCACGCATGCGCAAAGATGCGGTGGAGTCGCCTGAAAATATTCGTCAGGTGCTTGACACCGGTGCTTTTATCGTCCATAACACCCCCCGATGTAAGGCTCAAACGGCTGGGGAAGATCTTCTGGCTCGTGACTACGTTGGTCGCCCAGTCAAGGGTGTGGCAGCAGTAATCGATAGCGCAGCAGGACTTTGGCGACTCGTGAACGGCGCATAGAAATTGCCATTCCGAAGCGCGCATCTCGGGGCAGGTGGACGCAGAGCATGCTGGCGTGTCGAATAGAAAGCCAACAATGAGATCGTTGCACTTGTTTATGAGGAAGCGGCAGAGCTCGTACAGCCACAGCGCACGGTCGACCCCAAATGGAGGTGTAGCTAGAAGAGATGCGGTTTGCCTATTTATAGGGACGATAGTTGATGCCGATGGTCGGGTATGGTGGTGGTGTAAGGCTTTGAGATGCTCTTGTAATTGGAAGGCAGAATCAAGCTGGGGTTTTCTTAGTATCACAACGCACATGCAAGGGATCAAACTTTTTTACCTCCATCAGCGGCACAAGCGGTGGCCCAGCAGCCATGTCTGCTCCCTTCGTCCCAGGGTGAATCCTTCTGCTTGAATTCGAATCTATAATGCTCTGCTCCATAGCGTTCTCGAGGTTATTGCTGGAATCTTGAATGGACGGTGACTTCGGGCCAATCTGGATTTCTGTTGGCGGCGGCGGGCTTGGTAGCCGCGGTGAGCTCGGGGGCAAAGACATCTTGGAACGAGGCTCAAGTTGAGGAGTTGGCAACAATGAGTCCCCTGAGAGCACAGCAGGCGCTTAAATTCGATGTTCTCTTGTCACGTAAAGCCTGTTCGGTACAGCAACCAACGCCGTCGTCACATTAGAAGGTCTGGATCATTGGTCGGGCCGTTGGCGCCAGTTTTCTAAAATATATTGACAGTTATGGCACGTGACAAACATCAGATTTATACATCATGCTCGTCGTGAAGGCACTATTGTTTTTAAATTTGTAGCTTGCTTTGCAACCCCATAGACGCCATGGATATATATGAAGATGATGAGCCTCCACAGCTCGTTGACGCCGAAACTGAGTTGGTTTCAAATGAGGTAGAGGATAAAGTTGGAGACAATGTCAAGGTACCTCTTACAATTGTCACTGGTAAGAAATTATAAAACAGAAAATAGAAATGATACTGAACATTTATAGGATATTTGGGTGCTGGAAAAACGACATTGATGAATTACATCTTGACAGAACAACACGGCAAAAAGATAGCTGTGATATTAAATGGTATTGTTACCACTTAATCCTACCCCGCAAAATAAACTACAGTATACTGATGTTATATTTAGAATTTGGAGATTGTAAGTCACCGGAAGCCGCAGAAATACGGTGCCCAAGCTGATAGATATAGCCGTCGATATCGAAAAATCGATATCCGTGAGCAAAGATGGGGATCAAGTGGAGGAATGGTTAGAAGTTGGCAATGGCTGTATTTGCTGCTCCGTCAAGTCGGTAACCTCAAGAGTTTGAGCTTGGAAACGCACTAATAGAATAATGCAGAGACATTGGAGTGACAGCTATCGAGACGCTCATGAAGAAAAGTGGCGCATTTGACTACATTCTCTTGGAAACTACAGGACTTGCAGACCCGGGGAATATTGCGCCTCTGTTTTGGATGGACGAAGAACTTGGAAGCAGCATCTACCTGGACGGCATTGTTACTCTCGTTGATGCCAAGAATATCCTGAAAAGCCTCGACGAACCGGCTCCTGAGACAACAGATCATGGTGATCACCATGGTCCCGTTCTTACTACTGCGCATCTTCAAATCTCACACGCAGACGTGGTTGTTATCAACAAGGCTGATCTTGTTAGCGAAGAAGAGTTGGAAGTAGTCAAAGACCGGGTGGGAGCTATTAATGGCCTCGCAAAGATACATGTCACTCGGCAAGGCAAGGTTCCACAGCTTGAAGGTTTCCTTCTAGACTTGCATGCGTATAATAATGCTGAAGGGATGGACATGGCCGAGAAGGGCCACAGCCACCTGGATCCGGTAAGTCATCCGAGCTTTTATCTTGTATACCATCATGGCCACTAACTAAAACTAGAGGATCTCAACTGTGACGATCAAAGTTCCCCCGCTCAAGGAGGAACAACTTCCCAAGTTGGACGCTTGGCTCCGATCCATCCTCTGGGACTCAAAATTGCCAGATTCATCGACGGAGCCTGCCACGACCTCCTTGGAGCAATCACCGTTTGAGATATACAGGCTGAAAGCTAGACTACCTATGAGTGATGGTAGCATCAAAATCGTCCAGGGTGTTCGAGATGTCTTTGAGATCAAAGATGCCTTGGAACAGACTCAGCCTGAGCTCAAGGAAGGTAAGATTGTGGTGATTGGAAGGGATATGGCAAATCTAGGCCTTGAGCGTAGTTATTTCAGCACAGTAGATATATAGCATTTGTGAGGCTATTCTATTCAGTTGAGATCGATATTTTCTAAAAGATTAACAAACGTGAGATTCCTTCAAATATACTTGCCCAAATATGCACATCCTTATCTTAAAATGTTAAGAATACTAGTTAGCGTAGTAATATTGTCAGCTTCTGAGTGAGAATGGTCCATTTGAGAGTTGGATTCTTCCTCTTTTGTCGTTCCGTTTCCACATGCTCCAACCCCACGTGACATACATACGTTGGTTGGTTGTTTGACATCGTCGCCTCACATTGGGTCATAGCCGAAATACGCGATACCCGATCCAGCTACAGCAAGGCGGTCAACCCTCCCTTTGAAACCTGACGATATCATCGCATAGCATGCATGTCCACGTTAACATTGTTTGAACTGCACAGAAACCACCTCCAACACCTCAACCTCCTGAACAGCCGAAACTCCACATCTCAATCGAACTATAGAGATCTCGCGAACCTCCTCCTTACCCCGACAACATCCAAGTGCAACAATGAACAGACCAGGTTCGTGCCTCTCGATTCTCGATTGCTTCGCCTCCCCAACCTGCCCCGCGCTCCCACGTCGATTTGCATAGCTGCAGTTACCAGAGTACTGTCGCGTGCTCATGGATAGTATCCCTTGGTACTGTTATGCCAGGCACTGGTAGCCTCTCTTTAATATGCCCCGCGCTCTCACGCCGATGTAGGGAGGCGCGAGGCGGTTACCAGGGCACTGTCGCGTGCTGGGGATATAGCCTCATGCCATTTGCCATGACAGGCATTGACAACCGTGTTTACCCTGTCAGGCATTGGTAGCCTCTTGCGATGAGCTTGGAATACCAGTGGCGTTTACCCATGCTAACTACTGTTCAACAGGAGCAGCGCCACAGTCGCTCCGTGGTCTACCGAACGGCTTTTCGAGTCAACAACAATCAATAGGGCCGTCGAGGAATGCCCCGGCGAGGATGGTCAATGGCAAGATGAGTGCGGATACAGCATACCCAGTCTAGATGTGGACAGATATTGATTGAGACCCTATAGCACCCAGTAACGGGGCCACTTGGGCATTTGGCGGTGTCCCTATGGGCACCGCTGGGCTTCCTAGCCAGCGACAGACCACTGCTCCGATGACAAGTTTTGCCCAGTCGATTGGGAGCTCTCAGCCTGCAGCCCCTCTAGATATGTCGTAAGTGCTGTCATGTTTCCCAACCCTCAGTTTCTCCTCCCATTCGCCGTTGATTCACATATGTCTTCGTCGCTACATCGCGACGGTCACGAAGTGGTTCCTCACGCTCTGGTTGCAAATCGTTGCTAGTTCCGCATCTGTGCCCAGAAGCTTGTGAAATCAGCATTTGACAGCAGAATCGACGTACCGTCGGAGGCAAGGTTTCACGTAGATTTTGGAGCTAATATAATACTGGTAGTGAATTTCCATCACTGTCAAATAACCCTTCACACCAAACCTCCAGCTCCGCGCAGTCCACATGGGCAATGCCAGGTGCACGTCAACAGGGGCAGGCTGCAAGCCATCGCCCTCAACACGGCATTTTACCCGCGCAACAACAAAGACAAAGCCAAACACAACAGCAGACGCAGCAACAGCAAGACGATCTTTTCTCCTCGTCATCCCAGCTCCCAAGTTCTCAAAGTGGTTTCCGATTCGGTGGACAAAATGCCGTGGGACAGTTATCTCAACCTCAAGAAAGTGCGGCAGAAGAGTTCCCTCCGTTAAATCGGAATGCAAACGGAGAGATTGGCCAAGATCGTAATCTGGGTTCGTTGCAGAGCCCAGGTTTTGGCGCTCCTTCAAGCACCCTCGGGTTTCCTGCTGGGGGCAGTGGCGCCCAGGCTTCCAGGAGCAACGGCCTGCTTAATGCCGTTAATACGGGCAACAGAGCTGCGCCAGCAAACCCGCGCGATAACTCAGTAAACGTGCCAGGTATGTTGAAATAGTCCACAACTTTTATTGGGCAAAACTTACGATTCACCTAGGTCCTCAAACGTCTCAAAATCCACCGTCAAGCCTTGAGAAGGACTCGATAGTATGTCATTTACTTGGTTATGCAGATTGGCTCTAACTTTTTCCAGGGATTTAGCAGACCGCCACTATCAGAAGCTGCAGACAATTTAAGTCCACACGGCCAGCCAGCAACTACAGACGCCAAAAGTATACCTTATAATCAAACCCTACCACCTCAATCTCAACCAAAGGGGTTTGAAGCCGATCCCGCGGATGAAGCCGGCCCTATTAGCCAAGATCCACTTCCAGGGATGAGTGACAGGGACCGATATGGCCTTAAGGGGCTGATTGAGATGCTCAAAGGCCCATATCCGGACCAGGCTGCACTCATAACTGGTGTTGATATTGCTGCCCTTGGATTCGACCTGAACACCACTGAGTAAGTCTTCTTCTCCCCCGCATTTCGGAGACCGCTGGTTACTAACTATGCCCCGCAGGCGCTTGTCAGAGACCATCTGGTCACCATGGGATGACGTTCCAGCAAGGCCGGATATTCCACAGCACACCATTCCGGATTGCTATCAGGTCCACAACGTCCAGCCCATCGAGAACAAGCTGTCCAACTTCAGTGATGAAACGTTAATGTTCATGTTCTACAACAACCCTCAAGATATCCAACAAATGATTGCAGCGCAGGAGCTGTAAGTGGCTCTCTTTCAGATTGTGGGTCTCACATACTGACATCTTCCTAGTACCAACCGCAACTGGCGTTATCACAAGAAGCTTTCAATGTGGCTGACGAAGGACGACATGATGCAGCCACAACTCCTCGGAAACGGCACAGAGCGCGGCTACTACGTCTTCTTCGACCCTAAACTCTGGTCCCGCGAGCGCGTAAGTTCACTTCCCATCCATCAGCATTCAAAGGCGCGGTCACTAACGCCTCCTAGCGCGAGATGCTGTTAAGCTACATCGATCTGGAGGTTGTACCTAACGGCCCAGCAGGCCCGATATCGTAGTCCAGCCAGCAGCTGCGGGAATCGGACGTTTAGATAGGCCCCCAACATAGCTTATTCCCCGGCCACCGCCTCTGGTGACCCCTGGCGCACAAAAAACCTTGTATTCCGACCTCCGGTATTCCGACCTCCGTCCGTCCATAAACCCTCTCCCTTCGCTCTGGTCCACACACACACACACACATACAAGCCCGCCTGTACCATCTCCCACCCCGTCGGGGTCACGACGGCGATCTAGTCACATTCCGGCGTTCCGTTTTCCGATCTCGTTGTTTCTCCAACTATCATTTCTCAGGCGCACAGTTTCGCCACCACCGGCGGAAGGTGGTGGCTGGGGGGGTTAAAGGGGGAAGGGAGGGGGGTGTTTATATGCTTTCTTTGCTTTGGGTGCCTCCACGGCTGGGTTGGGGTGGGGGTGGATGGGAGTGGTGGGGGCGTGGCTACTGTGTGGCTTGCATACCTGGCTGGGTTGGGAGTGTCTGTTTTTGTTTTTTATTGTTTATGGGGGTTGGTTGGGGGTGGGGTTAGGAATCTGATAATGGAGTGGGTTCTTGGACTTCTTCTTTTGGGGGGTGTGGTGTGATGGTGATGTGGTGTCGTTTGTGAGGTTTGTGTCCTGACTGCAGCTGGAGGCGGTGGCGAGTGGCGTGAAGGCCGATACGATGAGCTCGCTCTAGGTGCCGGGTCTACACGCCAAGTGGCATGCATCACGATCGCCTACTTGGCGCTGCCCTACGAGGTAAAAGTACAACCATCTTTCAGTCTCGCGAACACTTCCATTTCCACAGGGCTGCCCGAACGATCCGAGGGAAACGCGGAGATATACCCCAGAACCAGGAAAGACGACCAAGGGCGCAACGCCAAGGAGTAACTACTCTACGCGAGTCCGGATGTCTGAGATGCTACTCCTACTCTACGGGAGACAAGTTTGGATGTCTTAGACTCGGGGCGTGGAGGCGGTCAATGCAGAGGGGATAGGCGCGGTTGCCGCCGAGGTACTGGGGGATAGGGGGAGGGAGGGAGATGGTGTATTTAGGTATAACAACCCCCCCCTCGTCTCGTCTGTGCGCCGCTAGCCCAATATCCATACCATCGGCGTCGGTACAACGTACTAGGAGATACCACGGCCCTGTATCGAAGCCGGGAGGGAAAAGTTTTCGGGATCCCGAGGGTATGGGTGTTGGATGGAGGTCTAATGGCTCAGTGTTGGGGCCGAGAGTGATGGGATGGGTTGGGTTGGGAGCCCGAGGGTTTGGTGGTGGGTTGAAGGCCGACATGGCTTGGCTGGTTGGCATCTACAATATCACGATAGACTCACAAGTTGCCAGTCACGCGACCAGAGATGCTACAGTACGGCGACAAAAGGATTCGTACGGGTCTGTGCGCAAAGAGCAGTGAACAAGTGTTTTTTTGTATAACTGTAAGCACGCCATCGACATCAGAACTAGAACTGACGACCAGCAACCTCCTCACACGTACACGTCAGCACCCCCCAAAGCCTTTGCCAATACTGAACACTACAAACACCACCACCCTCTCTCATCTCCTCTCCCCTTTTCAACATCCCCCCTCCATCCGAAGCAGTCCCCCCCCCCGGCCACACCCCAGGCTCCCATCCGGATACGAAGCGGAGATGACCCCGCCGATGCGACGCTGCCACGTTTTAGGGCTGTCAGGGTAGTGGGATTCCAGAATACTCGAAAGGCAAGGGCGGGTGCAAGGCTGTGGTGTGCTGATTACGGTGTGCTGATTACGGCACGCTGATGACGGCACGCTGATGACGGCACGCTGATTACGCGTTACAAGAGGACGACAATGGGATGCGGGGGAAAAGGGGGGGGGGGGGGTGGTTGTCTACAGAACAGGGGGCGGACGCCGATTAAGGAGCAGACGGGAGAAAATCAGATTCGGCCGGAGCAAACAAAGAAGGCGGCCAGTCAGGGGCGATGAAGGGGATGGTAATCTGGAGAGGATTATGATCATCGTCATCGATGGGTCATCCCTATCGTATTCTTCGGAAATAGAACCCATGTATGTAATATCGGAGTACCACTCCCACCACAGCCATCTCACCCCTCCCACCTCGGTGTTTCCGCAGGGTCGCGGGGTCCATCGGGGATACGCGAACCACGCTAGAAGCCCGTCTTATCTTCTAGAAGGAATGTAATTTTAGGCCGCCTAGTAGTAGCAGACTGTAAATCCGGGATGAGATGCCGTCCTCGCCCCTTTTTCCCCCTTTCCTGCCCCCCTTCCTCTTCCTCCTCCTCCTCCTCCCCCCTTCCTCTTCCTCCTCCTCCCCCCTTCCTCTTCCGTGTTGTAGGGGATCTTCGGATCTCCGTGTTGTAGGGGGAGGGGTTGATTGTGGTGTGGGTGCGATGATGCAGTGCAAGTTACTTACTCCTACAGCAGGTCGTTGCTAACTTACAGTATTATAACCCTTGGTATGTTTCAGGTTTGGGGTGGTCTACTCCCTCCCCCCACCCGCATTCTCGAACTAGCACACCTTGCGAGAAAAACCCTTCCCTTCCCACTCTACAGTACCCGCACGAACGAGCCGCTACACCGCGTGGTCCTCCCCACACGCCCCGTCCCTGCGCCCTGCGCGATGACGATAACCACGCCCACGGCTGCTTGTACTGTTACAAAAGCTGCTGCATTATTCCCAGGATTGGGCAGGGAAAAAGGGAGGGGGCGGTCGGTGGGGTGGAGATGGAACCCTAGGGGCTGTGGTGGAAAACGTGGAAGACATGGATGGGATGGGTGCGTTGCATTACGTCGGATAGTGCACGCAGGAGGAGATGCTGCAGGTGTTAATTCGATACAGATTACGAAAAGGGTACCCACGTGGACACAAGCTCCTTGGGTCCTTGGGGTTTCAGTTTCACGTAACTCGCTCACTCTATAATCGCCAATGCAGTATACCTAGAGGGACCTTGGCGATTCGCGGTCTAGATGGCGGCACACCGTCCACCTGTTCATACCGAGGACCTGCTATTGCAGCTTCACGTGTCATCGTAGCGGGGTATCCCAGCTAGTAGTCCAAGGAGGGAGGGGTGTCTTGGGCGTCTGTCATCGCCATCGCCATTGCCATCGCCATAAGCCGTGGTTCTTTCTGCTTCCTTCGGCAGACAGAGGGGCCCAGCCTGAAGAAAAGGAAGGAAATTGGCTTCGATGCGAGGAGCGGTGAGTAAGGTGCCCACCAGCTGTCGGAGGAAATCGTAGGATGCCCTGCACCATAGCGGCAGTCTATACAGCACCAACAGCACCAGCTCGTGGAGCTTCACGCACGCACGCACGCCCGCACGAACACAAGCTACAGCATCTCAGGGTCCTTCACGCCGCCAAACAACAGCCCTGAAAGAGGTAAACAGAACTTCTGTACGGGTGTCGCCCACGCGCCGTTTGAGAGGGGAAGGTTGATCCGTCCATCACGCCCGAGACATCTCGGGCGCAGGCACCTCCCCACTGCTATTCCCGTAGGCCGTAGGCGGACTGCCGGCTCCCAGATGCTGTACAGTACATGGGCGCCGTCAACCGGTGAAGTCATACCCTTGGCGCCCGTCTCACGGTGGATGTGAAGCAAAATGACGAGCGGCAGCGGGGCAGCGGAGCACCTGAACCCTGGCGAGAAGGTGAGGTGATTACAGTTATCGTCGTGAGTAGAGGGATGGTAATCTTTCAAGCAAACTGACTCGGTAAGGGCAGAAATCCTCTCTCCTCGGCGACTGCGAGAACTCGTTCTTCCATCTCAACTACCGAGATTGAGCAAGCACGGCAAAGCTCAGCGGTCCCTCTCCTTATCAAGCGTCGCGTCCGTCGGGCACTACATCCCGAGTGGGGGTCCATCATCCCACCAACCACTCTCACAGCGTCCGTCGCATCCGTCACATCCGTCCCGTTCGTACCCAGACACCCCCCTCTCCCACCGGCCAGATCCTCGGCCGGCGCACCCATTCGAAAACGGGTAGACGACAACGGGTAGACGACCCACCCCACCAGACGTTCGCCAAGCCCGCGCTGGGTTTTCTGGTCGCGCGGTGCGCAGGCATTGGGTGGCCGGGGGGGGGGCACATGGTGATCTCCGCAAGGAATGGGGTGGCGAATCGCAGGAAGCGGTGTGGGCGTGGTGTGGGCGTGGTGTGTGGGCGAGGAACGGGCGAGGAACGGATGGGATGGCGGCGGTGGGAAGATGGAGGCGGGCTTTCCGAAGGGGGATACAGCGCCGGTAGCCATCCGGGGGAGACTCCGAGACAGACTTAGACATGGAGCGTGGCTCTAGTAGTGCGCCCTGTGAGGGACTCTTTCCCGACCGCCACGGAGTGGACGGGAGTGGAGTGGGACTAAGCCCGTACTGTGTGTACCGTACTGTATGTACGTACTGTATGTACGTACTGTATGTACGTACTGTATGTACGTACTGTATGTACGTACTGTATGTACGTACTGTATGTACGTACTGGATGTACTGGACGTACTGTATGGACGTACTGGACTTGTACTGAGGGGCATCCCTGTATCCTACGCGGCGAGGGATGTGGTGGCGCGGAGAAGGGGGGAAGGGGGAAGGGGGAAGGGGGAAGGGGGAAGGGGGAAGGGGGAAGGGGGAAGGGGGAAGGGGGAAGGGGGAAGGGGGAAGGGGGAAGGGGGAAGGGGGAAGGGGGAAGGGGGAAGGGGGAAGGGGGAAGGGGGAAGGGGGAAGGGGGAAGGGGGAAGGGGGAAGGGGGAAGGGGGAAGGGGGAAGGGGGAAGGGGGAAAGGGGGAAAGGGCGGTAAGGCGACGGATGGTTTCTTAGCTGGTTTCTAGCTGGCTGGTTGTTCTAGACATGATGGGGGATGACGGGTCATATCTGCACCACGAGAGGCTCTCCACACCACATGGCGGTCCCACATGGCGGTGCACATGGCGGTGCCTGTCTGCTGGCTGCATCTGTCTGCATCTGTCTGCATCTGTCTGCATCTGTGCGTTGGGATTAGGGATCTCCGAGGTATCTGTACATGCCAACCGCATCACCGCATCATCCCGTGAAAATCGCATGCTCTCATATCCTGTCCAGACTATACACCCATACAATATACAACCATACAATATACAATTAAATATACAATATCCAACCATACAACTACACAACTACACAACTACACAACTACACAACTACACAACTACACAACTACACAACTACACAACTACACAACTACACAACTACACAACTACACAACTACACAACTACACAACTACACAACTACACAACTACACAACCATACAACTACACAACTACACAACTACACAACTCCATACAACTCCGTACAACTTCATACAACTCTGCATACATACCCACTCAACTCCGGCCGCACCAGCCAAAGAGAACTGCCGCGTCCTACAAGTACCACAAGTACCACAAGTACCCTTCTCCTACCTTGCTCGCGGTACGGAGGTACAGTCGGTACATCAGTACGGCACCTGCGTACTCATCCTCGAATTCCTCCCCCTAAAATCCGATGCTCATCCAAACCCCGATCGAAATACAAGGAAGACCTTTATTCCCGACTCTTCTCCGCTGTGGACACGAGGAGACGCAAGGAAGACAGTCCCAGTCCAGTCCAGTCCCAAATCCCAGTCCCAGTCCAGCCCCAGATCCCAGTCCAGTCCCAGATCCCAGTCCAGTCCCAGATCCCAGTCCCAGATCCCAGTCCACTCCCAGTCCACTCCCAGTCCACTCCCAGTCCACTCCCAGTCCACTCCCAGTCCACTCCCACAATCAGAATCAGATCTGATTGTCTCATAAAAGCCGAACTGCCATTCCCATTCCCAAAGAAGAGACGCTGCGCCGAACAAGAGCGAGACACAACCCTCTCACAGAATCACTCAACTCGGTCTTTTCATATGCGGATCACCGCCACGAACTGGTCACACTGACACCCTAAAGACCACACGATTTCAACTCACCCTCACTCATCTGCCTGCCCTGCCCTGCCACGCACGGTTCCCACGACGGCTCCACGACGACTCCACGACGACTCCACGACTCCACGCCACGACTCCACGCCACGACTCCACGACTCTCCCACGTTGCATTTCTTGTTTTTGCCCCCAAAAACCGAAGCGGAAAACACCGACGAGCTGGTCGCTCACTCTGGCGCATACATTCACATTCACAGACGACCTACCTACGACCTACCTACGATCCACGACCCACGATTACGATCCACGACCTACGATCCACGACCTACGATCCACGACCTACGATCCACGACCTACGATCCACGATTTGACACAAAACCAGTGTATAATACATATACTCACTCTGCTATACCGGCCTGCTTACTAAAGTGGAATTGGAAACTCTTTATCCCAGCCACTGGAACATCCACTTTACGGGGTAAGAGGTACCAAATACAAATTCCACCTGCTGGGATATAACGAGGCTAGTCTGGCGGCTTTATTATTCAGGTGGGTCCCTTTTTTCCATTTTTGATTTTAACCTGGTTCCCCCCTTCGTCATCTTTATTATTATTACAGCCCACTATTCGCTCGCTCCCTTCACATTACTTCCCACTCACAAAACACTACTGCTAGTCCTGGTCAATCTAGTGATCGACACTTCGAAGGCCCAAGCCATCAAGGTTGTTTCGGTTCGTCTGGCTCTTGTCCGACTCCGATTCCCGCACCAACAACAACTCTCACAAATCTACCCCCCACCCCCCCCCCCCCCCCCCCCTGCACTACCTACAACCAAAACCTCAAAATCCTTCCCTCGTCTCGTCTTCGCCCTTACCCGTCCCACTCATGAGGCATCAGTTTCAAAGTGGCAGTAACCAATACCATTATAGTGTAGATGGCCCTAACCAAGCCTTCACATCCCGAACATCATTTGTCTACCCTGTCTCGATCCGACTTTCCAGAACAGCCACAATTCTTTCAAGAATCTCCCGACTCGCTCGCGACAACTTCTCTCACCGATTCACAATCTTCGCCGGAGAAAAACCCCTCCATCGACTCTCTCCCTCGGGTTCGCAGCAACTCCAAGCAGCGCCAGTCCACCCTCTCCACCACCTCGTCGAGAAGCAGCCGCACCAACCTTCTCACCTTTGCTGCCCTTGCACGAGACAAGACCACCAGCGCCATTGCCACCTTCTCCGATCCCGTCACACGAGCACAAGTCTCCCGCAAGAACTCCCACAATCACCGCACTGACGGTGACAGCGACAAGAGCCCCAAGCGGAAATCCGACCCCTCGCGATCCATTACTCCCCAAGCGAAGGAATCACAATCCATAACTACCCCACGATCGGGCCTTCAGGACACGGAGCCGCCCTCCCAGTCGTACGAGGATACGGACGCGAACACCCCGACACCTATGAAGGTAGTAGCACCGGAGCGGAGCACGATGCACCAAACCTCCTCGCGCTTATTGCGCATGACAGAGGATGACAGGCCATTCACCAGAGTAAGCGACGAACCTTTCCGAGTCTCATCTCTTTTCCACAGCCAGGGCAAACTATTTACATCACTACCAGGATTTCAAGGACCTCTTCGCAACACTGATCGTCAGCCTCCCCCTCGAGTCCCACCGCCGCATGTTCAACAAATGCGAGCACTCCTTCCTGTCCGAAGAGGCAATCAACAATTTAGGGTCCTTAAAATTCTCCCAGTCCAATCGCATGCCAGATCCAAAGGATCCCTCGCGGATCGTCACCACCACCACCACCACCACCTTTTCCATGGCCCGAGACATGGCCAGGACCGTGTGCCAGCGCTTTGTGGACGCCCGGTTCATTGAGTCTGCGGACAGCAAGCAAATCAGAGAGTTCAACTTGAAGGGCACGCTATGGCAGCTCACGCCCAAGGGCATCCAGGTCCTAGACCACTTCTGCTCCAGGAACGGTATCCAGCAACGGCATGTGGTTGATCTCATCAACTCGCCCAAGAACACCATGCAGCTCGTCGTCTTAGAACGTGACAGCGTTTCGGATGAGATCTCGCACGATCGTGGGACGGTGGAGGTCTTGTTCCGCCGCTTCATTGGCGCGAACGGACCCAACATCAAGAGCAGCGTCTCGGCGGCCGATTCGGATTCCCTCAGCGAATACAACGATGGCTTGGCGGGAGTCAGGATGGCTTGTGAGCGCAAGATCGGCTCCCCACAGCGGACGGTCCTGCAATCCTTCACCGGGAAGGCGGCGGTAGACTGGCTGCTCGACTGCTGTACCACCGTGGACAAGAGCGAGACGATGAAGATCGCGGGGCTGTTCCTGGAGCACGACTTATTATGGTGTGTCCTGTCGGACAGGTCCTACACCTCCCAGTCCCCGGCACACAAGTTCCAGCCTACCAAGATGGCGATTTACCAGATGACCCAGAAGGGTAAGGATATCATCAACATGTCCAGCACCCACAGGCTCTCCAACGGTGATGTCGACAGCCCCTCAAGTAGAATCGGCGTTTCCCGCGACTCGAACACGCAGAAGCTGGACAGGATCCTCACAGATGCGGCTCTGCGCCTGCTCTTCCGCGAGCAGCTCCGTGATACCCATTGCGAGGAGAACCTGAGCTTCTACCTCGACGTCGACGAGTTCCTGAAGACTTGCACCGACGCCCTACAAGGCATGTCTCCTTCCTCGCGCGCCAAGAACCCAGATAGGAGTCTCGATGCTATTAAGGAGACCATGGCCTCCGCGTATGGTATCTACAACGCGTTCCTCGCCCCTGGCTCTCCCTGCGAGTTGAACATCGACCATTTACTCCGCAGCCAGCTCGCCTCGCGCATGACCAAGGCAGTCGGCCGCGGCGACGCCATGATCGAGAGTCTGAAGGAGGTCATCAAGCTATTCGAGGAGGCGCAACTCTCCGTGTTTAAGCTTATGGCAAGCGTACGTCCCCCACTCCCCAAATACATATCCCCCCCCCCCCAAAAAAAAAAGTATCCGCAATACTAACTAAGCAACAGGACTCGGTGCCCAAATTCATGAAGAGCGTCAAGTACGAACAGACCCTCAAGAACTACGACTTCGACTCCATCCCCGCCCACCCCGCCCCCGGCCAATCCCGCTCTCACGGCTCCGTCAACCGCTCATCCCGCTGAGCCTTAAGTCGTCTATCTATCTGGGAGCTCCCCTGCTTGCCCGGATCTCCCGCGAACGATCAGCATATACCCCGCCAGAAATTTCCATAATTCTCAAGTCATGTCATGTCGTCATTTAGCGTTACATACCAAAAAGACCGGCCCCGGCCCACCCCCCACGAACCGTTCGCCTCGCAGCGATCCCAGCCACTACGAAACCTCGCGTACCAACATACCACGAATCTCAACATCTACATCTACCACATACGAACGGTCCTTTTTTTCTCCAAAATCAAAAATTTCCAGCTTTGCATTCTCATGGCGTTTTCATCATCATTTCAAGAGAAAGAAGGGGGGTAAGAGGGGGGGAAGGGAGGGGCAAACAGGACATGTTGCTGGTTTTTTGCTCGCTCGATGCTGTTGCTGTTATTATTGTTGCTGCTTCTTTTTTTATTTTTTATTTTATTTTTTTTTCTCGCGCGCGCGCAAATATACTACTCGTAATACAGCTTTTGCTTGTTTATTTGATTTCTTGTTTATAGCTTTTCGTCGCTTCGAGATCTCCTCCAGCGGGCCCTTCTGCGCCTGAGGGGCCGCGAGAAGGGGGGGTTGGACGATGCATATCCAGGCATTTATGATGGAGAAGAGAGAAGAGAAGAAGAGAAGAAGAGAAGACTTGGGGGAGGGAGGAGGGAAAGCAGAAAGGTTACATCAGGATAATAATCGCTCATTCTAGACATTTATTTGGCGCTCCCCGTCTTCCTTTTTTTTTGTTGCTTTTTGGTTTTTAATCTTTTTGCGTCGTTGCTTTTTTAAGTTACTTTGGATTAGGATGGGGGGGGGGGTACCCTGAAGATGAGATGGCGGGGAGGTGCTTTGGACTGACCTTTGTGTGTTTGGAAGGCGTCGGTGCATACACCAATGGCTGGCTGGATGATGCGGAAATTAGAGTAGGAATGAGATAGCCTCTTAATGCCGTCAGGATGACTGGATTGTTTGTGCGGTATGAGTGAATGGCTTGTGAGATATCAGAGGGGATGATGTGGTGATTGGTGGGTGAGTGTGCACGCAGGGGTTGGGTGGGAGTTGTAGGTAGGAAGCACGGATATGTTATGGGGTGTACATTCGTCCTGCCAATTTGCCGAATGTGTAATTCTACAAAGCCAGCTTCTTACATGCGTCCCCCGCTGTTTCTTTCCAGACCACCTTCAAAGGGCATCATCTATCAAACGCCAACCAAACTCCAACCAAATGCACCGCTTGCCCCCAGCAAACCCGCACGCCACTCCATCCTACAAATCCACCCCCTCACCCATCCCCAACCTCCCCTAAGCATTGACCGGCCCACTCTCCTTCGACCAGCCCTTAACCCTCATAATCTCCTCCACCCCCCTCCACACCGCCTCCACCCCCTCCCTATCCCTCCACCTCGTCTCCTTCCCCCCACTCCACGGATCAAGCGCCACACTCACAACACCCCTCCCCCACCCCCTCACCGCCTCCGGCACCGCCTCCCCTCTCCATCCCACATACACGCCCAGCGCGTGCCTAAACAGCTCTTGCGGGGCTTGCCACTTGTAGTTCTTAAACTGCCACGTCTGCCCCGTCGTGAACACCGCTACCACACGCGCCCAGTACTCCGGCTTGAATTGCTCGGGGGAATCAACGACAATGAAGCGGATGGGGCGGGTTGTGTCGATGGACGGGATTATGCGGGAGAGATGCAGGATTGTGGAGGTGGAGGTGGAGAGCGAGTCGGAGGGGGGGACGTAGAGCCCGCTTTCGAGGAAGGATTTTATGTTCGACATGCGCAGGAGAGAGGAGGCGGAGGGGGAGACGAGGATGATTGGGTCGGGGCGGCGGGTGGGTTTGGGGTTGTGTGGGAGCGCGGTGGGTCGCGCGCTGTGGGAGGAGGAGGCGGGGGCGCCGGGCTTGCGGCCGATGAAGGTTTGGGCGATTTTGCGGACGTGGGAGAAGTCCTGTTGGGGGTGAGGTTAGCTTTGCTTCTCTCCCAATATCACGTCAATGTAAGGAGGGGTGGGGGATGGCTGGGAATGGGAAAGGGGAAGAGAAGGGGGGGGGCCGAACAGTAGGCTTCACACCGCGCAACACGCTATTCCGATCACCCATCCTCCGCTCCCCGTTATAAATCTCCTGCAACCTCGGATCGACTGTGCGATTCCTCGCCCCCGCCCCAGCCGCAGCCGGCGCAACCGCCTTCCCCGCCGCAACCTGCGCGCTCGCTGCCGCGCCCGCCGCGTCCGCTGCAAGAGGACGGATATACTCGCTCTCCTCCGACGCGCCCTCAAGCCATGTAATCAGATCCAACCTCTCCACGAACGCGAGGTTCTGGACCGTCCCCCCCGCCCCGCCATCAGCGGTGAGAGCAGTGTTGAGTGCGAGCGCCGCGGCGTTGTAGTCTGGGATTGCGACCTCGCGCTTGAGCCAGGCGAAGTAGATACTCCTCAAATCGACGGGTTTGGAGGAGGAGAGGAAGCGCGTTGGGGTCGTGAGGGCGAGGGAGGTGGAGGAGTGGGGGAAGTGGAGGTATTGCGCGCTGGAGAGGGGGATGTCGTCGGCGGTTTGGGGTGTGGTTGGGGGGGTGGAGGTGAGGGTTGGGAGGGCGGCGGTGGAGGAGGCGATGGACTGGCGGAGGAGGAGGAGCGCGTCGTGCTGGGGGCTATCCGCGGATGCCATCTTGAGGTGCGGCGCGGATATGGGGTTGGATATGTTGATGCTGGGTGGTGGTGGTGTTGGTTGTTGGTCTTGGTGGTTTTGGAGCTCGGCGGCTTCGAGGTGAAGTTGGATAATACACACGGTAGCCGCACTAATCCAAACCCGCATGATTAGTGCCTTAGGCCAAAAGCTTGTTATAACCAAGGGAATCAATCAGTTGGATCGGCACTGGTCAACATACATGGCCTTATCTTACATTATATATTCTAAACCTCACCAGCATGATGAACCAATGCCATTAAGTATTATAAACTGATGGTTCCTCTCTCTTCCTAACGTCTGGGCAACGAAGAGACGTTGGGAAGAGAGAGGAACCATCAGTATTTCAACCAGAATCAATATTTCTATTTGATAGACTGGTTCTTCTTGCCAAAGATAACCTGTCCCATTAAAGTTAAGAACGTGCCTTCCTGTATTGGAAGGCACGTTCTCATACAGGAATTTTCTCTGGTAGGTTGGATTGGGACGGAATGACCGTAACTACCTTCATAACATCATATTACTTTCATTTCTGTTGTCAGCGACGTCCTTATTCCCTAACCATATTTTTCCACTCTCTTCAAGAGTTCTTAGCTTTATTTCTTGTTGAAAGCTTTAAGCTGATAATATTCCCATCATGGCGAGCCCTGCTCAGAAGATATCAATTACGGACGTCACAGATACCGATACCGATCATGATGGTGATGCCGACGACGAGTATATTGAGAGACAAGAAGGCCTGTCCCCGCAAAGTACGAGTACTTTCACGCAGCAGGTGATAGTTTCCGAGGAAGTGACAGCTGAACAAGGCTCCGGTCAAGTCACTGGTCAGATCACAGGCCATGTTGCTGAGGTTGAAGTTACGAAACCAACCGGAGATGGTAAGGGGAAGCAACCTACTTCGCGGAAAGTTAAAGTTTCACAAGCTACCGGCACGATTACTGGGAAATTGCCTACCTCCAAAGATGCGAAACAAGTTAAGGTTTCTAGCCAGGTCACTGAAGTGACCGCTACCCAAGAATTAACGAACGCCTCTGGGCCAGGTGTTGGACCATCCACGCCTCGGAATAGCCGGTCAATCAAAAAGGCTATATCAGCGGTGTTAGACGGGTCGCCTTTCAGAAGCTCGTTGTCAAACAATGAGGGCAAGCCCCTCTTTAAGGACTCCGGGGAGTTGAATAGCTCAAATAACTCCACACCTCAGCCAAAGCCAAAGCCGGTATCTCAAACTGCCGCAGATCCTCCTCGGCCTCCTGTGCTCGGTTATGAATGGGTTTGGTTTCCTGCAGGGTATTGGGCGGAGCGAGAAATTATTACACGGCCCGCGAAACATATTCGTCCTCCGAAGTGGGTTCGGAAATCGTTACAAGAGAGCGGTCCCAGCACATATGGAAGCACAGTAGCTTCAGCACCGCGATCATTGAACGCTTCTGAGGTTTGGGCAAAGAATCCGAATGATGCGGAGGATGAAGAGGAACAGGAGCTGGAGGGCGACGGTCCCCGAGGAAGACGGGCAATCAGTCCTGCGGGAATAATAAACCCTGATAGGGGAACTTCCACGCCAAAGGCTCTTTTGCGAAAGTTGCAGCAAATATCGCACAGTAGGAAGGCATCAGCATCAGGGCCATCTGCCGGAAAAGGAAAGGTAAGGCAGCTTTTGATATCCCGTTTGTATTCTACTCACTATTCCAGGGGCCCCAAGAACCAAGGCCTGAATCGCCGCTAATTGATTTGGAACGCCAAACAACGAACACGCTCCGAGGGACATCTCGCTTCTTTTCGCAGTTTCTAGCTACGAAAAAACAAAACGAGCGAGCGATGCACCCACTGAGCCCAAATGAGCAGTCGCTAAAGTTGCCTCGAAAACGCTTTGGTTTGGCCCCCTGGCACCAAAATGATTCTGGTGACACAGTTCGGGCCGCCACCGCCACAAGCTCCATAAGAGAGCTATTGTTTGGCAAGACGCCTGCTTCTACTCCTCGGTCAGATGCCCCTCCCGCTGAACCCAGGCCCGACCAGTATTTTGGAGGTGAGATTCACTCTGAGTTCTTGATGAACTCCCATCCGGAAGTCGAACATTAAAGATGCTGAAATATGCAATAGTTGAAGTGCCTGGCTCACGCACTGTTGATGATGAGAATCAGGATGCCCAGGATAATACACCGCGATCACTTGACCAAGGAAGCCCTGAAAGAAGACGACGGTCTGCCATCGGTTCCCCACTTACACAAGCTGGAGACAGCGGACCATCTCGCCTGTTCCAGCCCGACTCAGGGAGCACCTTGGTTCCTGTGACATCAAATACAGAAAGCACGAACTTGCGAGACAGAGAGTGTGAACTTGCAACCCGAGGTTTACCCAGCCCATCCGAACAAGGAAATTATGCCGTTGAACTCAAAGAGCACTTCAAATTTAGTCCATGCTGTCCGTTGCACCCCAGCTATACGGCTCCTGGTAAGGGATATTGTCCCTTCCACTCATCGTAATATTCCTGGATATAGGAAGTGCTGGTTGCTGTGCAAAAGCATGTGTGAGAGCTGTGACCAGGGTGGCATGAGGGACAATAGATGGTAGAAATAGACAGACAGTGAGGATGGTAGTGCTCAAAAGGATAGAAATGGGGGGATTGGGAAAAGATGGGATTGCAGACATGGTTATAACTTCTGGGGTAATCCCTGCGGTGTATATATATGCTACGAGGAAGTTCATGGTGGCCTCTATTTACTTACGGTGCATACAGCAGAGTCTTTGCAATCCAAGCTGCCACCTTTGATTTCCCTGAATTAAACCAGATCCGCAAGTGAACGTCAACGCCAAAAATGGTGAATGTATTTGTATCGAAAATCATCAACATAATTTACACGCTGGCCGCTAAGAGCCGATGAGGAAAACGCCCTGTTCTATTTATGGGATATACAACCCCTACGACTTGTTCTCCGCAGCTATCTTGGCCTCCATCTTTCTCCTCGCTGCCAAGATCATTTCTTCCCTCCTCTGCTGCATCAACGACTGCCTCTCGGTCTTATTTTGACTCCAGGCCTTCCCTCCGGGCGACCCGCCGGGCGATCCGCCTGTCGTTTCCTTATCCTCGCTACTGGATGCGGCGAGCTTTGCTCCGAGGTTGTATCGCGAAATGAGGTCGGGTTGGGATGGCTTTGGCGCCTCCTTGATCGTGCCTGCGCCCGTTTGCGAAGAAGAAGTTGCTGCAGCTGGTTGGATTGGCGGTTGGAAAGTCTGTGGCGGCTGTACGGAGTTAGCTGATGCGCAGTGGCAATTTGAAGCAGGTCCGGGCTAGCATGACAACTCACCTCTTGAAGTCCTCTACCGCTCAGTATCCTCTCCGTCGTCGCCGCAATATTCCCTCCATTCGTCTGCAAGTCCCACATTATCGTCCGCCGGGCAACCTGCGGGAACATCTGCTGCACCCTGTCCACATCTGCCTCCCTCACTCGTACGCCGCCCCTGCTCGAAGCTGATGGCTGGTCCGGAGATTGAGGCGCAGAGAAGAAAAAGTATCGGACGGCGAAGCCGCCCAGGAGGAGGATTATGACCAGTTGCGGTAGGTTTATTGTTTGGTCGTCCGCCATGGTTGCTGTGCTGGCGCCTCGGTGGGTAGTGTCAGCAGTAGTGACGTTTGTATGAGCCTCTGAGCCGGGCGTGCAGCATGAAGTATCCCGTGAGCTACAGTGCCGTTTTGCGATCGTGGTGCTGTATGTTATGTTTAATGATGGATTTCAGAATTTGGGATAAGGCGTGGATGATGGTGCTCTCAATGGTGACGGGAGTGGCAATAAAGTTACCAGGCGCGGATTATTATGTGCCGATCTGGAGATATCGTCATGTGCCTGGCACATCACACCAGCAATAAGTAAGATACAAACTTCCACTCATTCACGGCTACTATTGTTAAGCTAGTTCCTCAAAAATAGAACCAAAGAGAAGGATTGTATCAGTTTAAATTGCTGATATCAATTCACAGCTACATATGGACGGCCCTCTTCGGACTTTTGGGCGCCACCAGGACATATTCTCTCATGGTTCACCAGTTGTCCTATTAGTTGTCTCATTTATTTCTCTGTTGCGCTCTTGTTAACTACATCATTGAATCCGCCTTTCCCTTACGAATAAGCCGTATGATGCCCAACTTTATGCAAGTCCTGTGTCGTACTGTACAATCTATACCAGATTGACTGGAGTCAATATCTAGTGAGCAATCAAAGGAAGAATCTGATCAAAGGACCCAGCAGTTGTCAATATTTTCTTACAGATGATGTTTCCCACAGCAGCGCATTCATCTCACGCCGGCTCTTGGGTCTCCGACGTTCGTGCTGGAGCGCGTTCTTGTCAAGTTGAAGGGCAAATACCCAATCGCCGAGTGTTCTCTACAACGCAGCGAGAGCAACGGCAGCAGCCACACCACCGACAGCCCACCCAGCGCAACCGGTAATCTGAGGCATCCCACCCGTGGATGCGGATGTCTTGACGGCCTTAGAATCGGTCCCAGTGGTGCCGGTAGGTGTGCTGGTTGGCGCAGAAGTGGCAGCTGGCCCGGTGGTGGCAGGGGGACTCGAACCATCAGTGCTGGTGCTAATGGAGGCTTTACTGCCGTTGTAAATGGAGGATACATCGTGGACAACAGTTGCGGGGCCCCAAAGCGTCTCGGCAGCTTTGCCAGTAAGAGTCATTGTCGCGTCAGTCTTGTCAGAATCACTCTCGAAATTCGGAGAACCCGGTATTATACTGGTCAAGGGGAAGGGAAAGGCCCAACCAGACCTTTCAGTAGTTAAGGATCACAAACCTTGCACCCCATCTTCATATAAGGCGTGCTTAGTCATGTAACCTTATCAGAAACGACACATTGGTCGCCGTATTCGACCCCTTTGTGGGTTATTATAATTTCACAGAGGGAGTTTATGTGGTTTTTTAAATTGTAACTGCGGTTTCTATCGAATCCATGTTTTGCCTTTTTGTCGATACTTGACATGGCGGCAAACATGGACCGTGCAGGTATGTACCCCTTCACACCAATTAGCGTAACGCGTCTCAGCGCGACAATTATATTCCACATTTCCCTACCTGGGACCAAGCCAAAGTGGTCGTGTCTACTACTTCTTGAGGTCAATATTACCTGATATGCAGCCGCGAAACTGATTTACGGCTTCTATCATGCTGGATTGGCAGTTTATTAGCAATGGGTTCGAATAAGCGCAGTCGCCCGTTGGAGCAGCAGGTCAACGATTCCTCGCCAATGCCAAGCTCTGGCCGACTGTCTGCGAAGAGGAGGAAGGTGAGCGGCAGTGGATCGTCACCTTCAACACCAAATTCTGTGGAGGTCGTGAAGAGGACATTGGGCAGAGCTGTGAGCCTGAAAGAGAATGAGCCTATCGACGATGACTCGAACCCGGAACCTTCCCCAACAAAGCAGCTCCTGGAAGATGAAGCTGCTGTCGAATCGATGAGCCTAAAACCTACAAACGAAGCTGGAGCAGAGGCGGCACCGGAGTCTGAGCCACCAGACCGCTTTGCAGGACGCCAGGCGCGAAAGTCGGGGCGCTATTCGACAGAGGTCGCCGAAAGGCCGGTCCTGGAGCCGAAGAGCATCTTGACACCCAGCAAGAGAGGACGGGGCAGGCCACGGAAGAGCGTCGCTTTTGAACTGACGACATCGGGGGAGGGTGACGTGGATCTGGGATTTAAAGATATCCCCATAGACCAGCCGCCTCCAATTGAGACCCCGACACCACGAAAGAGAGGCACACCTCCAAAAAATAGCGACCCCCAAGAGCAACCCCAAGGGCTCTTACAACCCGAGGAAGCCGATACCGCAGATGCATCACAAGAAGCTATACCACAAAAGAGAGGGAGAGGGAGACTGCGAAAAAATCATGACCCCCAAGAGCTCTCACGGGGGGGGAATGTCACCACAGACGTGTCAGAAGAAGCTGTACTGCCAAAGAGAGGGAGAGGGAGACCTCGAAAAATCCGCGACCCCAACGAGCTCTCAAAACCTGAGAAATACACTAAATCACCTAGAATACCAATTATTGTGGAGCCAGATGACGAAGAGGAGGAAGACGAGGAAGTTTGTGCTATATGTGAGAATGGAGACTCTGAAGCCCCGAATGAGATTATATTCTGCGATAGTTGCGACCTTGCTGTACATCAAGAATGCTACAATATTATCACGATCCCTGAAGGCGAATGGTTATGCAGCGACTGCCAACTAGAGGATCCAGCAATAGAGACGGCTGATGTTCAAGAAACGGTTCCAGAAATGGATGCCGAGTCTATTTTTGACATTGGCGGATCGGAGCCACCAGCTATACCAGGGCTGGAAGACCATCTAATGGCTATGCAAAGGCTTTTGCTAGACAAATTAACGGGGCGTAAGAGGCTGAAGTTGCATGATCTCGATGACGAGTTTCAAAAAGTATATCAAGTTGTTGAGCAGACGGTCATGTCAGGAGAGGGAAATTCTATGCTCGTCATAGGGGCGAGAGGTTCTGGAAAGACAACTGTGAGTATCCCTCGTTCCTTGATTGTAACATACTAATGCGCTCTCTAGCTTGTTGAAACAGTTATATCAGATCTCTCAATTGAGCATCGACAGAACTTCCACGTCGTTAGGCTTAATGGATTCACGCACACAGATGACAAGCTAGCGTTGCGGGACATCTGGAGGCAGTTGGGCCGCGAAATGGAAGTCGAAGAGGACCTGACTGCTAAGACCAACAATTATGCCGATACGTTGACTTCGTTGTTAGCTTTATTATCACATCCCACTGAGCTGTCGGAAGATAACGCAAACCACATGGCAAAGTCGGTTGTTTTCATTTTAGACGAGTTCGATCTTTTTGCATCGCATCCACGCCAAACTTTGCTCTACAATCTTTTCGATATTGCCCAGGCGAGGAAAGCGCCCATAGCTGTCTTGGGTGTGACAACAAAAATCGACGTCGTGGAGATGCTCGAAAAGAGAGTTAAAAGTCGATTTAGCCACAGATACGTGCATCTGCCACTTCCGCGAAGCCTTCCAGCATTCTGGGAGATATGCAAGGAAGGACTTCAAGTGGATATGGATGAACTCGTTGATGGGGGATTTGATCCCGGGTTGCCTGGACAGGAGGAGTTCCTCGAGTACTGGGACTCAATGATTAACGTAAGTTGCCTATCTACTGGTGACTCTGTTTAGCTTCTAACGTCACATATAGTCTCTATACAACGATGATGCACCCTACAAAGCTCATCTACAAAGGATCTTCTACAGAAGCAAATCCATCCCCGCCTTCTTCAGCACCTGCATCCTCCCCATCGCGAGCCTCACACCTCGCTCCCTCCCACTCACCTCAGCCTCATTCCCCGTCCAATCTACCCTCTCTCCCCCCGACTCGAAGCTCCACATCCTCCAGGGGCTCTCTGACCTCGACCTCACGCTCCTCATATGTGCCGCGCGCCTCGACGTCGTCCTTGACACCGACACGTGCAATTTCGCAATGGCATACGACGAGTACTCGACTCTAACAGCAAGGCAAAGGATCCAGGCCAGCAGCAGTGGCATTGGGGCACTCAGCGCTAGTTATAAAGTGTGGGGCCGCGAGGTGGCTATGGGGAGCTGGGAGACGCTGGTCGACTACGAGCTGCTTGTTCCGGTTAGCATGGGAGCAGGGCCGATGGGTGGCCTTGGGGGAGGGGGTGTTGGGAGGGAAGGCAAGATGTGGAAGGTGGATGTTGGGTTGGAGGAGATCGCTGGCAGTGTGGGCGGGCTTACAAGTGTCATGACGAAGTGGTGTAAGGAGATTTGAGCATGTGCTTTGTCATGAATTGCTGTACCGGCATGATGATATAATGACAAGATATAGACGGTGAAGATAGAGTGCTATACTTCGTACGCATCGGCATGAATGTAATACAAACCTTAATGCCCGGCAATTTGTTTGACACAGTGCCGCCGACGCTAACAGCTGCCAAATATAAATTCTTCGACAGGGTAGTCTCAAAGAAACAACAATTGGGAAGTGAGCGGTCCTGTAACCGCGCAGCTCACAAACCTCAAATACAAAAATATCAATAGCCGCCCGCAATGTCTCTCCTCTGTATCCACAATCCCGTATCTTCACCACCTAAGCGCCCACAAAAGCTTCACTCTCGCCTGTGGACAAGTAGCGCGTCAGCGTGACAGGGACCCTGAAACGAAGCTTCTTCGCTTGGCGCCAAACACGCAAATGAGCGGCTGCGGTTCGTTCTGCGGAACGAACCGCAGCCGCTCATTTGCTCACAACGGCAGCGTTTTGTTTCGAGGACGGCGTTACCTCGCACCTAAAATACTGAAAGATGGATTCGGACTTCTGCAGATACGAGGTCTCCAGCTGTCATAAAGGCGATGATGGGACGGTAAGTTTCAAGGTAGGTGCCCACTTTCTTTCGACTTGTTTGTTTCGTCTGTTATCTTCTTTCTATTTTATCGTCCATTGTGTTTTGGATAGCTGGGACGGGTTCCTTAGAAACTTTTTGAAACTTCACGATGAGGGTCAGCTTTCGTGCTTGCGGGCTAGTCCTGCTTACCGTCGCTGCAGATGTTACAAGTGCGATCAAGGTCGATGTCCACGATATTGGTATGCAGTCAGCCGTCTCATCTGCGATCAACCGCTAACTTCACGCAATAGCATCCATCAAGGCGGCAGCCAGCAAGGTGGCATACGGCCTGGCGAAGTTCTACACAGGCAATGTCACCAACACCCCCGAAACCATCGGCATTCTAGGGCGTCCGTACTACTGGTGGGAAGGCGGCGCAATGTGGGGAGCCTTCCTCGACTACTACCGCCTGACCGGCGACTCCTCGTACAACGACATTGCCTACCAAGCCCTCGTCAGCCAAGTCGGCCCCAACCACGACTACATGGTCCCCATGTACTACAAAGAAGAAGGCAACGACGACCAAGCCTTCTGGGGCTTCGCCGCCATGTCCGCCGCCGAGCAAGACTGGCGCGCCCCGCCCAGCCCCATCCCCAGCTGGCTGCAACTAACCATCAACCTGTGGAACACCCAAGCCGCGCGCTGGGACACGCTGCACTGCGGCGGCGGCCTGCGCTGGCAGATCTTCGAGTACAACAACGGGTACACCTACAAAAACACCGTTTCCAACGGAGCCTTCTTCCAGCTCTCCGCCCGTCTCGCACGCTACACCGGTAACGCAACCTATGCGGAATGGGCTGGCAAGGTATGGGACTGGACGCGCGAAAGCGGGCTCATAGACGACCACTTCAACGTCTACGACGGTGCCGGCATCGAATCCAACTGCGTCGACATCAACCGCATGCAATTCTCCTACTCTCCGGGCATCTACCTCTACGGCGCCGCCACCATGTACAACGCCACATCCGGGAGCTCCTTATGGCGCGAACGCACCCAGGGCCTCCTCGTCCGCACAAACGAGTGGTTCTTCACCCCCTTCCCCAACGCGACGGATATCATGTGGGAAGTCCCCTGCGAGGGCATCCAGGCCTGCAACTACGACATGCTCTCCTTCAAAGCCTACCTCTCGCGCTTCATGTGGGCGACCTCCAAAATCGCCCCCTTCACCGCCCCCGCCATCTCGCGCGTCCTGCGCGCCTCGGCCGCCGGCGCCGCATTGGCATGCGATGGCTCGGAAACAGGGGAGCTCTGTGGCCAGAAGTGGTATACGGGGACGAGCGACGATATCTTTGGGCCGGGACAGCAGATGGCGGCGCTGGAGGTGCTGCAGGGGTTGTTGACGCCGCAGGCGGACGCGCCGTTGACGGCTAGGGGGGGGAAGTTGGTGACGAGTGCGTCGCCGGGTAAGGCGGTTGCTGGGGGGGAGGCCGTCGTGGGGGATGTGCCGCCGGCGGTGCGGTGGAGGTTCCGGCGGTGAGCGCGATGGGTGGGGTGGGAGGATGTGGGCGCTGGGGTGGTGGCTGCGCTGTATTTGTAGGACGTTGTTGGGGTTTTGTACGTGAAGACGCATGGTATGGGGCATTTGGACCGGCGTTGGCTGATGGCGGGTATAGCGGCGTTGGTTTGGTATAGATGGACGTATATAGTAGCATAAATGAATTGTATATACAAACTCACATACCTGTAACAGGACTTCTCACATAGCCCGATTCTTCCATATCATTGATCTGCCGTTGCTCAGCACCCCGAGTCTTCCATATCATCAAAGCAACGTTGCCATCACTCCCAGTTCTCAAAACGATCAACCGTCGGCCCAGTTGTCAAAATTGTCAAACAATCACCCCCCTCATCCATCCCCAATCATTCTATCCCCAACCATCACTCCACGGCTATCACTCGAGACCATCATCATCGCATCCCCCTCCGCCCCAACCGGCCCGCTCACCGCCCACATACTCACCTCATCCTCCCCCGACCGCCGATCCAAGCACACCCGCCGCCCCGCTAGCGCCAAGCTCCCGGCCGCGACGTCGGTGGTGCGGGGTCTGACGTCGATCCTGACGTCTGTCATGAGGTCTGTAACAGGTCGATCATAGTAGGTCCCCTTCTTTCAACCATAGTTCCTTTTCTTCAACCATAGTTGACAGCTGCCCTTTCCTTCAACCATAGTTCCCTTCATAGTTCCCTTCCTCCTAACCATAGTTCCCTTCCTCCTAACCACAGTTCCCTTCCTCCTAACCACAGTTCCCTTCCTCAACAAAACCCCTCGCCCACTCCCCTCTCGTCCCTTCCCTCGCATCACCACGCGTCCCTTACCTCCTGCGCGCCCTCTCATCCCACAGTTAGCGTTTGGTACGTAAAACCACCCCCTAGCTTGGCTGCTATGAACATGTGTGTTAGCATACTCTTGTTGGCTTGTAGGGTACCACACCACATATCTCGGTACTGAATATCCCATCACACCGCATACCATACCATACCCAGCACAGCGCGTGGCCCCGCCCGCCGCGCGCACACAGGGTCTCAGCACCTTGTCAGAGCGGCATGCGGCGGCGTCCTGGGGTACGTGCGTGCGGTATTGGTGCACGAGTGTACTGGCGGTTTGATAAGTTTATCAAGAGGAGGAGATGGACGAGTTCTTCCAGAGGGGCTTATCAGCTACTGTCCCCATTATGCGGTGGTAGTGGTATATCTCCTCCCGAGCGTGACACCGCGAAGGAGCGAGAATCCTTCCGCGTCGGGATGGCGCATCATATGTACACTACACATCTTGTTCGGAGTATAGTTCCCCATGCTGCCGGCATTTAACCATCAGCATCCTAGTAAAGCCGCGCCAACCCGCCCGCCGCTCGACAGGAGTTATGCAATTCCCACCCCCAGTGCATCCCTGGTATACGAGTTTATCTTTACAACCACCCACCTCCCTGTAACAACAACCCCCACGTCGAAACCCCAACACAAACACAGGTCGCGGTGTGCCCTGTGTTTATCAAAGCTGGGTGCTGGGGGGAAGGTAGTATCCGTATTGCAACTTGGCGCGCACGGCTTCGAGGTAGTATATGCGAGGAGATGAGGATGTGAAATCAGGTGCGAGGAAGCGAGCAAGGCTGGGCAAGCGGGCGGGCGCCTCACCATGCCGTGCCATCAGCCTGCCTACCTAACGTTACCATACTGCACAGCACAGCACGCACAGTGCAGTCAGTGTTGGCGTTTGTTGGCCCCGCCAGCCTAGCACCCAGCAAAATATGACAGTTCCAACTAATACTTGGGTCTAATATGGACAGCAAGGCTACCCCCTATCGGCAGCGCGACGGAGCGGGCTGCGCCTACTACCTACGCATGTACGGGGGGGGTATGTACGGGGTAAATGATGCCATCCCCACGTTATGAGATGTGATAACATCTGCACCTGCACCTGCCGTGCTCCCCCCATCCGCCATTCCCCGCCCCCGCCCCATCCTCCCTCTCCTTCCCCCTCCCATCCCCCCCGTCCTTCCCCTCCCACCACGGGGTACCAACGGCAGTGGGATAGGAACGCAGCAGCGTCACGGCATTCACCCCCCCACACTGTAAGTTAGATCCGACGATCACATCCCCTTAACTACCTAACACGAGTGATCAGGGCGATCGGTGGGCCAGTGTCGGTGGGGGGGAATGAGGTCACGCGCCTGGAATACAAGAACGGGACTTTTCTTCACATAGAGGGGGGAGGAAGAGAAGTTGGGGCGGGAGTGGAGGGGGGGGGGGAACAAGAGGTCACGGAGATGAGGAAGGTGAGGTAAGTGATTAATGTCTATAATTCCCGCTTCTGCTTCCAATACTACAAAGTTCATCCACCCATCCCGTGCCCATCTCCTTCTCCCCGCCCCAGATAAAAACATGAAAAAAAAAAAACATCGAGTACAATTCTTATTCTCGTTATTAAGTCTACAGTTTATCCCCCCGTCTTCCCCATCCCATCCATCACCCCGCATCATCCCAGAAGAAAGGCAGCAAATCATAATAAAACCCAATTTTGCTTTTCAAAGGGAATCTCATCCAGAAAAGTATAAAATGCCCTCCCTCCCAAAACCACCGTCATCGAGGAAAGGCCGTGAAACCAAAAATGTGAAGTGGTGTTTGATTATTTTTTGTGGTTTGTTGTGGAGAAAGTTGTTTGCTGTGGAGAACTTGCGTGGAGTGAAGAGTGAGGGTGTTTGCTTGCGTGTGTGCGATGAGAAGCGTGTCGAGTGAGAAGCATGCGTATCATCATTCGTTTCGTGCCAGTAATCGACAGTTCCCGCTCGAAACCTCCCCCATCCCCCCTCCCATCCCCCCTCCCATCTCCACCATCGCAAGCAGATACAGCAAAAGAGTATTAAAGGATCGAATCGTAAAAGTTGTTGTAATAGTAAAGTGAAGAGTTCATCCCAGTCCCATAACCCGCCCATGCCCTATTCCTCATCATAAAAAAACAAGTTACCAAAGGTAAAAAACTCCACTCGAGGTAATCGCGCAGAAAAAGCAAACAAGTCTATAATCGTCCAATCCCAATAACCCCCATCCCATTCCCATCTCATCACATCAATCAATCCCATCACTAACTCATATCCTCTCCAAATCCCCCGCCAGCGACCCGGCCGTCGAGCTCTGCCCACTCGAATTAAACCCACTCTCCACACTCAGCAGATCCTGCAGCGCAACCTTGGGCACCTGCGGCACTGGCAACTTGCGCTGCGCCCCGTCCGCACGAGACATGATATCGCTAATCGTCATCCCCTGCCTCGGGCCCTGCGGCGTCACGGTACTCGGATTATTGTACTGCTGATCCAACTTCTGCGGCTCCATCGGCGCCAACGCCGGCGCGTGCTGGAGACTCAGATTACGAATACCCGGCAGATCGTAGCCACTCCCATACGGCGCAATGTACGGACGCAGACGCGGCGAGTGCGCGGGCGTCGCGAGCGGTGTGTGGTCGGGCGTTGGGGATAGGGAGTCGGAGAAGGTTGGGGAGGAGGGCGCGGTGGACTGTGGGGAGTTGGGACGGCTGCGCTTGGCGTGGCGGTGGGCGTAGTGGTCCTCCTCGTTCTCGTACGAGTGCGAGCGCGACATGGCGTAGGCGGACAGCGAGGGCAGGTGGTTGCGGCTGCTGTGGCTGTAGTAGGGGTGGTGTCTCGAGCTGCAGTGCTGGGGGAGGTGCGTGGCGGGCATGCTCTCACGCTCGACTTGGGTTGCGGCGGTGGCGAGCATGTTGATGTCTAGCGAGTGCTGCTGGCCGTTGTTTGGGCTCGAGCCATTGCTGCGACCATACGGGTTGAGATTCGATGGAGGTGCCGTGGCGTATGTAGCGTACGAATGAGGTGGTGAGACGTTGGGTGAGCCAATGGCCGATGCGGGTGCGGAGCGAGAGAAGCTCTGGCTTGGTGGTGGCATCATGTTGGCCATGTCTTGCTGTTGTCCGTGCTGTTGTCCGTTCTGCATGGGGTTGACATTCTGCTGTCCCTTGTTGCTTCTCCTCGAGTTGGGGTTGTTGTGGATTCTCGAGTGGCGGGTGAGCTCATCCGATCGGCTGAAGCGCTTGGTGCAGCCCTGGAACTGGCAAGCGTGAGGCTTCTCACCGGTGTGGGTTCGGATGTGTCTGGTCTGGTGCTCGAGGCGGTGGAAAGCCTTATCGCACAGGGGGCACTTGTAAGGACGTGGCAGGTCGGCTCTCTCCTCGCCGCCTTGCTGCCCAGATCCCATGTTGGGCATCATACTCACAGCTGCCATTTCTGCCTCTTGCTGCTTCTGTTGGTCCGACAGGAACGCCGATTTTTGCCTCGCAGCCTCTTGATCGAGGGTAGATTGCGGGTTCAATAAATTTGAAAAATCTACTGCAGAAGAGGCTCGTTGCATGTGATCGCCGCCGCAACGTAGTCGAAAGTCTTTGGTTGAGGCGACAATAAGGTAATCTCGAAACAAGCAGTGACGATGTTAACGAGAGTACGAATCAACGTTGTCGATAATTGATCGTTGGGTCGAATTGTTGCTGGGGGGGTTGAGTGTTTTGGGGGGGGGAGGGGGGGGGAGGGGGGGGGGGGGGGGGTGGTAGAAGGCGGAAGTGATAAAAATTTGGGTGTATGTTGGGTGGTGTTCGGTTGAAGATCGTGGAGAAGGTCGAGTAGTCGTAGTATTGTAGTAGAATAGACGGGGGGGAACGAGAACGTTTGTGGGCGGACGTGGGGATGATATTATAAAAATTGTCCGGGGTGGGGGGGGGTGGGTGAAGGGGGGGGTGAGTGAGGGGGGGTGTGGTGGTTGAAGTGGATTTGGAGGTGGAGGAGGGGGGGTTCTTGGGTGGATGTGGGTGTGGGTTGGTTGTGTGGGTGTGGTTGTATGGTTGGTTGTATGGTGTGTGATGTTCCTCTGCGCGGCAAGTAACGATTTTTGTGAATTGCGAATTGTGAATTGTGAATTGTGGCGTTGATTGTATCGGGATAAGACGTATCTCTGCTGGTCCTGCTACTATTTCTTGTCTTGTCTCTTCTTGCTTTGTTCTTGCTTTGTTGGCTCCTTTAATAGTGACGGAATGGTTCAGGGCGAAACTCGGTATACTTGTAGATTCGTTTCGTACGTTGTCAGACTCTCTTCCCCGCAAAAGTGAGATGGTGGTAGGTGGGATGTTTCTGGTGGAAAATGAGGCTTTCCCTTGTCGGGCTATTTTTCTCTTTTTTCTCTTTCTTTCTTCTCTTTCTTGTCTTTCTTGTCTTTCTTGTCTTTCTTCTCTTGGGTTCTCTTGGGGATTTTCCTCCTTTTCCTCCTTGTCCTGTTGGGAGAGCCACCGGAAGTTGCAGTGATCCAGTTGGGGAGCAGCGATGATGTGGCTATGATGATGTGGCCCGGCGTGCTTTTAGGCTGGGGCGCCGAGGGAGATTTGTAAGGAGCAAGAATGGTAATGTGGGGAAGAATCAACGCCGAGTCGTGCGAGGAGTTGAGAGAGAGGTAGTGCCGTGATTGCCAGTCCGCAAGAGCTTAGAAATCTGGAGTACGGAGTTATGTAACCGAGGGCGAAGGGGGATCGGATGTCTTGTACAGTAGTGTTGTGTTGTGTTGTGTTTTTGATGTCTTTTATGTCTCTGGTTATTTCTCCAGAATTACGTAGAGAAACATACTATGTAGATACGTAAAATCTACGACGATGGTCCCTTCACTCACATTCACACTACGAATCCACAAGGCAACAAGGCAGGAGCCATCTCCGTACAGTAGTCTAGTTAGAGTACCAAAGAGTACCAACTAAGTACGTACAACAACTGGAAAGGTATTTTTCACAAGCCAAGCCATGCACCAGATCGACGGGGCTGGAGCAGTACGGAGTACTGTACTCGTACTTTAGATATGGGAGATGTACGGAACATGGGAGCAGTACGGAGTACTGTACTCGTACTTTAGATATGTACTTTAGATATGGGAGATGTACGGAACATGGGAGATGTACGGAACATGGGAGATGTACGGAACATGGGAGATGTACGGAACATGGGAGATGTACGGAACTTGGGAGATGTACGGAACATGGGAGATATACGGAACATGGGAGATATACGGAACATGGGAGATATACGGAACATGGGAGACATACGGAACATGGGAGATATACGGAACATGGGAGATATACGGAACACATGGGAGATATACGGCTATCCCCCTCCCAGATCCGCACTCTGATTACCCATTTTTAGCATCGAAAAGGGGGGTCGTAATCGTACTGTAATGGCAACAACAACGGATCGATGGCGTGCTTCCCGCCGCCGCCGCCGTTTCCATGCGTGAGAAAGGGAGATGGACAGTCGCTTTGCTCAACTCTACTAGGGTTACAGTACCAGCTAACAATAAATCCCACCACCAATTCCCATACACCCCCACACACCTCCACACACCTCCACACACCTCCACACCCCTCCACACACCTCCACACCCCTCCACACCCCTCCACACCCCAGCTACCAGCTACATACAGTACTAGAAATCCCCACCCCATCGCACCCCATCGCACCCCATCGCACCCCATCCCACCCCATCCCACCCCATCCCACCCCATCCCACCCCATCCCACCCCATCCCACCCCATCCCACCCCATCCCACCCCATCCCACCCCATCCCACCACCCCATCCCACCCCATCCCACCCCCTCCACCACCCCCTCCACCACACCACCACACCACCACCACCGCCCATCCCTCCCAGACAAAACAAACACGTCCTCCACTACACGTGCCCGATAAGAAAGAGTAGGAATGGGATACAGGGCTGCCATCCAGACCTCCAGACAACTTCCATCTCGGCACAGGCCTCCGTAGACTCGGTACCTGAACCTCATCAAAGCGAGCCACTCCACCCCCGTTCCTGTATGTCCCCTGCCCCCAGCTTCCCCAGAGCCGAGGCTCATCTCTATCCCCGTACCCGTAGTACGTCCTATAACCAAAGATACAAGATACACCACCTCACGTCACTCGCCACTTGCAACGCACGCTCAAGAAATGCTTGCTGTACTTTCTCCCTCCTCACCGAACGACCGCGGTCCTCAATCCCCCGAGGTCGCCGAGGATGAACGACCCCCACCGACCAAACGCTCATGCTTCACCGCCGTCCCCATTGACACCTCCCCCCGCATCCGCATGTGAACTTTCCAACTTTCCAACCACCACGGCATAATCTGCACCCGTCGTCTTCTTATTACACCGAACCGTACGCATTGTCTGACACGGCGCCACGGCCGCGACAGCGCCGGGGGGATGGCCGATTGTCCCCTGAAGTCCCGTGCTGGCGGGGCCTGGCCCCACCAGCACAAGGCCCCTGCCTGTCCACTCCGTCATGTTGAGGGGACCCCCAGCCGCTGTACCCGGCAGGCTGAGCGGATCTGATAACTCAGGTTTGTGCATCTCTGGCGCGGACGTTGGGGAGTTGTCTCATGCGCTGTCGGTGCAGGATCACTCCGTATAGACGTCTCTCTTGGTATGCTCGTATACGTATACGACTCTCACCTTCCCGGCCACGGTCCGGCGGCTTTTGGCCAGTTTACCCGCATGCTTGCCACCATTTCACCACACTCCCTGCCTCCTGGCGTCCTCCCACCCACCCACCTTCCAGAAACCACACACACACCATCGACGCTCTTGCTGCGAACACGTTACATCGCCGCACCTTCCCCCCCCCCCCCCCCCCCTCCCCATAGTCCCGTCCCTGCGAGCCGCAAGGTCGTAGGGACGGGACTATTAGCCTTTGAGATGGCGCCGTTTGGGTAAATTGGCTGGGAATAATATTACCTGCGTAGAGTTGGTAGTACTGTATGGGGGACAGGACGCTACATACAGAGCCGCCGATCTATGGTGCAGGGGGAGCTGAAATCGCCTCGAAATCTACAGCACCATCGATTTGTGGGGAAATACACTATCCCCCCATATCATCCTCAACCCACCGTATATTCACTCCAAAACACAGATCTCAGATTTGGCGCCTCCACTGTCTCACCTCGCGTAACCCCCTTCGCGGCGCCACCGTGCGTACGCGGGATCCCGTTTGTAGGTTTCGCTGGGTGGCGTGCGAAGTGTGTCCTGTATGGACTCCCTATCGGGCAGGCTGGGGAATGCATCCAGATGGACGACAGCGCTGGGATAGGATACGATGGGGATGGACATTGCGCAATCACGATACTTGGTACGTACGTATGTGCTTAACCCTTCGTTGGCTGGCTTCTAGACCTTACACAGAGTAAATTCTTGTATACCTTGAAACAGAGATGACACATATTACATCAGCCTCCCGTGAAGCGTCATCCTGCCTAAATAGGTAAAATAGGAAAGCAAATCTTAAAAAAGAACCATCATATCTCAATTTTTCCTTTCTTTTTTCCCTGTCCTTTGTTTTTTCCCCTGTATACTTTATTTTAGCGAAAACCAAGTAAAAAACCAGACTTGTCATAAAATAAAGTTAAAATTCGTGAGGCGGACCAACCCCCGCATCTCAATCACCACACTTGGACAAATCAGTCCTGTGAGACAATAACCCCGCAAACACTCCCCGCATTTCCCCAGCCAGCCAACAAACAAGCCCAAAGTTCGCAAAAATTTCGTTTTGTTTGTCTCTCACTGCACCACGCCGCCGCGCTGTACGTAAGGGGAGGGGACTGCTATGCACCCACTACCCTGGGGGTCTGGGTAGTGGTACAGTACAGCCCATACAGTAGGGTGGGTTGTAGTTAGTCCGCGAAGCGATCGCGCCGAGTCTAACCGTGGCGGAAGGGAGATGGGACATCAATGTAACGAGGTAGTGGATCTGGGGAGGGGTGGTTTCAGGCGGCCTGCAGCTGCTTCTGGGGTTGCACTACGTTTAGGGAGTGTCTTGGATGGGAGAGGGAGGGTGATGTGCTGTCACTCACTCACTCATACTCGCTGCGATTCACGAATCTGAGACTTTTGGGGCTGCCTGTGCAACCCCCCAGGTTCCCAACTCCGCGACAATCAGCCAGCCAGCCCCGTTCGCATTAGGCTAAACCGCCTGCGCTGTGCGACCGGCGGCCGCCGGCGTCGGGTCGGTGAGATTGGCGGGTTCTGGGGGAAAAGAAGATGCGAGGCAAGGTGTGTTGGTTGCTGTGGATGTAGGTATCCGCGAACCTCGCTCGCAATAATGTTCGACTACGCCAACAGTACCTGGGTTCCCCGCAGCCTTCCCCGCACAAATGCCAGTATCCGGGTATCTCGTCCGTTCACCCAGCCCGCGCGGCGTCGTGCCTCTGTATCAGCGAGCAGGAGGAGCAAGAGGAGCAAACGCACGGCTGATCCGAGCACACAGCCAGAGAAGTCTCATATCTCCCCCTCATCTCGGATCTCCTCCGGCCCTCCTCCCCCTCCTCCTTCCTTTCTCTGCCAAGGCCCAACCATCACTCTATGACGTCACGACTGTAAGCGCGGGTTGGAGGGTACAGGACAGGGTGTGCGGAGGCGGCTTGGCGGTGGCGCGGCGGCTTATACATGTGTGCGTCCCCACAAAATTGGCGGCGCTGACGATGCAGCGGGGGTGATGGAGGCTTGGCTTGTTGAGGCGCGTGTCTCGGCGGTTGACGGTACGAGGTTGCAGCGCTGTCACCTTGCTGATGTTGGGAATCCCCCCCACGATCTACCCAGCTGTGCCCCCCACTTTGGGAGCACTGGTGTGCAATGCGCTGTGATGTGCTGAGACAGCGCGGACAAGCGTGCCAGCGATGTCAGTTCCAGATATTGCCGGGAGGGGGGACAAATCTCCGAGAGAATCCGATCAGATACAGCGCTCCCTCGATCCGTCTATCCCCGAGCGCTGGGCACGATGCGCGGTGGAGCGTAACGACTGGATCGGCCGGAGCCAGTAACCCTGATTTTGACCATTTTGGGGGGCTTTCCCTTCGCGGATGGGGGAAACCAAGTGGATGCCGGACGGTGATTAATCCGGGTGATTCCTTTCCACCCAAAGCGGCACGATCGATAAATTTGCTTGCCTAGCTCCAGTACTTTGCAACATAAAAAGCTTCCCCACATTCATCTCTCCTTCCCAATGCGTAAAATCTGAGAAGGAAGCAGCCGCCTAGTAAGCAAAAACACGTGTTCCCACAATTTCTGATGTGGCTTTTTTGTCCATCGAGTCCCTTTTCTCGCCACGAAGCCACCGTGCACGCAAAATATCGAGTCGGCCCGCAACGCCGGCCATACGACGGACTCTCTCCGATCTGACCTCAGCAATTGAAGATTTTCATGATACCCTCTTATCTGTCCCTCCACGCCGTTTCTCTGCCCCATCGTAAGCCCGCCCCGTCTCTCCCTTTGCCTAAACTCACACGGGGGGTCGCGATCCGAAGTCCTCCGGCGGGGGCACCAGCAGCCTCTGCCGTGGACGATACAGCGCCTACGTATCGGCCTTCTTCCCTTCTCAGCTGCATACTTGCACGGTAGCACTGCGGAAACCGTTGGGGAGGGTGGAGATGGTAATCTCGAACGGCTCTTTCCATTACGGCGTCGCCGCCGTACAATGTCCCACCGCGCGCAGCAGTGCTGATGACGGGTTAATGAGTAACCCCCCTGCTTGTGCCCTTATCTCCCCAGGCTGTACCACCCTTCACCTACCCCCTTTTTTCCTCATCTTTCTAGCATGTGAAAGTGAAACCCTCCTTTCTCTCTGATCCTGCTATTTTAGGCAATCGAGAAGAACTTGGAGATCTCTCTCCAAATAAAAATGGGTTCCCCCGTTCCATTTCCCCATTTTCACATGTGACAAATCGTCACCTGTAAAAAATAGTCAACTTCTCCACATAATCGTACATAGGTACGAAGGTGAGAGAAAGAAAAAGCTATGGCTCCACAAAATTCAACTAAATTTTTTGGAGAAATACTCCAACAAAACCCGGCTCCAGCGGAAACCTGGCAGGGTGGTGCCCGCTCGGCATTCAAAGCCGGGGCTTGTTCAATTTCTGATTTTGTTCCTTCGCCACGTTCCCGAAGCCTGGCTCCGGATGAGAAGCCGAGGCGGTACCTGCAGTTGGTGCCAGATTGGGGAGAGGGCAGGGTATGGGGTCGAGTTGGTCGATATCGCTTTTGACACAGGGTTGAGAATGAGGTCTGTCACATGCGAAATGGTATACACGTGTAAGTGAGAGAAAGTTACGTCGCTGTCTATCACACGTATTCATACCTTGTCTCCGATGCATAGGGACGTCCGATGTATAGGGGCGTCCGATGCATAGAGGATGTCGGTATTCCTCAACGTTTGCTGTTCCATCTCCCCTGTCCACTGTACCATCCAGGGTTCTCCTCTTCATCCATCTTCGTCTACAAGGCATCTTCCTTCCCTATTTCCTGGGGTATCTATTCTCGGTTCCGGAGAGCTTGTAGCGGCTCTCTCGAGCCGTTTCAGTTCGTATTCCTGGGGCTCATCGGATGCTGCCCAGATTCGTCATACCTGTTCGGACACGTCGCTGTCGCTATCGCTGCAGGATCGGTGGCTGTTGCGTGGTGCATGAGGCGCATTACTGTGTTGGGACACGACTGCATTTCTGTACCGGGTTCTTGAGTGGATCGGGGGTCCTTGCGATGCTAGATCTTGCATCGAGGTGTCTGGCCAGCTGGTCTAGATCTCGTTGTTTATCTCGTTTGTTTCATATTTATTCTACTTTACCTTCCTTTAGTTGACCTTGCTCCGGCGGGGTTATGTATATATCTCATCGTTGTTCACATGTTGCGCGGTCAAACGCTCGATCGTCATAAAGGATATGTTCTGGGCTAACCATGAATAAATCATAAATCAACTTCCCGAATAGTTAGTAGTAGAATATGGAACGCTAATGTTGCTTTTAGGTGCTATTATCGTAGGTTTTAGAGCGTAGAATTAGTCTTATAGTAGATAGAGCTTATTATGTAGTTAACGTATTTCACATACGAGCTGGTTACTAAATTTCTCACCCAAAATCAGGAAATTTGCAAGATAATAACTCAACAACAACTTGATAATATATTCTAAAACTGTGTGTACAGCTTGGTCTATACATGTAGATTTCTTTATTCTAGCTTTAGAGCAATTAGACCAGTAGATGTTAAGATATAAAGACCTAGTCTAAATCTTAGTGCTTATACATAATATCTTCAGAACTACAATATAGATTATTCCTAAATAACTGGATAAGGATTTAACTAAGTAGAAAAGGCTAGGAAAATATTTTTAATATGTACTCAGTCAGTATTATCAAGCTGTTGTTGAGTTATTGTCTTGCAAATTTCCTGATTGTGGGTGGGAAATTCAGTGACCATCAGTAGGGTTGAATAAAGCATTTAACTACTGCGTATAAGTTATGTAAATACGTTATACTATTTACATAACTTATACGCAGTAGTTAAATGCTTTATTCAACCCTACTTAGTAGCAATATAACGTGATATTCTCCAGCAAATACTCGGGTATACTCGGTCACGTGATATTATATAGCAAATACCCATATACCGTATTTGTACCCCGCCAGCTCATTGTTCCCAAACACGACCACGACGACGCGCTCAAAGATGTAAATAAGGTTGTGGTTTCGCATGACGCTGCAGAGTTACGTTGTATCAGGTTGGGCAAAAACTTAGATTTCTGAATTTTTTGTAACTCAGCTCTCCTTCATCCTATCGATGCTATGTTTGGGATTCGGCTTGTAACCGCTCGCGATCAGAGCTGAATGGCTGTAAGCGCTCGACTGGTCAGGGCTGAGTACCGCCTGACAACCGCCAGGAATCAGGCTGGCCTATCAACTTGCAACATAGCCAATTCTTCCACGCATCATCCTCTAGAACGGCACACCATCGATAACCTAGGCACAGTTAGGAACAGTCAGGGACGGCCAGGGACGGTCAGGAACCACCAGATGCTGTTTTTATCCAGGCGTTAGAGACATTTAGAGACAACTCTAATCTCACGAGAGGTTGGTATGGGCGAATGAGAGTCACCATGGTTTCAATAAGGCTCCGGATTCCAAATGCTGGATCAGCAGGGTGTGATGATTCTCATTCGTCGCTCGTTCCTTACTTTCTTTAATCTCTAGGCAGTCCCATCGTGCGCTTTCCTTTATCACATATTACTACCTACCGTGCTTCATTTCTTTGTGCTCAGTAGAGGCGCTTCTGTGAAGCTTGCAATGTGCTGCGCGCAATCATGAGTCTGTTGAGCAGATACCTAGACGATGCGTATAATGCCTGGATGGGCTCGCTGATGGGCTGCTGCAGTGCACGGCCGAGGGACCCAGACCGAACTTCGATCCGAGGTAATGAGGCTTCATACATATCCGTCAAGATCTCAGACCGCTGACAGTTACACAGGCTTCGAGAACCCCCGCACCATCTATCACCACCAACCTCAACTCATCCCCCCGCCCTCCGTGCCCCTCCCTGGGAGCAAGCTGAACTTGTACAGCGGCAGCAGCACCAGAACAAAGCGTCCCTACATCAGCGCGCCCTCCGACTTCCGTCACGTCCAGCCCTCACCCCCACCACACCTACCCCGCCGCAGCTTCCGCCCGCTAGAACTGAGCATCTACCTCCCCGCAAACCAGCTCTCCCCCATCCTCCCACACTTCGATGACGCCCCCGCTGCGGCCCCACAAGCGCATACCCGGACCGTCTCAGCTCTATCAAACTTCTCTATCCCCCGCAAGGCAGTGCCGTCATACTACCAGCGCCCCTCCTACGACGCCGAGTACTCAAGCGCCGACACAACCCCCAAGTCACTCGCGGAGTCATTCACGCACTCGCTCCGCCCACGCCCCAGTCTCCCAGGCAGCCTGAGCACGCAACAGCTCCTCGCAGCTCTCGACGACGAGCCGCTCAACTACCCACCCCCCTCACGCCTGCGCTCAAACACCTCAAACACCCTCCCCATCCTCAGCGAGCAGGTCGAGCGCGTGAAATCTGTTCTTCTCGAGCGCGAAGCCCTCGACAAGCGCATCCGCGATGTGGACGGCCTGATCGAGGAGCGCAGAAGCATGTCTCTCAAGAGCCGCCCAGCAAGCATTTACACATCTTCCGAAGGTTCGTCCACCCCACAAACCTCAGATATACCGCTCCAAACTAACAAACCCTCAGAACCAATGCCCCACCTCACCACCTCCGAAATCGAGCGTCTCCGCCCCCGCACCACAACCCCCCTCCACTCCCCCGCCTCAACAACATCCTACACCTCTCTCCCCCCACCCCCCCTCCCACTTCTCCTCCCGCGCCCTCCCCTGCGGAAAAAGAAATCATTCTCCCGCGTCTCAACCTGGCTCTCCGGCAGACACAGCCGGCAACTCTCTCTCGACAGCGTGACGAACGCGCCCGTCCCCGTGACAGCGCGAGACGGGTTCTATCAGTGCGTTGACGCGAGGTTGGAGGGAGGGGGGAGTTTGAGTAGTATTGGGTCTGCGTCCGAGGAGGATCTGATGGGGCCGACGAGCTGGACGAGTGTGTCGGAGGTGGGGACGTTGGTTAAGGGGGTGGAGGGGGAGGCGGAGCGGTTGGGGTTGAGGGCGTCGAGGGTAGGGGTTGCTTTTTGATACTTGGGGGTTGTAATGTTAATAGTTGATTTGGACTGACGATGTCGATACCCTGTTTGTTGGAGTTAAAATAGGCGGAAGTGTGTATAGCTGCGATGGCATCGCAGGTTTAGTTAGACCGGCTGTGGTCCGGCTTTGGATACCATATGTTACTATAATAATACTCTGTCTGTACAACACAAAAGATATTTTTCTTATTTCTATATATCCTTTCATTGCTGGTTCCATCCCGCCTTAAACCTGGGTTTGCTCCGTCTCAATGTGTTGCACGCCTGCTACAAGGGTTCTATGTTGTTAGTATCCGAGGGCTGGTATGAATATTCGAACTATCAGAATTTAATTTTGGGGAATGCTTTGAAGGAACTGGCAAAGGCAATTATAGCTATATGTGCGTAAGTTCATCTATTCCACTTATAATCACTATAAACAGTGGCATTGTGCATATGCACAGTTCCTCCTTCAAACATTGGGTGGCAGGAGTATTCGTAGGAAAGGGGGGTGAGCGACAGCATTAATCGGTAACTTAAAGAAAGAGCCTGATGCTTCATGGACCCCCTTTATAGTTGAAACTGGACCTATCTATCCGACCTGCATGCTAGAGTCTGCTGTGTCAGAGAGCAGACGGATTTTAGGCCGCGATGCAAAGATCTGGCTAGAGCACAGGGGTTTGCACGTAACACAAGTTATCACACTGAAGATTTACCAGTGGCCAGATATCGTGTTTACATCCTCTCCTTTGCCGCCGTCGAACTTCTGTCACCGTCGAACCTCTGCCACCACCGTTGAAATTTCTCACCGCCGCCTGTGCCCCTTTCTTAGCTTTGACATGTCATCGTCATCATGTCTACAATCGACTGTGGCGATAATTGTGTAGCAACATTTGACGGCTTTGCCATTGTATAACGACTCTCGTGTTGAGCATGTTGAGCATGCTGAGCATGTTAATTATGCAGCGTTGGAATTTAAATGGTGGGCGAGGTTGAATGTGAGGCGGAGATTATCACTTGCACAGAATCTTAATTTACCTGAAAACAGCTATGTTGCTGCCCGGGAGACCAGACTGGCGTTTCCAACTTTGCCTGCTTGTTAAAAACCGATTCAGGCGATAGGGTATCTTGGTTCTGCTGTTAGTTGGCTGTCAAATTTGATTGCATCAAGGAAAGAAATGAGAAGAGCGCTTCGATGGGCCCCAGTGTTCATTTATATTCCTAATTGGGTACAGACAAGACCCAGAGGATTTAGGAGACTCTTCCTCCCCGGCCCCCTTGCGGCCCCTATCTACTAACCCACATAACCGGACGACGGTAAACCAGCTCCCACAAGGGTGTGGCCCTCACCATTCACATCCCCACCCTCCCCCCCATCTCGAGGTGTCTCCCCTCCACTCCCTCCCTCCTCACCCCCATCCCACCCCTCCTCCTCTTCCTCTGTCTCCGTCTCCTCCCCAGGCACAACAAGCACATCCTCACTCCCCTGCGTCTGCGGTCCCAACAACGGCATCCCCACTTCATCACCCTCATCCCATCCATAATCATCATCTCCCAACCGTACCCCTCCCTCTAGGATCTCTTCCGCTTTGCGTTTTCGGCCGCTTACGAGTTCTATGATTGGTGCGTCTTCGATGCCGTTCTATACGCTGTTAGTGCTACCCCACCACCAAAGTAAAAGGAGGAAGGGGAAAGAGGAACAGAAAAAGGGGGAAAGAAAAGAACTTGCCGCCGTAACAACAAACCCCCCAACCGCCCCCTTCACCCCCTCCCTCCCCTCCTCACAACCCTCACAAACCTCCCCCCCCTTCCCTCCACAACACCACTCTCCCCCCACCCCACCCTCCCAAGCCGCCCCCCCAATAGCCGGTACCAACGCCGCCGGTCCATGAGGTTGCAGCTGCGTGACCGTCTGTGAGAGAACGAGGAGGGCGATGTGTGAGGTTGCTGCGAGGCGGCGGAGGGCGTTGATTAGGGGGGTTATGGGGTTGGAGCTTGAGCTGGAGGGGGGGTGTTGACGGGTGGGGGGTGGGGGGAGGAGAGAGGAGGGGGATGAGAGGATTAGAAGGCTTGTCTGTGGGGGGAGGGGATGGGAGAGGAGGGCGAGGAGGTGGGGGAGGGCTGGGGGGGTGAAGGTGGTGAGGTTTTTGAGGAGGGTGGATGCGGTGGGAGGGGATGGGGGTGATAGGTGGGGCGGTTGCGATGGCGGTTGTAATGGCGGTTGTGATGGCGGTTGTGATGGCGGTTGTGATGGCGGTTGTGATGGCGGTTGTGATGGCGGTTGTGATGGCGGTTGTGATGGCGGTTGTGATGCTGCTTCAGAAGTCGGTGTGCTGAGGGAGGCGGACAGGACAGCTTCAAGGCGTGGTCCGGGGAGGGGATGGCCGGCATCTGAAGATATTAGCTTAATTTCAAAAAGGGGACAGAGATGAAGAACAAGGCTGGGGAACTGGTGAACCGCCGCATCTCCACAAACGCCCACCAAGAGCCACCAAGCTCACCCCTCCATCTCCAGACAAAGAAACTCAATAAGTAGGGGCCAACTCACCAACCCACACAACCCCCTCCCCCCTCCTCAACGCCGCAACAGCAAATTGTAATCTACCCACCAAAACCCATCAGCCTTTCATTCCCCACCAAGTCCCCCTCCTCTCCCCCACTGTGCCGTCCCCTCCCCAGTCCCCCAAAACCCCAGTCCTCAAAAATAGAACAACAACAGAAGAAGAACTCACCCAAACCCCCTCTTCCCCACCCCCGGCGCCCCAAAAACCTCCATCACCTCCCCCCTCCTCACCCCCAACAGCGCATCCAACCCCTCCACCCCCATCTTCACATCCTCTTCCGCTCGCTGCGCTGCGAGGGCTTGTGCTGCTGTCTGGGTTGGGAGGCGGTCTGGTTTCTTTGTCAGCTGCTGTCTGTCGATGATTCGGCCGGGGGGGGGAGCTGGGGGGGGGATGGTGGGACAAACGCGTGCTTGGTGGTGGGGATGAGGGGTCAGGCGCCGTGGCGGCGGCGGAGGCGGATGCCATATGGCGGTGGGGCGCAAGTGTTGTGGAGGCTGTGCCAAGTTTGTTTGGGATGGGTGATTGGGGGATTTGCGGGGAGTTGTGGTTCTTGGTTTTAGAGTTGATGTTTGGGGTGGTGGGGATGATGGGGGGGTTGATGGGTATTATGGATGACAGGGTTATAAATTTTGGAGAGACGCGTCTTGGGGTTTGGGGAAAATTATATTGATATTGGGGTATTGGGGAAAATCGACATGTTAACACAACCACCAGACTTTTTTGCCCCATTTATTTTGATCGAAGTCCACCATATAAGAACGATGGAACGGAATCAGTTTTAAATTATGCACAATTTTTGGATTTTAGTCTAATCATTTCGAGGGACATGAACAATCATCTCTACCTATAAACCCCCACCAACCAAAGCCAGAAGAGCCACCGAAGCCCCCCAAAAACAAAAACCACACAAGCAAGCAACAATGCTAATCTACAGGATGACACACATTAACAAAAAATATGCCCTCCCAGTCTTTATCCCTCCCAATCTTTGCCCAAAGTTCCTTGTCTTTTGTGGTATACACGAGAAGAAGAGTCTAAATGAAGTCTAAGTTGGAGAGGTTGCCGTATATAGGCATGGAGCCACGTCCGTTCGCCATCGATCCCATCTCCTCGCTCGCAGGCTGCTGTTGCTGCTGCTGTTGTTGTTGCTGCTGCATGGAGCTGCCATTACCCTGACCCGGGTATTCATAGTGCTGTCCATAAGGAGGACCGCCGTGGCCGTACTGGTGACCATTCTGTCCGCTTGGGGGTCCCTGGTGGCTGTACTGCTGGCCGCTGTGGCCGTTGGAGATACCGCCGTGGTGACCGTTGGGGATGGGGTAGGCTGCGAGCTGCGGGTTCATGGACGCCATTGTGCTGGGGATTTCGCCCATGGTGCTGGGGATCTCGCCGTTGTAGTTCTGTTCGAAGCTGGTGCGGCCGGAGCCGCTGCGCGAAGGACCGGCCATGGTGCGCCTGTCGCGCCCGTCATTGCTGCCGATTCGCTTGATGATGCTGGCCCGGGAGAGTTGGCCCTGAGACAGCTGGTCGTCGTTGGGGTTCGCCTGGCCACCGGGCATGCGCCCATCCGCCATGAGGTTGAATGGGTGGAGACCAGGGTCCGTGGGGACACCGTTCAACACGTTCATGTTTCTCATCATATCTCCTTCAGTCGTGGCTGGGAGGGTATTTTTGTGGGCGGGCTGGTTCTTCTTCAAATGAGACTGCGCGTGGGACAAATGGCTGGCCCCGGTGGGGTTTCCACGGCGGATCGAGCATTTTTGGAAGTGGCGCTTGAGGATATCGCTCCTGGAAAACGTATCGCGGCAGAGAACGCACATATATGGGCGGTCGCCGGTGTCTAATGGCGGAGTTAGCATCAATCAATCAGGTGTAAAACAATTTGTTTTGAAAAACTTACGTCTGAGAAGATGGCGCTTTAGATGTTTCGCGTGCAGGTATGTCTTCACACAATGAGGGCAAGGGAACTTTCCATCGGCATCCTTGGCCGGGATTTGGGCATTCTTGCTCGCGCCTGGGCCCGTGGCGGCGACAGTGGGGCGTCCGGGAGCACTGGGAAGGATGCCTCTGCGACCTTGTGATCCAACAACGTGTGTGGGGACCTCTTCATGTGGAGGGCCTTGTTGCCCGTAAGGAGATCCCATGCCCCCTTGCATCTGCTGATGCATTGGGTGCTGAGCGTGCAATGGTGTGGATGGGTTCATAGGACGCAATGGCACCAGACGGTTATGAGTTGGACCCGGCGCGGGCGCAATTGCTTGCGGGTGCGGATGAGACATGGACATCGAGCCCTGAGGCATCATGCCCGACGAATTGCTGCTATATGGCTGAATGGGCTGCTGGTACGAGGAGTTCGGCTGGAGGTGGTACTGGCGAGGAGCGGGCTGGCTGCTCATCTGCTGGAATCCCCCATTGCCCGTCGATCCAGGTGTGTTGGGCTGGGTCGAGGTCGGAGTGTGTGGCGCGCTCAGCGGCTGCCCATACATGGAGTGCATGGACAACGCGGCATGCTGTGCCTGCAACGGCGGAAGCGTCTGAGGTGGCAGCGACGCGTTTTGTTGAAGCTGCTGGGGGGCTATCGAAGGCAGCGACGAGTATATCGAAGACGAGGTGGTCGGGAGGTTGCTGCTCGAAGACTTGTTGTTGTTGTTGCTGCTACTACTACTATTGGCATATTGATCCATGATCGTGGATTATCGCCGATGTACGTGAAGAGAAGTCCTTGGACGTGTCTTTGAGTCGCAGAATAAAAGAGAGGTCTACTAATTGTTTGACCCCGCCTTGTGTTCGCGCCTGGGCTTGGAGCGATGTAAAAGATCAGAAAGTACTCGGCCCAACCGTCATGCTATTCCGCGTTTTCTCTGCGTTGAAGATTTTGCGAGGATTTTCTGCGGGAAGGCCGTTGTAGCACAAAGAGATTGTGCTGTGTGTGAGGCGATAACGGCGAAAACAACGTGTTTATGCGATAAACGCACGTCTAGCAAGGTAAAAGGTGGATCGAAAATGAGCGACAGCGAAGAACCACAGGGCGTCTATTAGGAACGGATTGAGGCTCAAAACGTGCACTGGAGCACTCTCAAGTTCTTTTTCGCGATTGTGTTGATGGATAGAGTTAAAGAGTGGAGACTCGAGGGGAGAAAATGGGGATGAGGGGCGCGTTGGGTTGTCAAGAGATTCAAAGAGGGCCCGGGGTCACGACTATTAAGATTTAGGAGAAAAAAAAACGAGGGCGAGAGCGGATAGAATTCAATCAAAGAGAACTAAAGAGGACTAGGAGGACTAGGAGGACTAAATTGAACACATTCGCCCGCAGATGACAACGATTGGCGCAGACAAGACCAAGGAAAGGGAAAAAAAAATCTAACAAGAGCAGCAACGACGGGCCTATGGGAAGGGGGATAGGCAGTTTTACTGGGAGAACTCGAGTAGCCACGAGGCAAAATTGGGGAAAGAAGAGGGCAAGAAGGGCGGAGTAATCAGGACTCCCTATTTCCTCTACAGGGCATGCTGAATGCCTCCAAACTTTGAAGAAATCGGTTCTCAGGTAGCCCCTAAGTCATGCTACTTTCAACCACGCCGCCGCAGCAAAGCAGTAGCAGTTGCAGTTGAAGTTGCAGTTGTAGTTGCAGTTGCAGTTGCAGTTGCATTTGCATTTGCCAGCCGAAGAGCGGCGAATTTCCGAGTTAGATGACGAATATCCCAGTCCGCATCCCCTAGTCCTCCTAGTGTCTCTCTTAGTCTCCGACAAGCCCTGGTCTGTAGACGAGATCGTTGGGAACTATTGCACTACTATTTGCAACGCCGAGGGACTCTGGAGAGAGAGGTATAGTAAGCGGTAAATCGTGCGTGCGTTCGGGGCCGAAGAGGGAAAGTCTAGAGACTAGAGACAGAGTCTAGAGTAGAGTCTAGAGTCTCGAGTCTAGAGTCTAGAGTCTAGAGTCTAGAGTCTCGAGTCTAGAGTAGAGTCTGGTACTGTATGATGCGATATGTGTTATGAGCATACCGAGTCTACCAGTCTTACGGCCTATATTCGGGCGGCAGTGGCGACACAGCGAACGCACCGAGAAGATCAACATTCCCATTGTTCCCCCCTATATCACCCCTATATCACCCCTATATCACCATCACAAACAAAAATAAAAAACAAATAAAAAACAACAATAAAAAACAAAAACAAAAACAAAAATAAAAAATAAAAAAAGTCTCGGAACCGAACGACGCGGACTCAGACATTCAACTCGCGCACGCAAACATGGCAAAATATGCCCATGAAACGTTCCTGCTATGTACTGATTGTATGTATACTATACTATACAGGTACACAAAAACCTACATATCTTGGAGCAAGTACGCTTGCTTAACTCGAGACTAATCAATCCTCTTGGGCTTCGGCTGCGCCTTGTACGCCCGTGTCCAACTACCGGTTCTTGCAAGGTCTGCGCAGACTACGGACTATTCTGAATGGAGCATCGCAAAATGAATCCCAGGCTGATTGGAAGAGAATCAACCCGTCTCAGCTGTACTATACTTCGCCGCCGGACGGATGGATGGGCTATATCCCTGACCCGAACACTTTCTCGCAAACCTCGCCATTTGTTGCACATCTTGGTTTGTTTCGGAAAAGTCCTTATCAAAATACTCGTACTTTGGATTAATAAATGTATGTACCCTGTAGTAGAGTAGTCCAATAAAAACCCGAGTAATGTTATGTTGCTTTACCACTCGTACGTACGTGACGCGTTATATAGATTGTTATTCCTCGCAACTTTTTAAAACAGCGTCGAGGTGGAACTACGTACATGGGTCCCCTGTTAACAATTATTGACCCAAAGTACGAGTATGCTCATGCTGCTGATCCGTTTTCAACTCGCTGCAAGACTTGGTCTGGATGGTCAATCGTATCCCCAGTCTCGAAATGATGTCAGATTTGAGACGAGGGGGTGGGTTGGGTGCCACCGCGATCTCATTTCTTAAACCCTCGCGCTCGCCATTATCCAATTTCACACAGGTCAGTTGATCTTATTGCTTATGGCCGCAAAGGGTTATCACCGAAATCCCATGTTTTGGAAGTCTCGTTATTTCCCATTATCTTTCATATCATTCATTCATACAGTATCAATCCTCCTGTCCGTCTAGGTATTCTAATATCATCATCCCCCTCCGGGCCGATGTTACCTTGCCACATGCCGGGATCCGAAACAACCTGGCTCAGCGAGTCCGCCACTCGCAACTTTACCATGTCCCCGGCGCGAAGCCATCTAAAAACAGGCATCCTGCAACCCTCGACGCCCAGTAACCTTTGGCTGCTGATGCGCCATCTGGTCAAGCGTCCATGGTTTTGAAGAAGGGCGCCAAATCACCACACTCCCGTGTCCGCGATGACCCTGCTTTGTTACCGCTTTGCCAATGCGGAAGAGTCGCGCGGAACTTGCTGTCTTGCCTCCCTGTTACCATCCCACGTAATCTCACGTACTTCGGCCAATTCACTAATTCACTAACAATGTCAATGTCAACATGTGCTCCGTAATTGTTCGCCACGCCATCCATGGCTTCAACGGCCAAAGGTGAAGAGACCCTATTCATTCGCATGCACGACATATCCGCATAAAACGGACTCTCTGATCCGGCTCTGAGGGGATTAATTGGTGCGACAGAAGCCATCCTGTACTCAAACGCGGGACGACCACCGCTGTTCGCGAGTCATTCAGATACATAGTTGCATCGCATATCTGGAACGACGAAGCAACCTTGGTCGATACCTGTACCGTACCTGTCCATTGGCCGTGCACCACGTGCAGCGCAGTAATTTTCAGCTGCCCAGCTCCCTTGCCCATCTCCAGAGATTATGCGCCCGATTATGTGCCCATGAAATAGCTCAGAAATCGTAATTGGCCAGCCCAAAAAACAAAAGTACGCGTCGTCTCTCCGATATCGTCGTTCGCTACATGGGTGGGTAGGGAGGGGGCGATGCGAAAGCTTGCCAATAATAACCCTCCCCCCCTCTCCAGCACAGAGCCACAAAACAGTGGCGCTGACATGGAGCCTTGATCGTTTTGTATGGATCATCCCCTTTCCCCCCTCCCCAACAGCAAGCCCGACTTTTGTGCGAGTATCACCAGTAGAGGAGGGACTCCACTCGTAGAAGAGAAAGGAGGCTTCGATTTCGTCGCACAAGCCGGGAAATGGGTCCCTGCGCCTTTTTCGATTCTTGAGATGCCCCAGTAGCTTATTACGACGTCTTCTGGGTGATATAGTGCCCCCACTGTAACTTTGGGAGGTGTGGTTTGTGCGCGCTTTTGGCAATCGTTGATGTGTGCGAGGTGGGTGTGAGGGTGAAGGATAATTGATTGTATCAGGAAAAGGGGCGAATTCTTGGAACCTCGAAGATTTGGTGCCGTTGATCAGCTTGGATGGCAACGGGTAGAGGGACTTTATTGATAGGTCGTCGAGGGATGGTGGGAGGGCTGTGAGGACGGTTTACTTGGACTCCGACGGTAACAGGCTGGTCAGTCCTTCGCTGCCAGCGCACGAGACGTGTCAGAAAACGAGAGTTTGCCAGTAGTCGACAGGCTGGCAGTAATGGAGGGTGACTAGGAAGGAAACTCTTCGGGCCAGAGGGTTCGTTTGCCCAATAAATGAGGGTAAGCCTAGTAAGGGAAGTCGGTAGCATAGGCGACTGAAAACCAAGGGACCGATATGCCCGTTCTGGTACGTTTTGCTAACGGTGTATACGTGTTGATGGGTGCCTGTATATCCAGAACCTGACGCGTTTTCCTCTCGCTGTTGTTGTCCTGAGGATCTGGTCGCCGCCCCTTTTTTTCTCGCCACTACCCCTTTTCTTGTCACCACACCCCTTTTTCTATTTCCATTCAGTTTTCCCTGACTTCCCGACGGGTCGCTGCCCGGGGAGGAGGCTCTTGCCCTGCCACTTCCGCAATGATGCCAGCTGTCTCATTGGTGACTATGGCCATCTCGTACATGGTTATGTACGCGACGCTCAAATCTGGACGGGCCGATCAGACGGGCAGTAGGCCATTTGTTGGGCGTCGCCCTTGACTTGGAACACTTCTCCCGCCTCGTCCTCAGACGCGACAAAGAGTGACCAGTGATCGGGCTCGCCAGGAACCTGTCTCTGGGTCACCACCGAAAGGACAAGTGGTTTCTCTCGGAGCGCCGTGTATAGTACACCATCGGATTTGACCTGACGATGTAATGAGGTTGATACTCTTTGGTTATTTGTGGCTGGCACTGGCTTAGCTAGGCGTTAATTCTTGTATAGTAAATAGTACCAACTACTGATCCTATGCACTGGGCTGTTCACGTATTGCTCCGATGTACGTGCCATTCTATATATAGATTTACTGAAACTATTTGATACTAATAATTTTTAAAATATAAAAATGACAGTAATAATTCCACGACTAATGGAAATACCTGTATACCACAATACCCACAAATCATACCAAACTTAGTCACGGCAATTGGTATTCCGTGTATTATTCGGAAGATTCAGACACTAAATATTATATTTTAAGAAGTGCCCGTAGCCAAAAACCCTCATTTTGGTAAGTAGTACCTGGAACAGAGCGAGAGCTGTGTGTACGGTTATATGGGACTCGTTCTTTCCAATATATACACAAAAAATGAGCTTGTGGATACCGATTCAAAAATAGTATCAACTAGGAAAAGGGAGTTTCTGAATTTCAACTGAGAAAGGAATCCGTGTGAATATCGTTCTGAATCAATTGTGCTGGTTCCTGCCAAGAAGCCAATTCGACCACGTCACGTGAAAACCTTAAATAATTTCGCTAGCCGATTTATTGAAGATGCGCCTGGAGGGCATCCTGACTTCGAGCTGTAGGAAAGAGCGAAGCTAGTTCTCCCACAGAACAATTGGCTACTTCAGACTGAGATGTCGACATCTGCAGTAGTGCGGCCAGTCGCACAGCTTCTCTTGAAGCCCACACGAACTCACCATGTCTCTCTGACCTTCCTCGCTCCCTCAATCGTCAAGACCCAAACCTCTCAATTCTCCATCTCGCGACAATCCTTCTTCCCTCGCGACTACAACCGTGACAGAGGTGTCAGCACAGTCAGGAGAACTGGCCCTCGCCAGCCCCTGAGTGTCTCCAATGACCCTCTTCCGGAACCCGTCCTCGACCCCAAAAAGCGGAGCAAGCTCCGTGTTGACGAAAACCACGGATTATATCAATTTTTCCACTCGAAAGAGAAGGCGATGAACACACCAGAGGAGGACAATAGCCATGGCCGCCCCTGGAGTGCAGAGGAGTTGAGGCACAAGAGCTGGGAAGATCTGCATTCGCTGTGGTGGGTGTGCTGCAAGGAGCGGAACAGGATTGCAACGGAGACACACGAGCGAGAGAATCTTGAGGCTGGTTACGGTGACTACGAGGCAAAGGCGAGGGATATTGCTGTAAGAAACCATGCATTTGCTTGATATATTTACATCTACGGGGGCTCCATACTGACAGTCTTTATCCAGGTCCGGAGAACTCAGCGGGCGATTAAGCAAGTACTTACTGAGCGATACTATTCATGGGAAGATGCGAGGAAGTTGGCAGCGGGCGATCCGGAGGTTGATCTCTCTGGAGAAGGACCAGCACATACGCCGAGCCTGGATGCTTTCGAGTTAGAAGAGCTGACTGCGGAGGAGCTCGAGGCTGAGGCAGCTGAAGCGGCCGCGGCAGAGGGCACCGAAAAGGATCAGCCGGTCAAGCCTCAAACGGTATAGTGAGCTTAATGGTATCTATTGGGAATCCACAAGCCATATAAGACAAAGGGGTCTATCTGAACATAGACCCACGCAAAAGCTGGCAGGGTAATGACTGTCTTCGGTCAATGTTGTATTGGAGGCTACGGAAGCGCATTTGGATGTAGGATAAAGCTGTATAAGATAGAGATCATCTTTGTGTAGGAGTATATAGCAAATTACTGTTACCAAACGACATTTATGGCGGATAATTCCGGCCCGTTGCGACTCTATGTTGTAAGGGGAATAGTTGAAGCGAGTGGAGCAAGCCAGAGGTGACCGCTACTCTCTTATCAGTAGCGCCGTAGCTTGTACAACAAAGTTGCAACTGTGTTCGCCGAAACTCGAGCCTATATCTACTTGTTGATTCTTTGAGCACTTCTTTGCACATAGCCAGGAGGAATATAGCTTGTCATTATGGACGAAATCGCCCCAGAGTACGATGTTGTGGTTCTTGGTACCGGTATGTAACCCCTCATTGAGGGGCACGTCAGACTCGATAGCTAACAACCTCCCCTTTGAAGGTCTGACCGAGTGTGTTCTGTCCGGGTAAGCATACATGAAACCCCTGTGGTGATAGTGAGCTAATATGTTTCAAAGAGTTCTCAGTGTGAAGGGCAAGAAAGTGCTGCACATTGACCGCAACGATTACTATGGCGGGTAAGTTCTCGACCACCTTGGGATTTGTGGGCTAGACTAACTCAACGCAGAGAGGCAGCTTCTGTCAACATCGAGACTGTCAGTGAAATTATAACTTTAACTACGAATGAAATCTAACGTGTAGCAGCTGTTCAAGAAGTACGGAAACTATAACGCGGGTGAGGAGCCATGGAAGAAGTACGGCCGTGCCAACGACTGGAACATCGATCTGGTATCCAAGCTGCTCATCTCAAGCGGAGAGCTTACCAACATTCTCGTTTCAACGGACGTAACAAGATACCTTGAATTCAAGCAAATCGCTGGCAGCTACGTGCAGCAGAGCTCTGGACCAAAGGCGACTGTCGCCAAGGTTCCCTCTGATGCGAAGGAGGCCCTGACCTCTTCCCTAATGGGCATTTTCGAGAAAAGGCGCATGAAGTCGTTTATCGAATGGGTTGGAACTTTCAACGAGGGTGATTCTGCTAGCCACAAGGGTATGTGGACTCTTACATCTGGTTGGTGATGCCGCTGACCGCTATGTAGGCCTGAACATCCAAGCATGCACGATGAAGGAAGTCTACGACAAGTTCGGATTAGAAGCAACCACCCGCGACTTCATCGGACATGCCATGGCATTATACACAACCGATGACTACATTACCGCGGCAGGAGGAGCACCAGAGACTATCGAGCGTATCCGTCTCTACGGTAACTCTGTTGCTCGTTATGGAAAGTCCCCATACATCTACCCGCTTTACGGTCTTGGTGAGCTTCCTCAGGGATTTGCTCGTCTGTCTGCTATCTACGGTGGCACTTACATGCTCAACACCAACCTTGACGAGGTTACATACGACGGAAACAAGGCTGTTGGTATTAAGGCAACCATGAAGGAGCGTGGCGATGAGGGCGACGGAATGACCTTCAGCACCAAGGCCAAGAAGATTCTTGGAGACCCATCCTACTTCCCGGGCAAGGTCCAGGTTGTTGGCCACGTCCTCAAGGCGATTTGCATTTTGAACCATCCCATCCAGGGCACCGACAATAGCGACTCGTGCCAGCTTATCATTCCCCAATCGCAGGTCGGAAGAAAGAATGGTGAGTTTATTACTACTGTAATTTCTATGGACAAGCTAACCCTATTGAAGATATTTACATCGCCATGGTCTCTTCCGCACACAACGTATGCCCCAAGGGTTACTACATCGCCATCGTCTCTACAATGGCCGAGACCAACGCAAACCACCACCTGGAGCTCGCACCCGGCTTCGAGCGCCTCGGCAGGATCGAGGAGAAGTTCATGGTACGCACCCACCCCTAATCTAACAAAGAAACCAACTAACCTCCTCCCAGGGCCCACCAATCCCACTCTACGAGCCGCTCGAGAGCGGCGTCAACGACAACATCTTCATCTCCAAGAGTTACGACGCCACCAGCCACTTCGAGACCACCACCGATGATGTCAAGAACATTTACCTCAGGGCTGAGGGACACGAGCTGGTTGTTGAGGGACTACGCGAGGGAACGAACTTGGTTGGTGAGGAGTAGGAGGAGGAGATGTGAATAGATGAGCAAACTCGTTGGTGCCTATCATTGCTAATATCGGAATACCTCGTCGAAAAATATCTATGAAATTATGCCAAATCTGCTCTTTTGTACTGGTAATGAGAGGCGCATGAAGCTCGAAGAATATTTTTATGGAGGCTTTTGCAGGTGATGTTTTGGAGCAAAATTGTACGACCATCCACCAAATCCGGACTCCCATTCCACACCAAGTCCAAACAAAAGAATTGGCCAACCTCGACCTAATTTTTCTTTATCTCCTTTCTTCGCAATATTGCTTTTGGGATCGATGGTCTGGGGCTCTGAATCCGACCCGTGGTATCTCGATGAACAAAGAACTCAAAAGGATTCGGTGAGCTGGTTCTTTCACTATCGAACGCATTCGGGCCACGGATGATGAGAGATGCTGGGGGGCACACATACATACATAGGTAGGCGAGGTAAGTTGCTTTGAATCTCTTAAACTCTTCAGTTCCCTCTTTCGAGCTATTGTCCATCGCTTTTACAACACCTTATACAACACACACACATTCTCCTTATTGACCGGCAGGTCATCAATTACAAGGCGATTCAATCGCACCACCCACCATGGCCTCAAACCCAGGACCCAACCCCCTTACCCCTCCAGGATTCGCGAGAAAAACCATACCCCGCCTCTCCACCCCCGAGCCCCCATTCAACTACACCCCAATCTCCCCCAAAGATGCCGCCATGCACCGCCTTCGCGCCCTCCAAGACCCAGAAACAGAAGCAATAAACCAGCACTACCGCCGAACCGGCCAGCTCCCCCGCGTCCTCGGCTCGTCGCCGCTGGCTACATCGAGTGGGATCGCTGGGACGAGATTCACACCCGTTAACCGCCCTGTCGCCGGCACTTCTGGGACGAGACCGGGGGGTGAAGATGTGCCTGGGGTCACCATTAATAGAGCTATAAATGGCGGGGTAGCCCCGGGTGCGAATCCTCAGGGGAGAAACCCGGGACCGGCGCGTGGCACGAGAGGTCGACTCCCGGCGCCGAAGCCCATGGGCCTGCCTCCGGGGGTTATACTGCGGCAGCCTGGACTGGAGCCGAGGAGGAATATGACGCGGTATGGCGCTTTCATTGAGGATAGCCCGGAGCCGCCGCCGGCGCGGCGGCCGGACGTCCCGCCGCCTACGGATGCGGAGATGCGCGCGAGGTTGGCGATGCAGACGGGTCAGAGGGGGGTGATGAAGTATCCGATCCGGTATATGGGGATATTGCCCGATGTGCTGAGTGAGGATTTCGATGCGAGTACGGGGTATAATCCGCCGCCTCCGGGGCAGAGGGGGACAGAGGCGGAGGAGCGTGCGTGGAAGAAGGTGAGGGAGGAGAGCCTTAGGGGGGTGAGGTTTGAGGAGTGGAATACGAGTTGGCTTATGAGGATGGCGCAGTTGAAGGGGGTTAGTGTGGCGCTGGAAGGGGGAGACGCGGCGGTTCGTGAGGCACTGGAGAGGGAGTTGACGGAGGTGAAGATAGCGGAGCGGGCTGTGGCAGTGCAGGTCGCTGCGGAGAGGAGGGACGGGGGGCGCTGGGCCAGGGTGGTAGAGAGGGAGGTCGAGCAAGAATGCTATATTTTACTGGATGAGGATAAGGATGACCTGGAGAAGATCAAGTCGAAGGTGGCTATGACGTGGCAGCGGACTAAGATGGATATAGCTGCTGGTGACGTGAGCTTGTGGTTGTCGGCTGTGACGTGGGGGAACAAGCCGTCGAGGATGGTGAGGTGGGCGGGGAGAAATGCAGAGATGGATGATGGGCATTGGTTGGGGTTTTATATGTATAGGATGACGAGGACGGGGAAGAGGGCGGAAGTTGAGGGGAATGAGAGGTATGAGAGGGAGATGAGAAAGAGATAAGGCGCTTGACGGTTATGTGCTTTGCTGTTGTTGTTTGTGGCTTCTGCGTTGCTTGATTTCCTTGCTCATTTTGTCTAACTGATTATTATCTGATCGAAATGGAATCCGAAAACCTTATTATCTACCAAGAATTATTAGCTCAAGTATATATACCACATACTGAAATATAGATCCTGTATCCATAGATATTTTTTATAATTCCACGAGGAGTTCAGAGTTTCGTCCAACATTTCAGCAAACGGAGCCTCAATATCCAACACCATACAGACCCCAACTTCAGTCATGCGTGGCCTGAGCCAACTATATCGCGCACCCCCAATCGACCAACACACCCGCATAAACTTGCCGCTATATCCAAGCCATCTAAAGACCGATCCGCGTCCAGTCTAGTAAACACCACCGAGCGCCTTTATTTTGTTGAGCACAAATTTGGAGCTTATTTCGGCATCATTTCGGCATCAAGGCCCCCCACGCGGCGTGCAAAACTCCCCTCCGGCAGATATCAATTTACCTGACCATCTCTCCATTTCTCACGCCTAAAAGCACCCCTCCATTGCTTCCAACTATAGAACATTTGCTGTAACACAACATTTATTTACCCCTCCATCATGTTCCAACCCCTCTACCATCAACCCCTAACCACACGCCACAATGCCCACTTGGCTCATCACCGGCGCCAACCGCGGCCTCGGCCTCGATCGAATTCGTCACCCAGCTCTCCCGAGACGCCTCACACCATAATCGCAACCTCGCGCTCCCTCTCCCCCTCCACCCTCGCCGATCTCAAAGCGCCGGATGGCAATGCTGCCACTCTCCACATCTTGGAATGCGATACCAGTCCCCCCCCTCCATCACAGCACTGGGGGAAGCCGTGTCGAGCTTACTAGATGAGGAGGGCAAGATCGATTTTCTTGCTTAATAATGCGGGCGTCAACGTCGAGTCGCAGCAGACTGGCCTCACCGTCACGGCAGAGGCGATTTTAGTGAATATGCAAACTGATGTTATTGGCCCCGCGATGATCGTGCAGGTTTTGGAGAAGCATTTAAAGAGGGGTCGGTGGTGATGAATATGACCTCGGGATTGGGGAGTATGGCGGATGCGAAGGGGGTGGAGATGGCGAAGTGCACGCCGTATTCGATTTCGAAGGCGGGGGTGAATATGTTGACCTTGCATCAAGCGAGTGCGTTGGGGGGGAGAGGGGTGGTGGTTGTTTGTGTTGATCCCGGGGTGAGTTGATTCCTGGTTGTTTGAGTATTGGGAGTGAGAGAGTGCTAACTGGAGGATTGTGTAGTGGGTGAAAACGGCTTGTATGAAAACCCCCCCTCCCCCTTTGAGAGTTTTGATAATGAGACCAGTGCTAACGGTGCGTGTAGTGGGCGGTGAGGGAGCGGTTCTGGAGAAGGAGGATAGTATCCGGGGGATGTTGGGGGTATTGAGGGGGTTGAAAGCGGAGGATTCGGGGAAGTTCTTTGCGTACGATGGGGGAGAAGGCTTGGTAGAGGGGGAAGCATTGGTAGAGGGAGAAGCATTGGTAGAGGGGGAAGCATTGGTAGAGGGGGAAGCATTGTAGAGGGGGAAGCATTGTAGAGGGGGAAGCATTGTAGAGGGGGAAGCATTGTAGAGGGGGAAGCATTGGTAGATGGGTAAGTATGGAGGGGTATAGATGCGGTGGATGGTTTAGATGAGATATTTAAATTATGATGTATATATAACCTTGGACGGACTTTCTGGGGACACGAGCATTCGAATCAATATAAGTATTTGCAGGATATGACGGTATAATGGATGGTTAAAGATGGTATTTTAAATGATATATTTTAAGGGAAATTATAAATATATATGCACCCCCTCGTATCCAAAACCGCATTCAATTTTGCTGGATATCATCGCCCGCTGAGCTCAACAGAGCTAACCAACATCAAACGCCACGCAATGCCCCAAACAAATAAAAACCCCTGAAGGAGTATGTACAACCATCTATCCACAGCCAAAGCCTACAGCTTCACTGGATACTTCGTGCGGATATTCTTACCATACTTAAAAATAAGCGCCGGCACCGGAATCATCGCCAACGCAACGAACCCCAACAAGCTATTCCCCCACCCCAGACCCAGCTTATCATACATCGCCGGCGCCGCCAACGGCAGCACAGCCGCAAACACACTCCGACTCACCGTCAACGCCGCCACCGCCGACGCCGCGTACTCGGGGAACGCATCAATTATATACGTCTGAATCGGGATGAAGACGCCCATCATACCGAAGCCGAAGGGCACGAGGCCAATGATCGGGACGATCCAGTGGACCTGCTTGTATGCCGCCCAGCCGTACCAGAAGAAGGAGACGGGGATGAAGCAGGCGAACATGACGCAGGCGGGGAGACGCATCTCGGGTTCGCGGACGCCGCCGTTGGCGAGGGTCATGCGGACAACTGTTGCGTCGGAGATTTTGGCGACGACAGCGACGCCGGAGAAGAATCCGATGCCAACGCCCAGGTAGGCGAGCCCGGTGATTTCAGGGGCCCATTGGTATTGCTTCTGGAAGACGCCGGTGATGGTGGTGAAGAGGAGGTAGAGAAGGCCGTAGATGACGGCCATGTAGAGGGACATGAGGGGGGTGATGACGGTCATGGTGAGCATCTTGATTGGGCGCATGAAGCCGTTGAAGAGGACGGTGCGGGGGGGGAGAGGCGGGCCGGCGGAGTCGTAGCAGGAGCCGAGTTCTGGGCGCGACAGGGAGATGCGGAGGGCTTCGGTTTTGCGACGGATGAGCACGCGGTGGTTGGTTTCGTTGTTGAAGCATTCAATTCCGCAGGAGACGACACCGGAGGCGATGAGGAGAACCCAGAAGACCCAGCGCCAGCCGGCGCGCTGGGCGATGAAACCGCCGGTGATGGGACCGATGACGGGGCCGAAGAGGGGGCCGAGGGAGAAGATGGCGGAAGCGAAGCCGCGCTGTTCGGGGTGGAAGAGGTCGGCGATGACGCCGCCGCCGACGGTGATACAAGCTGATCCTCCGACGCCGGCGAAGAAGCGGAAGATGATGAGCGAGGTGAGATTAGGCGCTAACGCGCACCCGATCTGCCAGAGCACGAAAGTGACGTTGGCGCAGGCGAGGACGGGGCGGCGGCCGTAGATCTCTGAGAGCGGGGAGAGGAGGAGCGGGCCGACGGCGTAGCCGAGGACGAAGACGGAGACGCAGAAGGCGGAGAGGATGGTGGAGGTGTTGTGGAATTCTTTGTTCATGAAGGAGACGCCGGGGGCGAACATGGAGGAGGCCAGGGGGGAGATGAAGCTGATGGCCGAGATGAGGAGGAGGAGGAGGAACTTCTTGCCATCGGGAAAGTTGAGGGGCATGTTCGGGTCGTCTTGCCCTTCCCACCCTACGACGCCTTCGTCGAGGTTCTGCTCGGGCACGAGAGAGGGCTTGAGCTTCTCTTTGGTCGTGGCGATGCGTGTTAGCACGCGTGTGATCCTGCTGCTCTTCGTCTCGGCCCTCTTGAGTGTGCCTGCCCCGGAAGCGGTCTTGATCAAGCTACGGGACATGACCTAGAGAATCTTGTTAGCCATGTATTCTGGATTCGCAGCAGCAGCAGTCTTTTGGAAAAACATACCCTATCGATTGCCAAATCGGCCTGGCGCCCGGCATCCATGGCCTCGACTTCGCTATGCTCATAGTCTGCTGAATTGGCTGAGCTGGCGATTGACGGGGTCTCGATCTTCTTCTCGGTCTCGAGATTAGTGTTGTTTGGGGGTGGGAGGGTGGTGGAGGGGGAGGTGGGCTGAGCCTCCAGGTCCGTCGCTGTGGTCTTTTCGTGTGACATGGCGAAAGGGGGTGTTTGGGGTTCCTGGGTCGTCGCCAGTACCGTTAAAGATGGTCTCTGAAAGCTAGTAAAGGAGGTTGAGTCTCTGTCAGGAAGTTTGAAGTCTCTGGACGCTGAGAACTAGACGCAAAGACTGATGTGCAGTGCAATGAAAGGTAAGTGTATAAGAAGTCTGCCCGTATGTATGAGGGGTATCACAATCTCAGCCTTTCGAACTGGATATTATATATATGGAACTGTAGTGAGGTATAGTAGTAGTATTGAGAGTCGAGAGAAAACCAAAACGAGAGTCCACACCAATATCTATATATGGGGCCACACACACAGCGAAAAGAACAACAGGAGGCTTCCAAAGTTTCCTTCATCCTCGCCGATGGGTGATAACTAGTGTCGGAGGCTTTTGCAAGCCGTTCGCCACGGAAGCGGAACTTCTCATCCACAGTGGGGGCGGCAACGTCGTTGGTTAAACACTGGGATAAGTGTGTATATGCTGAAGATATCCGTTGCATAATATTGCATAATATTGCATAATCTTGTGCAATATTGCACAGCCGTGGGACCCGCATTCGGGTAGGTTGTGAGTATGCATAACCTACCCGAATGCGGGAATAAATGAGCTTAGCCTAAGCTTAGGTAAACACCATTCCTGCCGCTACTATACGCTAGCGCCGAGTAGCGCTGACGCCGCCTTTCGTCTCGTTGGCGGCTCGTTGGCGGCTCGTTGGCGGGCTCTTGACGGGCTGGTTGACGTTGACGGGCTCTTGACGGGCTCGTCAACGGGTCTTGACGGGCTCGTCGACGGGCTCGGGTGGTCCGAAGGTGTGTTGGGCTACAACTAATCTACCAAGTCACTCGGACGTACCATCCCGCTGAAATACACACACATATTAGTATGGCACAGCTACTTAACAACTACTTCCACCACCCCTTGGCCCACCTTTCTCGGCAGCTACTTGCCGATTTTATGACGCTTGTGCAGGATTTGCGTGTCGCACAAGAACCTGCACGCAGCACGCGGCACGCACGCACACGCCGCTCTCCCATCCCCATCCAAGTCCGAGTCACACTAGCCACGCTATTCGGTGTCGATGCGGTGTAATTCCGCTGCGCACATGTGTTTTACAGTACGGAGGAACCCTGAGAGCGCACGTGGAAAGTAGATCCTCCCATCCCCATCCCATCCCCATCCCATCCCCATCCCTTCCCCATCCCATCCCCATCCCTTCCCCATCCCTTCCCCATCCCTTCCCCATCCCTTCCCCATCCCTTCCCATCCCCTTCCCCGTTCCCTAATGAAGGAGGTGGGACGCTTATGTATCTTGTGTACGTACGCCGTATACTATATATAGGGCTGGACTCGGAGTTTTCGTATGTATCCCTCGTATGTATCCCCCATCTCGGCAAAGGTTACATTGACGTCACCCTGCATTTCTCGTTGTTCGGCGTTGATTACTAAGTGCGAATAGATGGTGGGGTTGTGAATCAGAGTCTTAAGGATATTGAGATGCGTGATGGGCCACTGATAATACGATTCTAGCTGCTGGTTACTATCATTGACATCATTGACATCATTGACATCATTGACGCTCTAGAGTCTAGAGGAGAGTTGTTATGGGTGTAGTTGGGTTGGGAATAATGGGAAGGAGCAGCCATCTCACTTACCGTCGTGCCTTCCCTATCTCACCGTCGTGCCTTCCATATCTCACCGTCGTGCCTTCCCTATCTCACCGTCGTGCCTTCCATATCATCTTAAACCATCAACAGCATGTAGTCACAGATCCCTCTCTGCCTCTCTGCCTCTCTGCCTCTCTCACCTCTCCCCTCTCTCACCTCTCCCCTCTCCCACCTCTCCCTGCAACATCCCATCAAACCACCATCCCACCATCCCACAACCACACAAACACGCTGACCACAAAACTGCAATGGACCCCAACCCCGACCAAACATCACACATCCAACCCCCACGCCAGCACCCTCACCCTCACCCCACTTCCTCCTCCTCTTCATCCTCTTCACTCACCCCTCCACCAACCACATCCAACAACCCTCCCGCACCACCCACAGTCGACGGCCCCTCCACCAGCGGCCACAACCGCTCCACATCCCTCACCTCTCTGAAACGCACATTCTCCAAGATCCTGCCTGCGAACCGGAGAGAGCGGGGTGGTACTTTGCGGGATAGTCAGGGGCGGGCTGATGTTGAGACTGTTGATGCAACCGATGACGGAAGGGAAGAGGACGAGGGGAGGAGGGAGAAAGGGAAGATTGTGAAAGGAGAGGGAAGAAGATCTCGGAGTTGGAGTCCGAGAAAGGAGGATGTAATGGCTTCTGCCGAGGATGACAAGAAAAATGGACCACAAAAGCAGACCGACAAAGAGCCCGAAAAAGGAGGCAACGCATTCCAGCGCCTCCTCGGCCTCCGCCGCACCTCCCTCCCCACCTCCTCCATCCCCGCCCAGCCCAGCACCCGCCGCCTCTCCCTCATACGCCCAAAACCAAAAAAAGCAATCCACTTCGCCTCCCCCCCAACCCAAACTCCCCCCGCCACCCCTGCCTCACGCTCCGGCACGTCAACCCCTCCGCTCGACAGCCAACAGATGTACGACCAAAAGCGCCTCCGTCGCGAGCAGCGCCGCAGTTACCGCAGTAGTGAGGACTACCTCACCATCGCCGGCGCGAATCCTCGGACGGGGTACTGGGACGTTAATACGGCTATCGGATCAACTAGTAGTTCTGAAGCCGCGGACCGGGCCCGGAAGAGGGAAGTAGAAATAGCAGAGAACCGCCGGCGCTTGGAAGCCGCGAAGCAAGAGCTGGAAGAGGCGTTAGCGAGGCGGGAAGCGGAGGATAGGGAGAGAGACGCCAAAAGGGCGAGGAGGAGGGAGAGGGATGAGGCGAGGCGGAGGGAGAAGAGGGGGAGGGAGGCGGGGAGGTGGAGAACGGAGGGGGATGGGTGGAGGATGGTTGCGGAGCCGGGGTTGAGTCCTATTGTTGGGAGTTTGGCGGGGAGTCCGAGGATGGTTCGCACGCCGGATGATCAGTTGACGGAGATGAGGGTTCCGTCCGAGATTGTGGGGCAGGAGTATTCTGAGCGAGGTTCTGGGAGAGAGGGGAGAGAGAGGGGTAGGCCTCCCGAGGAAGAGAGGGAGAGGAGGAGGTTGAGTAGGTCGCCTGCTACGCCGTCGAGGTTGTCTCGTCAGGTGGGTGATACGCCGGGTGGGCCTGCGCCATCTACGCCGATGGAGAGGAAGTCTCTTCCAAGTGCGAGTCGAGTGGTTAGTGGCGATATTCCACTTTACGTCGCATCGCCATCGAGGAAAGGCGGCTCGTCTCGCAAACTCTCCAGTAATCGAGTGCCAGAACTCCAACCTGGCTTGCCGTCGCCTTCTTTGGAAAGGGCTAAGCCGGCACGAGCTGCTATATTTCCTAGTCCGCGGAGACAGCCGCATAGACCGGCGTTTATTGATGCTGGCCCGGAAACTCCTCCTCAGGGACCGAGGAGCCCGGTTATTTCCACGGGACGAAGTGGTGATAACCGTAAGGGGAGCCGTGGGAATGCGTCACCGAATGAGTCGGTGAGGAGAAGCCCAGATAGACCAAATCATGACCCTTTTGGCCCAATACCTAGGCGGCGGCCGGCGAGTCCACCGAAGGCTGTCAATACACCTCAGCCTGCGGGCACTCAACGTACTGTGGAGACACCACGACTGGAAGGGAGTACACCGGTTCGAGAAAAGGATGTAGATCCAGAGGCACAACGCGTTGAACAGCACCATACTGCTGTGGTGCAAAGCGGAGTTGAGGCAGAAAATCGAGAGCTTGAAGGGTCAAATGATACTATTGTGCGCCACAGCATCGCTGAATCTCTTCCGGAGGTTCTTCCAGCGACTGGTCGCCAGCGTGAACAGAGCGCAGCACGTAAAGATCCCATCGAGAGTGAACAGAGTCCTTTTTTAGGCATTCGGCCAGACGCCCAACCAGAAGAACCAGCTACAGCGACCTCATCCCCGTCAGCTTCGACGAGTCCAGCCCTGACCCCCCGCCAGTCGCACCAAAGCCTGAAGTATACAGACCAGGGAAAGCGTATCAAGCACATCGCCTCGATGCACGAACTCCCCCCGTTCGTGCTGAAGCACCCAGTAACGGGAACATCGTTGCCGATCGCCCCGTCGAGCCCAAAGATTCTGGAAGAGGTGACGAACAGGAGCTCCAAGGAGATAATAGGGGGAGACGGGAAGGCAGCGTTCATCACCACCACCACCACTATCACACCCACTACTGGGTCCGATCCGGTTCCGCTCCAGCTAGATCAGATGGACGGAAGCTTCGACCCGAGACCTTCACCCCAGAGACGGCCGATGCCATTGAGCAGGATACCAGCACCCCAGGTGTCACCCCAGAGCGCGCGAAACCACCTTCCGAGCGCCCTATCCCCACGGCGGCGAACAGGGAGCGCTACATCGTCGGCGGGGGAAGCGGGAGCGACACCGACGAAGCGTCGTATTCCAAGGTGGTATCAGAGACTCTTGCCCGAGTTCGGAAGAGAGGTCGAGAAGAACATACACACATCCACATCTACGTCCCCCAACCAGCCGTCCACGAGCCCAAGGTATCATATGGGCGATCTGGGGGGGCATCCGGGGGCACAGAACGCGGCGAGGGTGGCGCTCCTGAACGGGGGGCAGTCGCTGAGTTTAGATCGAGGAGTGCAGAGGCAAAGAGCCAGCGCCGGAGTCGGAGCCCATGGGGGAGGTCCAGGGGGAGGAAACTTGGGGATGAGTAGGACGGGGAGTCCGGTGAGGATTGAACGGGGTGATAAGCTTGTTGTCTGGCATGCTGCGCCGGTGGTTGGGCCAAGGAGAAGAAATGAAATTCCGGGAGTAGTTGAGAAGAAACACGTGGCCACCGTAACTCTCAACGCCTCCTCAACCACAAAACAAGACGCCTCCTCGCCAGGGGGAGCGACGTTGCAACAGGTCCTCATCGTCCTCCTATCGACGGCTCGACATCTGATACTCGCAGCGTGGTGCTTCGTGGAGCCGGTCTTTGATCCGAAGTCGGCGTTGCGCGCGCGCTGGGAGAGACAGGAGATGACATGGCGCGATGGCGTCGTGGTGGTCGGGGCGGGACTGTTTGGGGCCGCGGCGCTACTGGCGGCTGTGCTGGGTGTGAGGGTCGTGGGGGGAGTGGCGAGGGTTGTTGGGGTGCTTGGGGGGGGGGTAGGTTTTTGCTGGGGGGTTAGGGTGGTGGTGGGGATGTGAAGTGGGAAAGGGAGCTGTGGGATGATGTCGCGCCCTTGGCTTGGATGCAGCTGGGCTGTTTTTTTGGTCAGATGGGGCAGTTGGATTGGGAAGGGGAGGAGAGGAAGGGATATGATGCTGCGGATGCCGTATATTGGGATTGAGTAAGTGTCGGCTTGTATTGATAGGCATAGATGAGAGGAGAGAAGGAGGAGGAGAAGGAGGAGGGGAAAGAGAAGATAGGCTTACCAATGGAGGGTTTTGATAGGAATGAGAGAGAGTATATTTATATTGGTTTGTGCAGTGTAGTAGAGTGCAGACAGTACGATAACTTCTTCTCTGGCCAGCTGTATAGAGGAGGCCTCATTGAAGCTGCTGAAGCCATTAAAGCTGCTGAAGCCATTGAAGCTGCTGAAGCCATTGAAGCTATCCCGGCTATTGAGGGTCTTCACCTCTCCATCTCCGCATATCTGACTCTCCGATGTCATGTTTTTGATGCTGTTCGGTGGCTCGGCGTTTGTTCCCAAAACCCACCCCGCACTCCGCAATACGCACCTATTATCCGTAATCGTCCGAACCGACCCTGTTGCATGGGGCGGGGTAAGCAAAGAGCGTTCGCCGCCAGCGCTCACCGCCACTTCGTATCGTATCCCTATCCATAGCCTCAACATATCTATAGCTTATAATTTGTATACTACAACTATGTAATTGAAATGGAAGACCCTATTCTATCCGATGCTCGTGAATGACTTGCGGCAAACCCATCTGAATCCGTTGCTGCCGCAAGCCGGATTTTCAAAGTATCAAAATCAACGCTTCAATCATCAATTACTCGACTTAATCGCACACGAGTTGGCCGCGGGGGACATAATAAGCTCCTTACAATTGATTAAACGAAGGCCCTTAAAGAGTGGATAACTACGCAATATAAGCACGGGCTTGGAGCTACGAAGCAGATGGCATTTGCTGCCGTTTGCCATATTCGACGGCCTAAATCACCGCCTTCATATAGTTGGCTTACGAAATTCATTAAGAATGAGCTTTCTGATTTTCATATTATAAAAACGAAGCCTATTGCTGGACAGCGGGTTCAAGCTCAAGATGAGAGCGTTCTTCAAAAGTGGTTTCATAACGATTTTATTACAACTCGGAAAATAGGAGTAGATTCTATATGGAATATGGACGAGGCTGGCTTTCAAGTTGGAATTCTAGGAGGCGAAAAAGTGATAGTTCCGCTATATACAGGAAGTCCTGAGAATCGGGCTTTAATTACAGGAATCAAAGCTGTGTCTACAAGCGGAAGAGTTACTCTATCGATACTCATTATTCTAGGCAAAGTCCATATGGACTCATGGTACCATCCAAGTCTTATTAGCATGGAACGGATTCTATTATTAGGATCAGAATATACGAACGACCAACTTGCTATAGAGTGGCTTAATCACTTCATTTTTCACACGCAAAGCGCTCCTACTCTGACGCCAAGCTACTACTACTAGACTCTAATACTAGTCACTAAACGCTATAGTTCACGATATATGCGCAGAGCATAATATTATTACCTATGCCTTCCCTTCGCATCTTACCCATATTGTACAGCCATTAGATGTTGGGGATTTTCCAGCCTTATAGCATTAGCACTGTGAAGCAGTCCTCCTGCAATATAGAACCTTAAGCTTGCTTATAAGAGATCTCTCTACGATACAAGAGCAGGCTTTTAAAGAGCTTACTATTATTCACACATTTGAAAAGGCAGGAGTATGGCCTATTAATTATCATAATGCACTCACAAAGCTATGGAAATACTCAAAACCAGCTCCTACTTTACCATCTATTATACCAGCCTCTTTTTAAGATTCTGAGGAGCACCTATAGCATTAGAAAGCTACGCTTCTAGTCCTACTTAGTAGCCCCTCTCAATAGCAGTATTGTTATAGCAGAACCCTGTGACCGCTAGTTACAAGGCTAGGCTGTAGTAACGTGACTCATTAGATGGATAGTTAGTTAGGATAGTTCAGACTATCCAACTATCTGAACTATCCACTAGGCATGATGGCACACTATCAGATGGATAGTTAGATAGGAGCATTGTGCTTAACTTAATATAGTATTCTTTACATACTATAACGTGTTACTTAGAAAGCCTTTGTATCTAATCCCCTACCTCCTCTGTTAAGTTAAACCTTACATAAGAAACCTCTGTGCATCCTATCATTTCAGAAGCAGTTGTAATGGTGGGTGCACCAGATGTGAGAATCTAGCCACCCAGGGGAAGGGATGATTTTACTAAGACAACACACTGTCTTAGGAAACAGAGCCAAATGGTCGTAGCTTAGACTATTCCACAACGCAGCAATCAGGTGTGTGATGTAGTGAAGTGGTTCAGACAAGTTGCAACAAATGTTGAGTCTGGGAACTCAGGGGTAAGTCAGAGGTTAACACCTCACTGACTTTTCAGAAACAAGGAGTAACAAGATGAATGCTTGGAAGCTTGGAAAAGACGTGGAAGTATGTGATAGTCGATTTACTGTATTGTCTGCTTGCCCTTTCTTAAGGAAAGGGCAATCCTATTTATGCCAAAGGAGTGTAGTTCTCTCATTTTCCAAGACTTTCCATGACTTACCAGGCTTGGTAACTGTAGTCAACGTAAGAGAATCCCATAGAACCATCTCTTAGGTTCGTAGCCTATAGGAAGTAAAAGGAGGTCCAAGGTCAGAGTACCCCTATAGACAAATTATGTCATAGACAAATTATGTCATAACTTAACCAATCTTGTGGGTAACTAAAGAGCGATGACATGTAATGAATCATAGAGGTTTGTAGGAGCTTTTAGAGCTATCGTTCATGCTCCTAGGCCTCTAGTTGGTAGAGATATGTCATGTGGTAGTATGAGTGATGTCATGTAATGAATCATAGAGGGTTGTAGAGATATGCTATGTGGTAATATCGGCCCAGTAACTAAGGAGCGATGACGTGTAATGAATCATAGATGGTTGTAGCAATCGTTGAGTAGTATTGCTCTTGTTGTTGGTGTGATAAGCCAAAATATGTATAGTGACTTGTAGGTTTGAGGAGGAGATTTCCAAGTTTGCTCTTGAGTTTGATAGCAAACTGAGTGCAACGAATGTCAGTATGACACCCTGTGTCCTTACAATGTGTCTTCTTCTATTCCTCAAAGCACTTAAGCAAGAAGTCCATAGTAGGAAGTACACACTCTAACGTATTAGTGCGCCCTTTGGAAGATATTATAGCATCTTCTAAAGATGTGTCTAATCTTCTAGCTGAAGCTTGTCTAATGTACTCTCTAGTTGGTAATGAAAGAATATATCAATTGCATTAGAAAGAGGTATTGCTAAGCTTATCATCTTATACCATGAGTTCTAACATGTAGAATTATCCTGAGAAAGGTGCTTGTTGCCAGAGAGACTAAGAAACTCTTGAATTCTCTAAGTACTCTGCTAAATATAAACACATTGCTATGCAACTTCCTAAGTGGCCCCTTTTTATGCCATAGCTTCGTTTCGTGCTATAAAGGGGTTGTGAAAATGTTGTTTGTGTTGTTGTAATCAGCTTGCATCTCATCATTTGTGTAGAAAAGAAAAGCTTGTGCAGCTAAATTAATGATATGACCATTATAGCAAAGGCAGTAATGAACTAGATTGTAATGTTGGGTGCACCAGATATGAGAATCTAGCCACCCAAGGAAGGGATGAATTTACTAAGACAACACACTGTCTTAGGAAACAGAGCCAAAGGGTTGTAGCTTAGACTATTCCACAACGCAGCAATCAGGTGTGTGATGTGGTGAAGTGGTTTAGACAAGTTGCAACAAATGTTGAGTCTGAGAACTCAGGGGTAAGTCAGAGGTTAGCACCTCACTGACTTTTCAAAAACAGAGAATAACAAGATGAATGCTTGGAAGCTTGGAAAAGACGTAGAAGTATGTGCTAGTCGATTTACTGTATTGCCTGCTTGCCCTTTCTTAAGGAAAGGGCAATCCTATTTATGCCAAAGGAGTGTAGTTCTCTCATTTTCCATGACTTTCCATGACTAACCAGGCTTGGTAAATGTATTAGAAATCAAGTGCGACCCACAACTAGCTTGCTAATCATGTAGTGAACGTAAGAGAATCCCATAGAACCATCTCTTGGGTTCCTAGCCTATAGGAAGTGAAAAGGAGGTCCAAGGTCAGAGTACCTATAGACAAATTATGTCATAACTTAACCAATCTTGTGGGTAACTAAGGAGCGATGACGTGTAATGAATCATAGAGGGTTGTAGAAGCTTCTAGAGCTATCGTTCATGTTCCTAGGCCTCTAGTTGGTAGAGATATGCCATGTGGTAGTATTGGCCCACCCCCTTAAGGAGGAGATTTTCTTAATAACTTGTTCAATGAGTGTCCAAATGATATGCCGTGATGTATGTAGCATAAACAGATGTAGTAGAAGAGTTTGCAGCAATCGTTGAGTAGTATTGCTTCTGTTGTTGGTGTGATAAGCCAAGATATGTATGGTGACTTGTAGGTTTGAGGAGGAGATTTCTAAGTTTGCTCTTGAGTTTGATAGCAAACTGAATGCAACGAATGTCAGTATGACATAGATCATATACAATTTGATATTCATTATAGAGAACTTAAAGATAATAGTTAGCTCTGTTCTAAGTAAATTAATTAGTATATACGTACAGTTTGCAAGTGCTACAAGCATTGTATCATTGCTTTCTACATTGTCTATCATAAAATAGCCCAACTTAGATGCAATACCATAGTCTCTTAAGGGCTTCTATGATATGAAGTGCTTGATTTACACCACTATGATCACCATCTACTTCCTTAAGCACTAAGTATAAGTGGCGCAAATCTCCATTCTCTGCAATATAGTGTCTAATGATGCTAATGATTGCAAGAGAATTTGGCGAAGTCTAGAGATCAACTGTTAAATGAACCTTAGATAGTGCTGACTGTAGTTATTACTTGATGTGATTCTTTTCATGCTAAAAGGTCCTGATAGTCCACTCCGGAATTGTTGAATGAGAAGATGGTAGCTAAGTATCTGCGTCTTTATTAATATATCGTAGAAGTGTCTAGAATTCCTCTTTCGAGTGATTGCAGGTCGGAGAATTGAGGCTTGTGAGCTACCTACAACATATTTTGTTACTGTACCTTCCGTTTGTACTCTAGTATCGTACGACTAGAATAGCTGACTAATCAGCCCTAACCGTAAACGAGCTCCATTTCCCTCTAGAGTCGCAAAAAGTCCCGTGCCATTTGACTATTTTACTACAAGACAAATACGACACTTCTGATTGGCCAATTCACCCCCCAAAAAGAGTCACAAGGGTACAACACTAACAACAACTACAACGCTAACCTCCGATCCCTCCGATCCCTTCTGTGTCTCCGATTATCGGCCACTTATCACCCTCTCCACTGCATTGGAACCAGAGCTCCAGCTAAAACCAAAACAATTATATCACTCCCCACCTCTCTCTCTCCTCTCTCCTGCTTACTTCTTTCTTCCTTCAACATCAAAAGAATATCTCATCCTGTTCCTGCTATATATCCTCAACTCAAGAAGCTGAAGTCTGCTTTGAGTCTGTCGTTCTCTGAGATATCTTTTTATCATCTTATAAATATACCCCACCATGCCTGTCGCCGAGGGTGCCCCGCGTACGCTGTACGATAAGGTCTTCCAGGACCACATTGTCGACGAGAGACTCGATGGCACAATCCTCCTCTACATTGGTAATTATATTATCTTGATATACCAAAAAAATGAATTGCATTCTGACTTTCTCTCCCAGACAGACATTTAGTCCACGAAGTCACCTCACCTGTACGATTTTGCCCCTAGCCTGGCATTTTTGCCACCTTTGCTAACTGGAATGCAGCAAGCTTTTGAGGGATTGGAGAAGGCTGGCAGGAAAGTCCGAAGGCCCGACTGCACTTTGGCCACAACCGATCACGTACGTTAAGCCGCCTCTACACACTCTTATCCATTCACGCACGCCGTAATCTTCAGCTTCAACCGGACCCAAAATGCTAACATACGCCCCTAACAGAATGTCCCAACCACCTCCCGCAAGAACCTCAAGAACATCGAGACCTTCGTCGAGGAGGAGGACTCGAGACTGCAATGCATGACGCTCGAGGAGAACGTCAAGAAATTCGGCATCACATACTTCGGCCTCGCCGATAAGCGCCAGGGCATCGTCCACATCATCGGTCCCGAGCAAGGCTTCACCCTCCCCGGCACCACCGTCGTCTGCGGCGACTCCCACACCTCCACACATGGCGCCTTCGGCGCCCTCGCCTTCGGCATCGGCACCTCAGAGGTCGAGCACGTCCTCGCCACCCAGACCATCATCACCAAGCGCTCCAAGAACATGAGGATACAAGTCAACGGCGAGCTCGCCCCCGGCGTGAGCTCCAAGGACGTCGTGTTGTACGCCATCGGCAAGGTCGGTACCGCCGGCGGAACCGGCGCCGTCATCGAGTTTTGCGGCTCCGTCATCCGCGGCCTCAGCATGGAGGCCCGCATGTCCATGTGCAACATGTCCATCGAGGCCGGCGCGCGCGCCGGCATGGTCGCCCCCGACGAGATCACCTTCGAGTACCTCAAGGGGCGCCCGCTCGCGCCGAAACCCGCAACGGACGAGTGGGACCAGGCAATCAAGTACTGGACCAGCCTCAAGACTGACGAGGGCGCCAAGTTCGACGTCGATGTCCAGATCGACGGCGCGGACATCGCACCCACGATCACATGGGGCACGAGCCCCGAGGACGTCGTCGCCATCACCGGCTCCATCCCCGACCCAGAGACCTTCGCCTCGGAGACCAAGAAGATCCAAGGCCGTCGCATGCTCGAGTACATGGGCCTCACCGCGGGCACTAAAATGGAAGACATCGAAGTCGACAAAGTCTTCATCGGCTCCTGCACCAACTCGCGCATCGAAGATCTCCGCGTCGCCGCCCAGGTCGTCAAGGGCCGCCGCGTCGCCCCAAACATCAAGCGCGCCATGGTCGTCCCCGGCTCGGGCCTCATCAAGGACCAAGCCGAGGCTGAGGGGCTCGATAAGATCTTCCTCGACGCAGGCTTCGAGTTCCGCGAGGCAGGGTGCAGTATGTGTCTCGGCATGAACCCAGACATCCTCTCCCCCCAAGAACGCTGCGCCTCGACCTCGAACCGCAACTTTGAAGGCCGCCAGGGCGCAGGAGGACGCACCCACCTCATGTCCCCCGCTATGGCCGCCGCGGCCGCAATCTCCGGCAAGCTAGCAGATGTCCGCAAGTACGCCCGCCCAGCCTCCCCCATCCCCCTCGACGCCCCTAAACTCGCCGCACACACCCCCGCGCCCTCGGCAGGGAAGGCGCACGTCGATGAGCGCGTCGAAACCGATGACGACGAGAAAGAGGCTATCGCGGACCAACCCCAGGATTCAGGGCCGCAGGTAAACACCACATCCCCCGGCTCCGCCGCTGAGGGGTTCCCGAAATTCACAACCCACCGCGGCATCGCTGCACCGATGGAGTTGGCGAATATCGACACCGATGCCATCATCCCTAAACAGTTCCTCAAGACGATCAAGCGCACCGGGCTCGGCAGCGCGTTGTTCTACGCGTGGCGCTACCTCTCTGCCGGTGTCGAGAATCCGGAGTTCGTGCTCAACAAACAGCCGTATCGGGATGCGAAGGTTTTGGTGGTTACGGGGGAGAACTTCGGGTGTGGATCCAGCAGAGAGCATGCGCCGTGGGCGTTGTTGGATTTCGGGATTAAATGCGTGATCGCGCCCTCCTTCGCAGATATCTTCTTCAACAACACCTTCAAGAACGGTATGCTCCCCATCGCCATCTCCAACCCCACCGACCTCGCTGCCATCGCCTCCGAGGCGCGCGCCGGTCGCGAGATCGAGGTCGATTTGCCCGGACAGGAAATCAAGAATGAGAAGGGCGAGAAGATCTGTTCTTTCGATGTGGAGGAGTTCAGGAAACATTGCTTGGTGGAGGGGTTGGATGATATAGGACTCACCATGATGATGGATGAGCGTATCTCGGCGTTTGAGAAGAAGATGACGGAGCAGACGCCATGGTTGGATGGGAGGGGGTATTTGAAGAGGGGGGGAAAGGTGGTGGGTGCTGTGAAGGTGCCGACTACGAATAGGGGGGAGGTGTTGAAGGAGCCTTTGGAGTGGTAGACTCCGTCAGAGGGCCCCGCCAGGTGGGCTTGTTGCTGAAGAGTGGGAAGAGGAGGAGATGGGGTGTTGCTTGTAGCTTGTTGCTAAGGATGGGAAAAGGGGGAGGCTCGAAGGGAATGGAAAGGCTCGAAAATTCGAGCATGTGCGCTTACTCGCGACTACGATACCGTTGTTTTGCTATGCAATGCATAGCTATCCACACATATCCACACTTTCCCTCGTGACACTGAACTTGTTGATTAATTACCCCCCCCCCCCTCCCCCTTCCTTATCCACCACTACCCCTCCCCCCCCGTTTTCGCATTCCCACCCACATAAACGTCACAACTCTACTAAACACCCCTCCGCCTAACCCTCTCCCTCTCCTCAGCAACCTCCCTCGCGGCCGCCCGCGCCCCATTCCTCGGCGCATCCTCCCTCGTGCGGGCGATATCATACATACTACTCGCTTTCTTGAGCGGGCTATGCGCATGACTATATACACCCAGACTCCCTCCATCCCCGCTGCTTCCGGCGGGGCGTCTCGCACCTACTTCTGAGACCCGACTCCTCCCCCGCGCCTCATCGCCCGAGCCGGAATTGGTCCTGCTGAGGCCGCTGGAAGTGGCTCTTGCGACGGCGCGGCGGAGTATTCCATCCTCTCCACCAGAACCCGTGGGGCCTTCAGAACCGATTCGTCCCCCCATACTGGCGCGGTACTGCGGCTTCCTCTGTTTCATACTTGGCGTACGTAGCGGCGTGCTTTCGTGGTGCTGAAATTGCGGTTGCTGCTGCTGCTGGAACTGCGGTTGTTGATACACCTGCTGCTGGGACGAGGTAGGTTGGGTCTGATACCCCATCTGCCCCACCGGCGTCATCGGCGTCTGCGGCGTCCCAAAGGGGGGGATCGAACGGGGGAGAGAATTGCGATTCGGTACCGCAGAGGGCGCGTGTGGGCTTATGTGCGCGGCGTAGTTGGGGTTGGGGTTTATCCTGAAGCCGCGGCGGAGGGTGGTTGTTGGGGCGTGTGTGGTGACCTCCTCTGCTGTGATAGAGATCGTTGATGCGTCGGGGTCGAATTCTGCTTCTTCCCCACCAGTTCCAGGGCCCGTACCCGTGGATATGGTGGTGGGAGGAGGAGAGGTAGAAGTCGAAATCTGTGTCCCCACATCTCGCACCACGGGGTGAAGAGTGGGATGCACGAATTTCGTATCATATTCATTCAACACCTCCTTCTGAATCACCCTCCCATCCCTCTCCTTCTGCTGAAACCCCCTCACCAACACCCCCATCTGCAGACTCAACAACCCCTGCAACACCAACGCCGTCACAACCGTAAGACTCGCCCTATCTCCCCCCCCTACCGGCAATAACATCCAATACACCACCGCGTGCCCCGGCGAAAATAAGGTATACACCTCCAGTGCCAACGGAAGAGGATCCCAGACCGCGATCTCCCATACGTCGATGGTGGGGTCGGGATGTGCGCGTGAGGAGGCGGGAGAGGGGAGGAGGTGGGCGAGGAGTCGCATGGGGGAGGAGGTGGGGGGGAGGAGACGCGGACGAGGGTTGCGGAGGGGGTGATGGGGGGGCGGAGAGAGGGGTTTCGAAGAGTCGGTAGTGCCGTTTGCGGAGGAAGGTGTAGGTTGCGTTTGTGAGGGTGAGGAGGGTTAGGAGGGTTGTGAGGATGCGTGCCTGATTGTGTTTTGTTAGCTTTTGATTCGTTCTTTTATCCATTTATTCACCCCCCCCCCCCTTCTTGCCTTCCTACCCATGACTTCGGCTTCGACCTCAACTCCAGTATAACGACCTAAAAACAAGAAGAACTCACCAACCACCCAACCCAATTCCCCCCACCTCCCCCATCCCCAAAAACATCATCCTCCCTCGTCCTCCCCCCCCCACTATTCGCCCTCGCAAGCAACAACGCGAAATTCAACCCCATCCCCAACGCCCTCCCAAAAGCTGCCGTATCCCATTCGCTCGTCTCCAGCTCCTCAGACACATAAAGTAAAAAGTCGAGAGGGTTGAGGTAGGCCTTTAGACGCTCGCCGAGGGGCTTGCGGCGCACGAGGCGCGGCATCTTTGGTGCGTGTGTGTGTGTGGTTGGGGGGTTAGTGGCGCATTGCCGTGTGAAGGAGTCGAGATGGTGAGGTGGCAAGTTGGGCGTTGTCGAGGGCGTGGCGATGGCGTGGTGGGACTGTTTACAAGTCCGGCGGTTGATGAGGTGAGTGAGGTATAGCTCGACTCCCTCGCTAGGGCGGGATAAGCCTGTCCATCCGCCACCGATAAGGCTAGCGCGGCGGCTGGGAACCACCGCCGCCGGCCAAGCTTGTATGTACACCACAGCTACGAGGTTGACTTGGAGCATCGCAACAGCGCTGTTGCATCAACAACTTGCAAAATGTCCGCCGCCGCTGCTGCTGCGCATAAAGATCGCGAGTTCCTCGCTGTTATTGGGGATGAGGTTTGTCCCCCCCCTCCCTTCCCCTCCCTGTGCCCCCGACACTCCCCTCGATGCCTTGCTAACACGGTCCGTAGGACTCAGTAACCGGCCTACTCCTCGCGGGTATCGGAGTATGTTTATCTACCCCCCGTCGACGAAAGTAGAAGAGAGTAATTTACTAATTGGCAAACCGCAATAGCACGTCACACCCGCACCGGACTCACAGAAAAACTTCCTCGTTGTGGATGCTAAGACTGAGACGGCGGATATTGAGGCTGCGTTTCAAAGGTTTACGACGGAGAGGAAGGATATTGGGATTTTGTTGATTAATCAGCATGTATGTTGCTCTCTTTCTTTTTAGTCGTGGTGTTTCTATTTTAAGCTTTTACGGACCTTGGGGTGGGAGGGGTGGAAGGGGATGCGATGAGATGTCATGGGATACGAGGGATATGATGGAGAGGAAGATGGTGACATGAATGCATGGGATGGGGCGATAGGAAGGTTTATAAGAGGATTGGGCTAATACCACTCACTGTCAACAGGTCGCCGAACGCATCCGCCACCGCGTCGACACCTACACAGCCGCCTTCCCCGCCGTCCTCGAGATCCCGAGTAAAGAGCACCCCTACGACCCCGAGAAGGACAGTGTGTTGAGGAGGGTGAGGAGGTTGTTTGGGGAGTAGATGGGTTCAGTATCTACCCCTCTGCCTCCCTACTATAAGGGAGGGTGGGGGTAGAAGTGATTGGGGGAAGGGGGAGGGGATAGAGGGGATAGAGGGGATAGAGGTGGATGGGGGAAGGGGAAAGGGATAGAAGGGGTAGAAGTGGATGGGCGGGGCATGGAGGGGCGTTTATTGCACTGTTATGAAGCAAGGAATGGACCATTTAAGCGTGCTCTGAGGGGTTACGAGTGGGTGTGCGTGTAGCTGCATCTGAAGAAAGGTGTGTGCATAGTATTTCGGCCTGAACTTGGTTATCAGAGCCAGTACCTGCATACCTGCCATAGATAGAATCACCACATTAATCCCATAAGGTCCCCGTATCTCGCTCAATCCAAGTCAAAACCGACACAGAGCCCAACACTCTACCACAGAACAACAGCCAAACATAAGTAGTCCATCATCTTAAAATGCCACTGTAATAAATCTCATGCCAAACGCTACCTATGCCAACAAACAACTCGCGCCGCAAACACCAAAACCCCTCAAGCCTGGGTTGATTGAATCGTACTCCGCAGAGTCTCTCTACCTGTCTGTCTGTTCTGTATCGTGTGAAATAAGTCCATCCATCATCGTCGTCGTCGTGTCGCCTATTGCCCGCCTGCGCCTTTCCCACGGGAGGGAGGAAGGGAGGGAGGGAGGGGCGGGGGATGTTTATACCAATTCAAAAGCGCCAAAGGCACCCTTGAACTGCACCGTAGCGGAGAGACAAGTAATCTTCCTATCATCCTCGGTAAAGACATCAGCCGTAACCGTGTATTTTCCCTATAACAATCACCACAATCATTAGCCTCATTCCCCTCTCCCCAACCACCACCAAATCCCCATCGGAAAGGACATGACATACTGGTGGAATCTGCGCCGGCAAATCAACCTCATTGGTAATCTTGGTCTCCCCGGCCTTGATGGGACACTCCATATCCACCTCCTTGATCTGCTCGCACAGATCGGCTGTCGTGCTGAGGAGCTTGATGAGGCCGTATTTGACTTGCAGGACGACGTAGGCGCCTTTGCTGATGTCTTCTTTGAAGGTGCCGATGGCTTCGATGGTTAGGGTTTTCCCGCTACATGAAGTCAGCTATCCATCCATGTATCTATCGATGGCAGAAGGTGAGAGGACGGAGATGAGACGCGACACGGAAGGAGGACTCACGCCAAAGGAGGATTCGGGTTCAAATTAACATGATCCAGCGTCAAGATATCATCCGCAAACTCCGCAGAGCAGTGCTCAAGCGGCGACAGACCGGGTATCTTCTTATCAGCCTCGTCGAGGAGGAGCGACTGCTTGTCGTTCCAGATCGCCAACACGGAAGCGCTGAGGAGCAGCGGTGCGAGGGCAACTAGGAACTTCATGGTTCCGGTTTCGCTGCTCTGCCTGTGGTGTTAGTATCGGGGTTGAGGGATTTGCGAAGGTGAAGTCGGGGAGTATTTCGACAGAGAAGAGGGATGTGAGTCGGGTGGTGGTTGAGCGGGTGATGGAGAGACAAGAGGAGGCGGGACTGGGAGTTGGGGGGGCGGTTCGGTGGTTGGGTCGTGTGGGAGAATGGGGGATTGTGATTGGTGGAGGGCGGGGATGGGGTGGGTGTAGAGGTACAACGGTGAGTTCGGGTGGGGGTTGGTGGGTGAGGTGGATGAGGGGGAGGTGGGTGGGAAATGACGTTGCGGGCTGTTGGGGGGGTGGCCCTAGAGTACCCATATCCTCCGTACTAACGTAGAACAGTGATATAGGCAGAAGGATACCTACCAGCGCCCTCGGCGCTACCACCACCCCTACCTACCACGCCCGCCCTAACTACCACCACCCCTACCTACCACCCCCTACCACCACCAAAACCTACCTACCACCCCCTACCACCACCCCTACCTACTGTAACCTACCACCACCAAAACCACTACCACTACCACCACCCCTACTGTAACCTACCACCACCAAAACAACCACTACCACCACCCCCTACCACCACCAAAATAATATCCAGACTACCGTCCAGACTACCACCAAAACCACTACCACCACCCCTACCTACTGTAACCTACCACCACCAAAACCACTACTACCACCACCCCTACCTACTGTAACCTACCACCACTAAAACCACTACCACCACCCCCTACCACCACCAAAATACCATCCAGACTACCGTCCAGACTACTCGACTAACGTACAACTGCGTAGGCAGAAGAATACTACGGCGACCTAAACGAACCACCTGCACCCACTCACAAGACTCCCACTACTGCATCAGACTAGTGCCGTACTTGTACTAGCCTACTCCAGTATAGCCACTATCCGCACTAACCGGATCAGGCAAATCAAGCTTGTCGACCCAATCGCAGGCGATACCGAGAGATGCGCTTTTCAGCCTTTTCGCTTCCCCTCCACATCGTCCATAGCTAACCTACATATACCTAGACTGCGACAAAGTACATGGCATCGCTACCCAACCACCATACTAATATCTTGTATCCTGGTACTTCTATCCAGACTACGGTAGGTGGCTGTGCTGCTAAACTGGGTACTGTCTACCTCCCATCTACCCTAGAGACCACTAAACTCCACTAAATCTCACAGTCTGTTTAGTGGTCTTGGCCCCTTTTTACTCCCTGTTTATCCTTGTACTCTGTACTTGTGCTCAGTACTTTCTACTCTCCAACACCCTGTTCTGTCTCTCTCTTCCCTCTCTCTCCTCCCTCTCTCTCCTCCCTCTCTCTCCTCCTCCTTCTCTCCTCCTCGTCCTCGTCCTCGTCCTCGTCCTCCTCGTCTCACACTCTCCTCCCTCCCTCTTCCTCTTCCTCTCTTCCATCCCCCCCCCCCCCCCAAACTCCTCCACCAATCTTCACCTTCACATTCCTTCTACACCTCCACACGCTACAATCACCATCATCGACTTCTCTCTAACGGCCGCATCCTTTTCGTACTTGCCATTGCGCTTCATCCACGTTCAACGAAACCATCATCCATCATCCTCTTCAAACCAACCCGCCACCCCCAAACATCGAAACGCCTTCGTCGCGAAAAAAAAAAAAGAACGACACAACCCCGTCGACTCTTCTGCGCCACCACTTCCTTTCCAGCCGTCGACGATACCATTCTTTTCAATGATAGTCTGCACGTCTGCATAATACCCTTCAGACGTGTCGTCTGTCAACAAATAAGTGGATTGTGCACACTTGCGGTCGTCCTCTTCGCCGCTCGTTTCTTAGTCGAGTCCACTCCTCACCGAAGGACACGACGCGAGACGACCAGAGCGCTCGACGCTCTGTCCACAAACATCTCCAGCGGTTGACAGAGATCTCGTATACCGATTGTCGATACCTATACTACATTGCGACACGGGTCTCGATCTCTTGCGAGTTCACCTCAGCTGCGCTCGTCGTCATGCGACTCAGACTAAAGCATAAGTGAACCCACATCTTGACCCTTTCCTGTAGCTGGAGCCACCTCGAGGCTTCTGCTAGATTATGACAGAAAGGACCTTCTCCATACCACCGCCGATCGCGCAGAGTCAGCCCGCTTCGCAGTCTCCCGTCACGGCCAACCATCGAACCGCGCCCGGCGCCGCCACCGACTCTGTTGACGAGGAGCCATACACCATCAAGTGCATATGCGACTACTCGGACGACGACGGCAACACCATCTACTGCGAGCGATGCGATACGTGGCAACACATCGAATGCTTCTACCCTGGTAACGTCGAGGAGGCCTCACGCGATGACTTCAGCCACTTCTGCGCCGACTGTGACCCACGGCCCTTGGACCGCAGGAAGGCGCACGAGCGGCAGCGCGAGCAGCGACAGGGCAAGCTGCGACAGGACGACGTCGACAAGAAGACCAAACGCCCTCCCTCAAAGAGCCACAAGAAGAAGCCGAAGCCATCTGACGTCGTGACCAATGGTATTCGCGACCACGATCCGCATCATGGCGCGAAGGCCGGCAGCCCGCATGATCACACCTCGCATGCGAAAAAGCCGAAACCCCATCAACGATCACAACAATCCATCAGCGCGGCCAAGCGAAGCCCGTCGAACCACTCACGCAATCACTCCCACGCACACCCTCTAAGTCCGGCCACAACACCACCCGACTTACCACAAGACTTCATAATACACACGTACTCCAAGCAGTTCCAGGACCTCTGCGGGAATGATCCTGGGCCGCAAGATCTCCAGGCGAACTCGTTCGCGAGCTTAGCCGTCACCGATTCCATGTCGAATTGGCTTCGCGATCCCCAGAAGCTCCAGGAGGATGTTGGCGTCGAGAATTCCCAAGACGTGTTCCGCACAATAAAACCCGAAGTCGACTTTGACAACTACCCAAGGCCGAAATTGCAGGTCAATTCCAAAACAATCTCCACGAAACCCGAGTTACAATTGCGCTATCTGACCGTCTCGGAGACTCTCCGACAGAAGGAGACGATTATCGGTGAATTGAAAGGGCTTGTCGGATTCCAAAGCACCTTCGTCGAGCTGGAGGGGGAGACGTATACTAAGCTCTGCCATCCACCGCCATTCGTCTTCTTCCACCCTCACCTCCCGCTATACATTGACACGAGAAAGGAGGGAACACAGTGTCGATACGTGCGACGAAGTTGCCGCCCAAACTCGATATTGGAAACCTACATCACCAATGGATCCGAATACCATTTCTGCTTCCAGACCGAACAACCACTGGCTGCCAATGCCCAGATAACACTAGGATGGGATTTCAAATTTAGGAACGGCAAGCGTTTCGTTCACCTTCTAGGAATCGAAGACGACAACGGCACCGAGCCAGAAATTACAGAGCAGGAGTACGACGAGCTGAGCGACCTAATAACTAGCGTCCTCTCGGATTACGGCGGCTGTGCTTGTGATGCAGATAACGATTGCGCCTTTGTTCGTTTCCATCGCAACTTCCGAAGCAAGCTGCAGCAGGTGCAAACACTACCTGCGAAACCCAAGAAGCAACGGAGGCCAAAGCAACACGTCTCTCCCATAAGCACTGGCCATGCCACAAACAGCCGTGATGCGAGTGAAGGCAGGCAAGAGGTCTATGATGCGGAAGACGACAGCCGCTCCGCGTCTGGTTCGATTAAACCACGTAGCCGCGACATGACGCCGTTAACCGCTGGGCTGGATGCAAACGGGACTGAGCTTGTTTCGGATCGTGATAAGAGGAAGCTTGCCGATATCGAGAAAACCTTTGAGCAGATGGATAAGCAACCGCCTAGGAAAAAGAAGCGCGGCTCTGATGGGCCGATACTTCCGACACCATCGAATGGGCATCCACCTAATCAACGAACAAAGCACAAATCTGTCTCGCGTACGAATACGTCCATATCCACTTCTATGCAGGCGAATGGAACCACCCAGTTCCAGAAGGATAAGAACAGACACTCTCGACATGCTTCGGAATCTCCAACTACTGACGTATCGCCAAAGACGATGGGAGCAGCGTCATCGAAACCCACGTCGCGATATGGGTCCGTGCCAGCTCGATCGCGGCAGCTGTCACCTGTACGGAAGTCTAATTATGTCGATGCGGACACCCAGACAGATCCGGAACCGGATGCATGGTACACCCAAACGCCAAAGCCAAAGAAGAAGTTTGTCCCGCTTAGCAGACGCTTAGTAGAGAACCAACGGAAGTCTTTCGCAGTACAAGAATCCCGAATCGCATCTCTAATGTCGCAAATGGAAATGTCGTCGCGGATGGAAGGCGTCGAGTCAACAGCGGGCAGCCACCCCCCGAGCCCGGAAGCGAAAACCGCGCCAAAGCCGGAGGATACCCTGCTGCCGAATGACGTCGCCGTCGGCTCAGTGGAGCCCCCCGGCCCAGAAGACGGCAAGTCCGTCGCTGAGCATGCCGAGGGGGCGGCCGATGTGCCGATGCCAGACGCGCCTTCCGCCTCCCCGGAAGCGGCAAAGGCACCTCCGCCGACATTGCCAGGGGTGCTCCACCCGCCGCCACCCGCAACCGCCAGTATCCCGCCCGACCTAAAATCCCCGGATCTGAAAATCCAGATGCCTACCTCCGCAACACCCTCCTCCGCTGCTGCTGCCGTCGCGAGCCCATCGACTGTGGGTACGCCGTTCCCGCATTATTTTCCCGCAGGATCGATAGCGCAGTCGCCTATGGGGACGAATTACCCGTCTACCTTTTCCCCGTCTGTGCTCAGTAGCGTGGGGCAGCATCCGCCGCCGATTAAGAAGAAACTTAGTCTTAGCGCGTATAACGCTATGCGGAAGAAGCTGCCTGAGGCGTCGAAATCTGAGCCGCCGAAACCCGAAGCGTCAAAGGCCGAACCAGCACAAACCAAGCCTGCACAAGCTGAGCCGCCGAAAGCCGAGCCGGTGGAGCAGGAGTCGAAGAGTCTTCCTCCTCCGCCGCCGACGGTGACAAAGGATGCGTCGCCGGCGCAGGCGGGGGAGGGTGAGCAGAAGGGGGTGTCCGAGGCGCCAGTTCCTGTTCCTACTCCTACTCCTGCTCCTGCAGCTAACGCAAAGGCTAGCGAGCCGCAAGTTTTGGAACCTGCCAAGGGCACCACGACGGATGATAAGGCGCTGAGCAACGGCAATACCACCAGCGGCAATGACAACGCGGTGGCGGCTGTGTAATAACAATAACAAATGGGAATATTAAAGTTCATTTTATTTCTTTATGATAATTGCTAGGGAAACTCCTGCGAGGGTTGTTACTTTTTATTACTCTTTTTTTACCTCTGCGCTCCCGCTCTTGTGCGAGTTCATGTTTCTGTGTGACTTATACACACGTGTTTGGCAATGGCAAAAATCGTTGGGGGGGGAGTTCTTTCTGCTATTCTACCTTTTTTTACTTAACCCCCCTTTTATCTGAGGTGGGGGGAGGGTCTTCGATTTTTTTATGGCGTTACTTTCGGGGGTTTGGGATGGGATGGGAAACTTCCGGGGTGATTGGCGGGGGGTATGAGATGAGGTGTGTGATGGGATAGGGGATTGGGTGCGCGGATGGGGGGTACAGGGACCTCGTTGTATGTTACATAGGCTAGGCTGCCGGCTGGGATGTCGGCAAGCTGGCTTGCTGGTGTGGAAAGGTTGAATAAGAGCCTTGTTAATTTATGCTGGTCTGATGGGTGTTGTGATTGTGACAATATGAAGTGAGATGATGGGAGGGAAGTGAGAGTGGTACAGTATGTGTAAATTGGCGGTGGCCTGGAATGGGTATAATACTACAGACACTGATACTGGGAAAGCGTCAAGCTATACATATACATCCCCTCCCCATCTCCTGGGAGAACTCTAAAAATCTACAACCCCCCATCTTCCCCCCATCTTCCCCCCCTCTTACCCATTTCTATAACATACACCCCCCCCCCCTTCCTTTTCTACAAATTATCCGCCGTAAAAATCAACAACGCCGCCTTATGCCTCACAAACAACCCCGCCAACCCAACCAGCACCTGCATACACACAATCTCATTCAACAACCTATCCTCCCTCAACGGACCCCTCCACACGAGCCAGAGGTTGAGGATCGTCATGTTGGTTGTTTCTGTCACCTTCCCGTCTTCGTCGCGGGTGACTCCCAGGCATCCTACACGTTCCAACACCGAAATCAGGAGGGATTGCAACTGGTTAGGTTCCCGCGTCCACAGCGTCACCGACGGTTCAAGCAGTCCTGAACGCGCATTGAACCGCGGAAGTCGATGTCGTGGACACGCGATAAGCCTAAACAGCTGGGGCGCCGAGTACACGAAATTTGCAATCTGCGGCAGCAGCAACAACAACAGCGTCTTCGAGAAATGCCCCAAGATCGCACAGGCAGCAAACACCGTCCCAGCGAAATAACAGTACGTATCCCCCACGAACACCTTAGCGGGGAACCTATTCTGCGTCCACAGCGCTAGCGACACGCCGATGAAGGGGAGGAGGAGGTAGAGCGACAGTAAATGCGAGTCCGTCGCTGGATGCAGTGGCGGGGACGGCGGGAGGAGGTAGAGTATATCGTTCAAGGCGAGGAGGAAGGCGATGACGAGGGATTGGGAAACTTCAATCCCGTTTATCCCAGCGAGGATGTTAATGCTGTTTGGCGCGAAGATGGCGATCGCGGCCATGTAGAGGTAGTACGCCCATCCTAGATTGAGGAGGTCGCCGAGGTAGGGGCGGAGAGGGGTGGGGACGACGACGTGGGTTACCCCGAAATCGACGAAGTAGACGATGAGGATGGGGATGGAGGCGAAGGCGGGGATGAAGAATTTGTGGCGCCAGCGGATGTCGAAGAGGTCGTCACCGATGCCGAGGATGACGACGGATTGGAGGGAGAGGATTGCGGAGAGGTAGGATGCGAGCTGGGGGAGGGGTTAGCGGGGTTGTGCAAAATAGGGGGAGGGGCGCACCTTGTTATGAGGGAATCGGTGAAGGAATCTCCCCGTATCAATATTCACAACCTCCACCACCACATCCCTATTCCCCCCCCCCGACGTCGCCGCCACGATATCCTTATAAAACGGGAACGGGATAAACACAATCGCAACCAGCAGATACACCACCGCGCACACCGCGCCCATCGTCTCCGGGATCTCCTTCTTGTTTACTTTACTCAGATCCTTCCCCTTCAAGCCCGCTTTCATGAAGGTTGGCCCGAGCCACCGGATCATGGCGTAGGTGGCGCTGAAGGCCATCCCGCTGAAGGCGAGGGAGGCGATGAGCGGCTCGCCATCGCCGTGGAAGGTGTTGGCGACGATGGCGATGGAGGCGAGGAAGAGGGAGAGGAGGGAGAGTTGTTCGGGGAGGGAGAGGGTTGAGGGTGTCATTGCTGCTGGCTAGTGGCGCATTGTATGCTGCAGCAGACAGGTGATGCGACTCTCTTCTTTTGCTCTGCCGTCGATTGGGATATGCGATGTGATAATGTCCCAGCTTATTTCGCCGACGACGTGGCTTTCTCAGCCTCGTCGCGTGGACGCGGCCGGATTGGACCCATCGTTCAGCCTCGCGCGCTATCGGCAGACTTGAGCCTCCACTAAGTTACGACACCCACTCACGTCACGCGAGTGGCGTAACCTTATTGCGCAACTCACTCCGCGCCCCGGCGCACCCAGGCGCAAATGAAGCAGCAGCAGCGATGGAGGAAGATTTATTCGGCGAGTCTACGGGCTTCTCGATACAGCAGCACGGACACAAGGATATGGTTGAGGCGTCGGCATTTAACAGCTACGGCACGCGGTTTGCCCTGGGCTCGGCGGATGGGAAGATCAAGGTGTTTGATCGGCTGAGGAATGGGGGTTGGGGACTGTGTGATACGTGGGCGGCGCATAATGCGGAGGTTTTGGAGGTGAGTAAATGCATGCATGCTGGGAGATGGGGAGGTGACTGATGGTGATGTGATGTGTAGTTGCATTGGCTGCCGCCGACTATACATCCGAATATGCTGGGGTCGATATCGACGGATGGGAAGTTCAGGCTCTGGGCGGAGGATCCTACCATCCCCCCTCTTAATGGGAGGCGATTCAACTCAAAGGCAAATCGCCCAATCTACGAATTGCGATCTGCGTCGAGAGCGCCATTCCTCTCTTTCGATATCAAACACAACCCGGAGCTACGCCATACATTCCTAGCATTGCTCGATCGCGACGCCCTGTTGACAGTCTACGAGAATGACGAGCCTGAAAATATGACTAGTTGGACACAGATCGATCAATTCCTCGTCTGCAAAAAGCCCTCCAGAGGCGAAGAGGTGGCATTCAAAGTCTCCTTCGACCCCAATCTCGAGCCGTCATACAATGCCATCCGCGAGGGTGTTCCGCGGGACTCCTTATCGCTTATTGTCGCTGGTATGAACACAGCCAGGATCTGGCGCACGAAGATGATCTCCCATGATGTGAGCTTGGGGTCAGGCAGCAGCAGGGAGTTTTATCGCGCAGCGGACTTGCCGGATCATAAGAGCTTGGTGAGGGATGTTGCTTGGGCGGCTGGCAGTATCAGGGGCTATGATATTTGCGCCACTGTGTGTAAGGACGGGATAGTACGGGTGTTTGAGGTGCGGACACCGCCGAAGGATGGACAAGAGGCGACAGATGCGCCGTACGGGGCCTATCCTTCTAATAAGGGAGGTAATCCTTCACGGATGAGTGATGAGCTGAAGAATGGTCCATCGGGTATCGGTGCTGGCCTGGCTACTGTGAGGTCTGGTCCTGGTGGCAATAGGCAGTCTGGGGGAGTATCTCTGGCTGGTCAAGTTCCGCATGTGGTGAAGGAAATGACGAAACTCGACGGCCACCATGGCCCTGTCTGGCGCTGTCAATTTGACGATGATGGCCAGATGCTGGGGACGACTGGCGATGATGGAAAACTCCTCTTATGGAGAAGACAGCCAAACGGACAATGGTGTCTTAACGGAGAGCTTGCCATGAAGAGGGAGCATAGGCCCATTGCTTAATATCGGCGATAGGCCGTGGTTTAAGGGACTATACTATACCCGGCAGCCTTTGTCTGGGATGAGTGCCATATTCTGCAATGTTACGGGGGGCGTTGGAGCGGAGTTTGGGGATCTGGTTACATCGGGGAGCCATAGGGCTATAGGTTAGAAAGATGATTCGTTATAACCCGTTGATAGAAATCCTGTGTTGACAGTAGGTTTGTGGCAATATCCTTATGACACTCAAAGTGAAAACACCCATCATTCATATCCAAGCCAAAGATCAATTTCGAGGCGTTAAAGTATAAACATTAACGTGAAAATAAATGAATGTAACTGTAATGCCCAGCAAACTAACGACGCAGAATCCCGCATGCGAACATTTCGGTAGGTAGTGAGGGGCTGCGCTATGCCCGCAAGGCTCCCAAATCCCAGCAACCACCGCTTGCTGCCGTTCCTTCAGCCTTTCGATTCGTATTGCGCGTACAGTCCACTATGCAACATCCTCCCCGCCCCAACATACACACCACCGAATCGCAGTAAGCCAGAATTTCTCGCCCATCTGCCTTGCCAAACTCGCCCGCCATCCTGGATAGCAGCGTGCTCCGTTATCACTGGCGCGAACACCATGTGAACGGGATGTTCATCGATCGCCATGATGGTATTCTCCAGCCTGCTTAAGACGGGGAACGACCAGCAACGACACCGCCGTTTGAGCTCCTCTGGATCGCCAGGGGGTGATGCATCGCCGAGCCCTTCGCAGAAATCCTCGGTTGCTACCGTGGAAGACACGCCGTATATTGCGAGCGAGGCTCAGCTGGAGGATGTCGAGTCCGAACCGCCTGAGCTGACGGACTTAAATAACAGCCTTGCTGCCTTGGCTGCCATATTCCCTGATGTTCAGGTCGAAGTCTTTCGAGAGATGCTGAGCAGCTTTGATGAGGAGTCGAGACTGGCAGTGGTTACAGAGGCGTTGATCAAGAATAAGATGAAGTGGTCCAGGGGACGATACAAAGTGCTGGGGAAGGAAACGGCCCAGAAACCGTCTGAGGATACTGTTGAAGTGCTGCCGAAAGAAGAGAGGTTTAGAACAGATGCATATAAACTAGCAGTCAAGAATGCTGCGTACAACGAGTTTAAAGGGCTATCTCACTCCGCCGTCAAGGCTGTCCTGGCAGAACACAACCATTCCTTCATTCGTGCTCGGCCAACGCTCGCAGCTCTCCATGCAAAGTCGTGGAGATTCTCTATTACGGCAATATTCAGCCGGAAGAAGGCGAACCCCGAGCAGAACCAGTTTGTTGTGTGGCACTCGACGGGTCTCGGCTCGATTATCCCAACTTTGAAATATTCTGGATGCGTGGAGTTGGACAGGGAGTTGTTTGAATCATTCATCAAACCCCTACAAATACGGAGCCAAGCCGAACAGATAGAGAAAGACCATACGCTTGCGCTAGAAGTCAACACTGAACAGGCTGAGGAGGCCGAAGCATTGCATGATTGCGAGTGCTGCTACACCTCGTCAACATTCGAGGAGCTTTCCGCTTGCAATGACGCTGCGCACTTTGTGTGCTTTCAGTGCATAAGACATGCCGCCAAGGAAGCTGTGTTTGGACAGGGCTGGGCACGCAATGTGGCCTCTGAACTCGGGTCCCTCCGATGTCTGGCGCCTGTAACGGACGAGTGTCATGGCTGTATTCCGCAAGAACTTGTTAATAGAGCGTTGCTGGGGGAGAAAGGGGGTGTAGATGTCATCCGTAAATTCAACGAACGACTGGCAGAGGACACCCTCCTTAAATCTCAGTTGCCTTTGGTTCGATGTCCATTCTGCAGCTACGCCGAAATAGACGATTTATATCTGCCCGAGACCCAGAAGGCTTGGAATTTCAGACAGCACAGCAGTCTCTTGCTTTTCAGTTTTGCGCTCCTCTTCCCCTTTATCGGGATGATACCCTTCTTAATACCCTTGATTTTACTCGCCCTTCTCATTTCCTTGGCAAGCTTCAACAGCAAGGTCCATAACTTTTCACGGCGTCACCTCATGGCATCCTACACACGCCTGCGCCGACACCAACGCGGCCTACGCTTCCAATGCCAAAACGACGCCTGCCTCCGCTACTCCTGCATCTCCTGCTCCAAAGACTGGTCCGATATCCACATCTGCCACGAGTCCTCCCTCCTCGCACTACGCACGCAAGTCGAGCTCGCGATGTCCCTAGCCATCAAGCGCACCTGCCCGCGCTGCAACACCAGCTTCGTCAAGTCCTCGGGCTGCAACAAGCTGACCTGCGTGTGCGGCTACCAGATGTGCTATGTCTGCCGCAAGGACATTGGGAATGGGGAGGGCTACCGCCACTTCTGCGCGCACTTCCGCCCGAATGGCGGGAAGGTGTGCACGGAGTGCGAGAAGTGCGATTTGTACCGCTGCGAGAATGATGAGGTGGTGGTGACGAAGGCGAAGGAGGATGCGGAGAGACTGTGGTTTGAGAAGGAGGGCGGGGGGGATGAGGATCTCAAGAAGACGCTGGTGCAGAAGTATGACCCGGCGAGGGAGTGGTGGGTGGGCCGCGTGTGGCGGTCGAGACCCAGTGTGGAGGGTGTGTTGGATGCGTTGGTGGAATTTGTTATTGAATGATGATTGGGATGTCTGGATTGGGGGTATGGATGGGATTTGGCGTTTTGTTTTGTTCATGCATGCGATATGCGGATGGGAAGGGGAGGGGTACTGGTTTAAGGTGTTTTGTCGGGGGCTAGAAGCCATGACAGACAGGTGTCTTTACTGAAAGCTACGAGGCGTTCTTTTATATGGGACGGATAATAACGATTTTTTATACAGTTCTTGGGGTTTGGGGAAGTGGACTATTGGCTGCAGCCCTGTGATAGAACGCCTTTACTCGCATTATTGTTGCTATGAACAACACTACTATCTACAGTTCCTGATATTTTCCACAATCCCCCCTCAGATTTCTAGGCAGCGCAAGTCTGCTCCTGCCACTTCAAAAAGGCTATCCGCTACATATTAGAACCAAAAAGAGAAAGCTTCACCAACACTGTCCTCCTTCACGGCCAAAAGATCAAAAAGAAACAAAAAATATTGAACAGAGTGGGACTCGAACCCACGCCACTTTCGTGACCAGGAAACTATATGATAAATCACATGTATTAAGGTATAACCTTAACCTGGCGCCATAACCATCTCGGCCATCTGTCCCGGATTTGTTGAAGCGGAGGGGCTTGTTGGGCGTTTTGTCAAAGAAAAAATTGTAGGTGGGTTCTTCAACGGTCCACCCCACGTGAAGTGGGGATGGTCCCTGAGTAGCCGCCCCTCAATGGTAGAGGGGTTACACATGACGGTATGGATGCGGTGGAATTTTTATAAATTGGGGGGCTTTTATTAGGTCTAAGTGAGCAGCTTATTCTACTAATTTTGTAAATTTATTTATTTCGTAGATATTATAGTGCCGACAGAACGCGTCGTGTGCGGTTAGATCTGATTCAGCCTTGTCAACGCGTAAATTGATTTCTTGGACAAAGCCTCGCGCGTCGCACTTTCACCAAGTCGGCTTCCAAGCAAGGAAACCTCAGCTTCAGATACTGAGACGCAGTGAAGCTCTAAATCGACCTATTGATAGATCAAATAAGCGGCCCGACGACACAGTCCATCGACAGCAACCGCCACAATGGCCGGCGGCGTACAGGGCTTCGTGAACAAAAAACACCAGCAATATGGCGGCAACGAGAACGAGGCGGCTGCCACAGAGGCTCAACTCCAACAACGCAAGGCTGCTGTTCGGGAACTGGGATTGAAAGCCCCGGGGCCGGCAGCTGGTTGGAGGAGCCAGTCGATTTCTGGACCCGGCGTGCCATTTCGAGATGCGGTCACTGACACTGCCAGAGCGGGCTCTCTACTCGCCATGCAACAGGCTGGTGCCCAGGATGGCTTTGCTACGCAAGGCAGGAACCAAATCAACGGACAGGGCCAAGCCTATACTCAAAAGGAACCGCAGTCTCTGTGGGCTGAATCGAGTCTGGGATCTGATTCGATGTTCACTGTCAGAGATGGGCCACCCGGTCACTTGTACAGCGATGACGAGTTGGAAGATACCCAAGGTCGACACGTCGAGGGACAAGATCAAAATGTTGGATTATCCGACCAACGATCTGACAGTGATCCAGAAGAGGAGGAAGTCGATCAGAACATCGCCGGATACCACAATGCCAACCCCAGACAGCCGGGGCTAAACCAAGCCAACATCCCAATGAGAGGGGTCAATACACGCCGCTTCGAATCTAAGCAACAGCAGCGACCTGTTACGGAAACCGCTCCTTCAATCGGTAAAAGGGCGGCGAATGGCTCTGGAAAGAATTACAACCAGAAAAATATGTCAGGACGTCTGGGACACCAAGTGCAGGAAGATGGAGGCCAGCAACAGGAGGTAGATGCGTTTGCTCCATCTGAAGTCGACGAAGATACCATGCACTCGATCGATGGGAATGGTGGAAAGCAACCCCGGAAGGGTTCCAAACGGCAAGCAGATGATATTTCCAGTGTCGACTTCGACCAAGAGACCCTCTTCAATATGTCATACGCAGACCTCAAGAAGCAGCCATTCGATGAGGATCCAAACCAGGCCGAAAACCCGTCACTGACAGGTCTCCCCAAATCCCTCGACGCGCGCATGAAGTTGTTCAAGTATGCGCCAGCGGAAAACCAATTGGCTTTTCTCGCCACGCTGTCCATCGACGAGTGGGAGGAGGCGGGTGAATGGCTCATGAAGCAGTTTGGCACTGTGATGGACAAGTTCGCGGATGCTCGACGTGAGAGACGGAAGATTGCGACTGGATTTGAGGACAGGCTTGCTGCGAGGGATGCAGAGGTCAGGGAGAAGACTGATGGTGTGACGGCCGCGTTGAAGGACTTTAAAAAGGGAGGACAGGAGTTGCTGAGGAGGAAGACGCCGACTTAGGGTGGCTCACGAGATGTACTTTTTGTTATTTACGATTTGCTAGAAGGGCTCGAAGATGACATGGCATGTATTTAGTTAGAGCAAGCACAGGACGGTGGCGCAAAAAGGAGGGGGGGCTATTGCTGCATCATATACCCATTTGCTTTATCTACGGCTTTCAATCAAATCAGATCTCATATCTGCTGCACCTCTTGCACACGTCTATCTCTCCCAACGATCAGCCTCAACTGACTCCCCTTCTTCCCCTCATCCCCCTTAAACACCCCCCTCCTTAGCTCCTCCGTGAACAGCTCATAAGCGGGGTGATACCCATCCACGAACTTCACAACCTGCTCATCCGTCATCGCATTTTCCACCCCCCTCACCTTCCTCAGCGCCTCCTCCTGCTCCCTCCGCCACGCATACACAAACGCCGTCTCACTAGCATCGAGATGTATAAACGCATCCAGCATGTCCGTCATAACATCATACTCCCTCAGTTTGTCATTCACGAACAGCAAATCCTCGAGCCTGTTCTTCCATAGTGTTGAATCGGGATTCGAACGCGACGCTTCGCGTTTGGCGACGACTTCGGAGTCTGGGAGGGCGCGGAATCCGACAGACCACCCTTCGAGGATTATGACTTGCAGCTTCCGCTTGCTTTTCTCGTTGACGCGAAGGGGGGGTGGTGTACGGTCGCCTTGCCCGTTGAAGGCGGACTTGTCGTAGCGAGGGATGGAGGTTTCGGTTTGGTTGCGCAGGCTGGTGAAGAGGGAGCGGGCGAGGGGGATGTCGTGGGTTCCTGGGGTTTGTCAGTGGGGGGGAGATAGATTGAGAGGTAGGGAAGGGCATACCGGGCTCTCCGCGGTGCTGGATCAGTGGGTTCGAGGGATTGGCTTCTGCCAGGGCGACTTGGTCGGCGTGGGTGAGATAGAGGTCATCGAGGCTGATGATCTCGGTCACGAGGTTGCAGTCGTTGTGGAGGGTGGAGAGGAGGAGAGAGACGAGGGTGGATTTCCCGACGCCTTGGACGCCGTTGATGCCTATGAAGAAGGGGGTGGCGGGGGATGAGGCAGCGTGGATGGCATGGCGGGCGAGGATGAAGGGGATGCAGTGGCTGCTTTTGTCGTCTATTATTTCCGCCATGTTATCATTTATGAGGGTGGTGTTGGAGTTAGGGTTTGAGATGGAGGCGGGGGGGTTGCCAGTGTCTGAGAGAAGTGGTCAGCTCCATAGTGACTTTGCATTTATCCAAAAGCTACAATTCCTGATGCTGAAGTCTTCAACGGTAGAATGCTGACAATCTGTTCAAGGCCTCATAATTCCTATCTCATATTTTCAATTGCCGGTTCTCCACGAAGGCTTGCTCGCGGACAGAGACTCAACTTGCGGTTCTTGACGAGCGACTCAATGCGGGGTTAGCAGCCTACTGGAACCCCAACTCTCCGATTCGTCCTTGGGAGATTCTGGATCCATGACGCTCAGTATCGCCATCGACCTCGCAAAATCTCATCTTACAACTCGGAGTGATAATTGTTTAGCCTCAGAAATTATTATGGGAACAGAATCACGAAATAACAAAATTATGCACATGGCATTTCTCCAACTCCCAAAATTATCTCGGAGCCCGCTGGCATGTGAACGCGAACCCTTTAAATTTCGCAGCTTCCCCAGGTTTCGTCATGACCTCAACAGCCGACCAATCACAACAACCGAACGGTTTGGACCGAGGCATGTGCCGAGGTGAACTAGGACGACCGCCGAAAACGAACAAGTAGATAAACACTCGCTCCTTTCTTGTCTTATTTCTGCTCTTTCTTTCTTCATTAAGTTAGAGGGTTTCAGCTTAAATTACGTAACATAATTTCATACAGTAGGATTAACGTACTTGACAAGCGAGTCGTATTTGCATGCGAGTCGTATCGCAACACACCAAATCTGCACTTTACGGACACTAATGACTATAATGGCTCAACCACAGAACACTCCGGCTAGTCAGATTGAAGGCCGAATTGATTTAGCTATTCAGGCCTTCCATCAAGGCTATTTTAGCAACCTTAAAGCGGCTTGTACAACCTACGATGTGCCATACACAACTGTCCGCGACCGCGTTAACGGACGCGTTGCTCGACGCGATTTACAACCCGCAAACAAAAAACTTAGCAACACAGAGGAGTCAACACTTGTCGAATGGATATTATCTATGGAGAAACGAGGTCTACCCCTTAGATCTGAATCTGTACGGCAAATGGCAAATCTATTACTCCAAAAACGGTCTGACGCGGTCTACTCTACCCCTCTTACAGTTGGCCAACGATGGGTTTACAACTTTGTAAAGCGCCACCCTTTCCTCCAATCAAAGTACACCCGTAAATACGATTATCAACGGGCAAAATGTGAAGATCCTACCGTTATTCGGGATTGGTTTCGACTTTTACAGAACACAATTGCCAAATATGGGATTCAGGAAGATGACATATATAACTTTGACGAGACGGGATTTCAAATGGGAGTGATTACAACCGCAAAAGTGATTACGGGTTCTGAGCGGGCCCATAAGCCCGTTTGTGTGCAGCCAGGGAACCGTGAATGGGTTACCGTTATTGAGTCAATTGCAGCAAGCGGGTGGAGTGTGCCACCAATGGTTATATTTGAGGGAAAGGTCCATATATCAAGTTGGTATACGGATACCTTGCCTCGAGATTGGACCATTGCAGTTAGTAATAACGGGTGGACGGACGACTCTTTAGGCCTTACCTGGCTTACGGACGTCTTCCAGAAGCACACAAAGGACCGTACAAAGGGTGTTTACAGGCTCTTGATTCTTGACGGACATGGAAGCCATTCCACTCCTGAATTTGACCTGTTTTGCAAGGAGCACTCAATTATCACACTCTGTATGCCTCCACACTCGTCACATCTTTTGCAACCACTTGACGTTAGCTGCTTTGCAGTTATGAAACGGTTATATGGAAAACAAATCGAGGGGTATATGCGGGTTGGAGTTAGTCATATTGACAAACCTGACTTCCTTACAGCCTACCTTGCAGCCCGCAAAGACTCTATAACACCTAATGTGATCCGTAGTGGCTTTGTGTCATACTGACATTCGTTGCACTCAGTTTGCTATCAAACTCAAGAGCAAACTTGGAAATCTCCTCCTCAAACCTACAAGTCACTATACATATTTTGGCTTATCACACCAACAACAAGAGCAATACTACTCAACGATTGCTACAACCATCTATGATTCATTACACGTCATTGCTCCTTAGTTACTGGGCCGATATTACCACATAGCATATCTCTACAACCCTCTATGATTCATTACATGACATCACTCATACTACCACATGACATATCTCTACCAACTAGAGGCCTAGGAGCATGAACGATAGCTCTAAAAGCTCCTACGAACCTCTATGATTCATTACATGTCATTGTAATGATGGGTGCACCAGATGTGAGAATCTAGCCACCCAAGGAAGGGATGATTTTACTAAGACAACACACTGTCTTAGGAAACAGAGCCAAAGGGTTGTAGCTTAGACTATTCCACAACGCAGCAATCAGGTGTGTGATGTAGTGAAGTGGTTCAGACAAGTTGCAACAAATGTTGAGTCTGGGAACTCAGGGGTAAGTCAGAGGTGTCATACTGACATTCGTTGCACTCAGTTTGCTATCAAACTCAAGAGCAAACTTAGAAATCTCCTCCTCAAACCTACAAGTCACCATACATATCTTGGCTTATCACACCAACAACAGAAGCAATACTACTCAACGATTGCTGCAAACTCTTCTACTACATCTGTTTATGCTACATACATCACGGCATATCATTTGGACACTCATTGAACAAGTTATTAAGAAAATCTCCTCCTTAAGGGGGTGGGCCAATACTACCACATGGCATATCTCTACCAACTAGAGGCCTAGGAACATGAACGATAGCTCTAGAAGCTTCTACAACCCTCTATGATTCATTACACGTCATCGCTCCTTAGTTACCCACAAGATTGGTTAAGTTATGACATAATTTGTCTATAGGTACTCTGACCTTGGACCTCCTTTTCACTTCCTATAGGCTAGGAACCCAAGAGATGGTTCTATGGGATTCTCTTACGTTAACTACATGATTAGCAAGCTAGTTGTGGGTCGCACTTGATTTCTAATACATTTACCAAGCCTGGTTAGTCATGGAAAGTCATGGAAAATGAGAGAACTACACTCCTTTGGCATAAATAGGATTGCCCTTTCCTTAAGAAAGGGCAAGCATGCAATACAGTAAATCGACTAGCACATACTTCTACGTCTTTTCCAAGCTTCCAAGCATTGATCTTGTTATTCTCTGTTTTTGAAAAGTCAGTGAGGTGCTAACCTCTGACTTACCCCTGAGTTCTCAGACTCAACATTTGTTGCAACTTGTCTGAACCACTTCACTACATCACACACCTGATTGCTGCGTTGTGGAATAGTCTAAGCTACAACCCTTTGGCTCTGTTTCCTAAGACAGTGTGTTGTCTTAGTAAAATCATCCCTTCCTTGGGTGGCTAGTGTAAGGATGCCTCCTTACACGGGGTGCATTCGGACCCCTAAGGGGACGCGCAGTAGATAACATAGTAGTACAGCAACATAGGGGTTAGAGTCGGGGTCGATTCGGATTACCGACTAAGTAGTACCGAGGGTACGCTAAGCTTGATTAGAGTCGGACCCGAGACGGATATTTAAGGGGTAGGAAGCTGTAAGCTCCCCCTTTATCTTTTTTGTATCCTTCGTAGTAGACCTATAGGATAGAATACAGCATCACCTCCGACTCGCACTCCCATATGCACCTACGGAGAGCCGTATTCCCTGTGTCCTTACATTATACAAAAAAGATCACGCCTGCCGGGGACGGCCGTACCTAAATAATATCCCACAACCGGAACGACTCAGGAGAACTGTCGAAACACCACCGACCGCGACTCGGTGACATTTCGAAGTAGAGACCTGATGACTCCAAATAGCCGTGACCCCAGAGAACTCACGGACAGCCAGTGGATCAGGGTTTGATCCTGCAGAGCAAGCTGGTAAAGTCGCCGACGCGTTGGCGCCGAATAGGATACGAGATCCTAAAGAACCCCCTCAAGCACAGAGGCAATTGTGAACAAGAGTGTTGATAGCTACGAGCTACCGGAAGTCAAACTCTTCCGTATCGACTGCGACTCGATACACCCCCGAATCAAGATGTCGCGCAAGACGACACAAAACCCACCACCCGACAATGACGGTCAACCGCTACGAATGACAACTAGGCAAACCGCCACAGCGGGCACGACCGCAGGGCCATCCGAAAGCCCCCCGGATCGCATAGCGAACCTCGAGAACGAGATGCGGGAGCTCAAGGCGATGGTAGCCAGCCTCGTAGCTAGCCAGACCCGAATACCGTCTACGCCACCACCGGCTGCCGACGCCCCAGTGCGCACCATTGAGGCCGACGAAGACGAACAGCCTGCACTGACAATGCAAAACACGCCCGGCACCGTTCGACTGCCACCTGTCGACAATGCGCGCTCTCCTTCAATCCCGGGTCTACCCCGACAGTACACCGTGGACCCTCCGAACCGTTACAAGAAATCCACCATCTCTGAGAAGATTACGCCGCTCAGCGATGGGATAGAACATACCTTTATGCAATGGAGCGCGTCCATTCGGGACCGACTTGTAGTCAATGAGGACCACTACCCTACCGACGTCTCGAGAAGAGCGTTGATATGGGGAACTACGACCGGCCTGGCAAAGAAATATCTGGAACCCCAATACCTATCGGATACGCATGGCTTCCAGAGCGCAGACGAAATGATGGACCTATTAGGATCATATTACCTTACGGGTAATGAGACCGAACAGGCCCGGAACGAATTCGACGATATGCAGATGGGCGAAAAGGGTCACTTACACGAAACCTTCCCCGAGTTCAAAGCCCGCTTCCAAAGTGCGGCGATTACGGGACAAGTATCACAATCGGAGTGGTTTCGGTATATGTGGAACAAGCTCACACTGCAATTCCGCAGCCGCGTGGCGGTCGTGAAGGACCAATGGAAAGGTGATTACCTCACCATGGTCCGAGCCTTAACCGCCTTCGACCAAGAGCGACGCAGGAACGGCGAGTTGAGCTCCCAGTCCAAGAGCGGCGAGTCGAACTTCCCAGGACGGGCCCGCCTCGGCTCATCCAGGTTCCCGCCTGTGGAGGCCGCCAAGACCCAACCACCGAAGACGACAAGAAGTCCGTTGGGTTCCTTCCAGAGGACTCCTTTCATACCCACCGCCCCCAAGCCGGACATAACAGGTCGCGTGCGGACCGCCGTGCCGGCTGCATCCGGAAACTGTTTCAAATGCGGGAAGCCCGGTCATTTCCAGGACAGGTGCCCGCTCAACCCCACAGTCAAAGAGATTGACCGCGAAGCCCCTGAACCCGAAGAGCAGTGGGAGGAGGCAGTCGAACTCCAATCGGATGCGTCCCTGGAGGAAAACGATGAGGCCTAGGGAAAGGCTCCTTCCTAGGTCTACGCAAATGTGATCTGCGAGATCTCGACCTACAAGAACTCTTGGGCGGAACCCAGTTC